GTATGAGTATAACACTCCAGTATGAGTATAACACTCCAGTATGAGTATAACACTCCAGTATGACTTATCACGTATTATGAAAGCACAGATCTACCGACGGTCCTAGGAGGTCCTTATGTATTTCAATACTCCTCGCAATGGCACGGATAGCAGGGCGCCGCGATCACATACAATGGCCAACAGTGTTGCTTTTCTACATGGCCTAAAGTGGCTCAAAACTTCCAAATTGTGGGACCTTGGAACGCGTTGGCCCACTGAGTCAGTGGAGACCGACAAAGGAGAGCCAGGCTTGAGCATAAAGGCTTTCAAGCCACAGGCGAGGACAAATACGGAATACGAGTATCATGGTCGGTGGCCGACTAGTTTTCCTTGGTGCTGGGTAGGGACTTAGGCGTCAACATTTCTGCAGTATTTGAAGACAAATTCTTTCTGTTCTTAAGCGCGGTGTGACACTGTCAAGATTGTTCGTACTGTGTGCGAATATGCAGTTCAGCAGATGAAAGTTTTGTGCCCAGTCCAGGCCCAGAAAGTTGGTCACTTTGATGGTGCTCAGCCTTGCTCTTCACAAATGATCCACTTTAACCACATCCCCAGCCAATGGAGAATATCAGTGGGGGACAGATACAGCCATTCACCACTGCAGCTGCTCGTAGGCCCCTGAGGTCAGAATTTAGCCGAAGTCACCTCGTGGAATGCGCCAGATGCGGTAAGCGGTATCATCAGTGGTCGACGCGCCAGTCTCCCATGGGAACTCCATTACTAATTGCACAGCCTCGCCATTCTCAGCTGCTCGATGTTCGGAATTCTTACAGGTCTGATCTACTTGGTCCCTGGACCGATGAACTAGCATCAACAGCAAGCCACGACACCTTTCAGGACGATAAACAGTGCAACTGTCTTTCTATACATGCGAGCGGCTGAGCGATCAGTTCGGGCTCGAATCGACCTGTAAACTGGACCCGTGATTGTCGTCAAGTTGAATAGAAGGCAGCTCCCAGGTTGTGGCCAGTACTATCACCCTTCCCAACTTGAAGCTTCTATTTGAGGCCTGCTCGGGTCGAGCTAGCTGCGCAAACTACCTAAGATCAATTCAGGTGATCGTAGGAAACAAGCCTCAGCGCCGAGATCGTTCAGTTTCATTGTTCATGCTTGCCGTTGCAGACTGCGCGACTTCTCAGATCTGGGACCACCATTTTGTACCGCACTCTCCCAGACTCCGAATCCACGAGCTGCACTGGCGATCCACTCGCCGATTCTATATAGCGTCTATCCTGATGTGGCAGAATAAAGACCACCTCCGTCCAAGGAGGGATGAAGGTATTGTCTGGATGCGGGAGCAGTGTCACAACGACTTTCTCCACCGTGGAACTGTACGATACAGTAAATGACGAGATGTTTGGGTTTGCAGATAATCCGTCGTCCTCATACCAAGTGGTCGAGAAGGTCTCGCCATGCGAACTTCCTTGAGGGGGGAAAATTTCGATTCCTCGGTAATCGTCCTCTTCAAGTGTCTTGCACTTCGGGCGGAGCTCGCCGGGCATTCTGGTCTGAATCGGTTTCCCGACAGGAACGGCGCCGCCAATCTTTGCTAGTATGGGGATACTGTCTCGCCAGGGGGATTGGATCGTCACCCATTGACCTGCCGCGAAATATTCATGCGGTGCATTTAGATTGATGTAGCCATAGTCGAATGATCCCTCTGCCGACTTTCGGGGGAGGTACAGCTTCGCCTTATCGACACCAGGCTCATACACCCCGCCAATGAGCAATGAATCACCAAACCAATATTGCTCCTCCCCTCTCTTCAAGGTTTTGGTCCACACTTCTGGATCGGATTCATAACCCCAGCCAATCCATCTTTGTGGCGGGCTCGCAGTTAAATGGCTTTCTAGTCCTAGCGAGTAAATGTATGGCATGATCTCGTACCTCCGCTTGATTGCGGCACGTATGTTTGGGATGATTTCAGGATACTGCCAGGGTTCGATAACCTCACCTGCCTGGTTATCCTGGGGGCTTGTTTTGAAACAATTGATCGCAAAGCGGATCTGATGACAACCAAGCTGAACCCAGCGAAGAAGCAGTTCGGGCGAAGGCTGAGGCCCCTCAAAGCCTCCAATGTCGTGCCCATAAAATTGCATCAGGCTGATGCCTGCATTGATCGATAACGCGTTCGAAGCCTTCATGCTTTCCCAGCTCGTCATATTGTCTCCGCTCCATGAACCGCACGCGAAACGCAGCGTACCCACGCCCGCGCTTCTTGTCAGAACAAAGGGCCGAACACCAGCCTCGGCACGGAGGAGCCCTTCATATGATGCCTTTGCCATCAATTCTGTCTGCATGGCTCTACCCCAGAGACCGACATTTCTGTCGGCTATTCCCTTCCTGCTTCCTGGAATCGCTTCCAAGGACAACTCCCAGTTATCATTCGGTAATGGATACTCGTTGTTGTCGTTCCACATCGCGTCGATCCCCTGTTCTTTGAGCTTCTCCACGCCTCGAGTCCACCACTCATAGGCCGCAGCCGAAGTAAAGTCAATGTGCCCACCAATTCCGCTCTCGCCACCACCTGCACTCCAGAGACGCATCTCAGCGTTTTTACTCGTTTGCGGATCTGTAAACAGCCCATTATTCTCCACTAGGTATTGATAATCGGGGTGTGACGACAGCAGAAAAGGCTTGATGTTGGTTAACAAACGGATGCCGCGGGAGTGGTATTTCGCAATCCACTCCTCGGGGTCTGGAAACCTGTGTTTGTTCCACGTGAAGACATTCCTAACTCGGGGCTCGTGTTCCGCAATAGAATATCCCGAACTCATCTGATGCCCCGAGCAGGGAATGCCGTGGTAGTCGAGTTTATCGGCAAAGTCCATCAATTGCTCGTGGGCTGGGGGTGCATCTCCCATCGTGTACTTGTATCCTCCTGAGAGATAGCCATAGGCCCAGCGCGGGGCGAGGAGAGGAAACCCGACCAGCTCTGCGTACGTGTGGACCACTTCTTTGAGCGTGCGCCCAACAAGAAGGTACTCCTCGAGGCCACCATAATCTTGTCGGTAAACTTTGAAATGCCCCCAAAGACCATCGATTTCGGATCCCACTGCCCAGGAGCCCCTGCTATGACTTGTCGAGAACATTCCCACACAGCCCCGAGGGGTGACTTTGATAAGTAAGGGCACATGTTTATATAGAGGATCGGTTGCGTATGCCTCATAGCCAAAGGAGTCTGTGGCTGAGATTTGGAATCCCCGTGCTGTCAGGTCCATTGGGGCTGATTTCTCTCCCAGACCGACATGCAATGCTTTCCTGTCGTGCTGGACATAGTGGCTGACTCCCCGGCCATCAATCACATAAGATCGATATTCCAGGTCAGCATAGAGCTTTTCGTCCGATCCCACGAAGCCCAATGAAACGACAGGTGCGTGTTTCCACTGCACGCTGGCTTCAACATCTTCAAGCTGTAGTTTATACGTTGACTCTGACCTCGTCGACGACAGCTTGGCAGAGTCGATGGTTGGTGTCGGCGGTGTTGCTGAGGGATATGGTGGGAGAGAGTGCGTTTTGGATGAGAATGTTGTTCGAAATACGTTTGGACGAATTGCCTCGAATGTGAAATCGAAAGAGATTCCTGATTCTTCAGATCTCAGCTGGATCTGGGCTGCGTTCTGGGCCTTCGAGGTGACCTCCTCGTAGCGCTTGAGTACTGTCTCCAGCTGTGGCATGTTAGGTTCTGCAGTATTCGAGGGCAGACTGATCCTAACCGCAGCAATTTATTTCCCTGCTTCTTAATAAGGCGCGAATTGCAAGACGGATGTTTTTATCCTTCTGACTAGACCTTATTTCGGCTTCCATCGGTGATCTCCTTGCTCTACGGACATGGTACATCAAAGCTGTGTAGCAATCCAAAGGCCGGCATGTGAGCCGCAGCGCTTCGAGACGGGAGCACCTTACTGGTCTGCTTTGAATTGGCCCCTTATCAAGCAATAGGTTTGTATGCTCATCGGCAATTGAATATCATAGTCGTATCCCCACACCACTGACGTATCCCTCAAAATGAATCGGATTTCGGTTGCCAAGTACGAGAAATGGTCGAGGGTTTCGCCAATCACTCACTGAGCTAATGCTCAATGGTAAAAAGCAGACTCGGAGATGAAGCCGAAATCCGATGATCCCTAACCACCCGCATCGACGCCCCGCATTTTCTTCTCCGCGGATGGGACGCTGGCTTGTCTTCATATCCTGGAGTATCGGAAAGGAGGATGTTGTGGTCTGAGGCTAGGGTAGCGAAACCCGTCTCGACAGTCAGGGCGCGATGGCACATCTCCCAAGGAAATATATATCACTATCCAGCTTTCACTCTGGCAAGCTGAGCATTGAGTGTTCCTCACCCAGCATTTCCTAGCTGCAAATTCTGGCTCCCAGCAACATCTCCGACCACCCAACACGCGGCATTGAGAAAATGGCCGACGCAGCATACAAGGATCCCATCGACCATGTTGAGTCCAAGGTTGACCATGCCGAAAGTAATGCAAGGAATGACAAAGCAAATCAACTCCTAAGTCAGATCGGAAGAACAATCGCTCTTACTCCCGAGAACAATGCTCGCGTGTTGAGAAAGATTGACTTGTACATTCTTCCCGTCGTACTAGGAACTTACTTCCTGCAAGCATTGGATAAAGCTACTCTGGCGTACGCTTCGGTCTTTGGGCTTGTCGAGGATACCGGTCTGGTTGGACATCAGTACTCATGGCTCGGGGCAGTGGTTTATCTTGCGCAACTGATCTCTCAGCCTCTCATCGCATACCTCCTTGTCAAAATGCCCTTGGGTAAATTCCTGGCGGCTATCGTTCTGGCATGGGGAGTTACGTTGTCATGCATGCCTGCAGCGACAAACTTTTCTGGCAAGTGCTATACATTTCCCCTTCACCAACCCAGAGTTCTTCAACCATGGGCCAAGAACGAAAATCACATACTAACCATCAATCCAGGGCTGTTAGCAAGCCGTTTCTTCTTAGGTTTGTTCGAAGCTGGAGTTGCCCCAGCTTTCATCAGTCTTACGCAAATGTGGTGGCGACGACGAGAGCAGCCGCTTCGCCTTGGAGCATGGTATGCAATGAACGGTAGGCTTCACAGAGATTGACCAGAAGAGTCCGTACTCATTACTTGCCAGGAATCACCAACATGCTGGGATCTCTATTGACGTATGGTCTTGGTCATATTGATTCTCCACATCTCAAATCCTACCAGATCATCTTCCTATTCTTCGGATTAATCACCGTGGCATACTCTATCCTGGTTTGGTTCTTCCTTCCCGACTCCCCAATGACAGCTCGTTTCCTCCAAGGGGATGATAAGCTGGTGGCCATCGAACGGCTTAGGGCTAACAACCAAGGCATTGAGAATGATGAGTGGAAATGGAAACATGTCAAAGAGGCGGCTCTCGATATTAAGACTTGGCTTTGGGCTGCCATGATGTTCGTGATTTCTGTGCCCAGTGGTGGCATCTCAACGTTCGGGCCATTGATTGTCAAGAACTTCGGCTTCAACCGCTTTCAAACCATCCTCCTTAACATTCCATTCGGTGCCGTTCAACTTGTCGCGACACTGTTGGGCGCGTATGTGGCCACTTTGCTAAAGTGGAAGTCTCCGGTTCTCGCGTTCCTCAGCCTTCCTCCGATTGCTGGTTGCGTTATGTTGCTGTACTTGCCTCGAGATGTCTCAGCGAAAGGGCCACTTCTTGCCGCGTACTACCTGGTGAGTAAGCTGACGATGTCAGTCGTGAGAGATGCTGAAATGAATGACCAGATTTCCGTATACCCCGGGATCACGCCGCTAATCTATTCCTGGTCCGCTGCGAACACCGCGGGCGAAACCAAGAAAAAGGCAAGCAGCAACCACGCGCATATGCAAGACTCGAACAATCTAATTTCCATACACAGGTAACTACAGGAGCACTATTCATAACCCAGTGTGCCGGGAATGTAAGCCAACCGGTATGTCAAACGATGAGCAGAAAACTAATGATATCTCTAGGTGCTTGGCCCAAATTTGTACACTACGGGTGAGGCACCATTATACCATCGAGGCTTGATGTCGAAGTAGGTTATCCTCCAATTGCGGTAAATGTTTGACTGACTTTGTCAACTCAGCTTGGCCTTGTTTGTGGTTCTTATTGGCTTGTATGCTCTTCAGGTTGTGTATCTTATGGTCCTCAACAAGAAGCACGGCTCTACCAGGGAACGAATGGGGAAGCGAGCAGTGATAATTGACCAGTCGATGAAACGAATCAAAGCAGCTTCTGCAACGCATGTGGACGAACGTGCAGAGTTGGACGATTCTGTCGGACAGAAAGCGTTCGATGACAAGACTGATTGGGAGAACGAAGACTTCATTTACGTGTACTAATTAGTGAGCAAGCTGGGTAGCGTTGGGTCGTCGTTATGCCTCGTTCGCAACCATACAGCGCAGCTATCATTGGATCTTCCTTGAAGGTATTTTAAGTTGAATTCAAATCATGCTCATATTATCCTGTAGTGGATCATGTGTGGAAGCGGTTGCGTGATCCCGGTGCACGTAAAATTGCGGAACCTCGCCTCTGGCCACGACATTTCTTTTTGGCTAGCCTATACTTGAATTTCGTCCTGTAAGCTTTCCGAGACGAATGCTCAATGGCCTCCCCCCAGAAGTGAGAGCCCCGAGACGAAAGGTTTGGGGGCATCTGTGGAGCTAGATGGGGAACTGCCGATGGCCTGGAAAGGACTTGAGTATGTAATTTATTAGGGGAGATTTAAAACCAGCCATGGCCCCTAACAAGCCTCGGCGCAGTATTGAACACGCCACCGACCTCGCCACGCCCTCTTCACAGGTTGTTTCCACTGATATCTTTCCAACTATGATCCTTCACTACTAAAAGAGCAATCCATGTATGTGGTGTCAAAAGGCCGGCGCGAAAATGGGAGACGCCGATTCTCGCCAACATACGACCGGTAAAAAGCGAATACCGGTAAGTCATCCATCCCATCGAGCCGGGCCTCTCCCAAGTTCAAGTGCGTCTGAAGAATTCTCTCAATTTTCGTCAGCCGGTCCACAGGTGATAATTGACAGTTTCACAGAAGGCCTGCGGTTCTTGCCGTTCATCCAAGGTAAAATGTGATGGACAGCGACCTTGCACGCGGTAAGTTGAATGCTTCACCCCCCTGCGGAGTCGTCTCGCCCCGGGCAGCTATTGTTGAGGACTAGTGAAGGAGTGAGCATGCTTCCCGCGAGCATAAGGAGGGATGAGGTATTTTATATTCGGCTCTTTCAAATGATACAATGCAGCTTCAATGGTTCATCCGTTTCAGGGTCAAGCGAATTTGCGTGACGGTGTCGGATGGGACTGCTTCACTCAAGGCCTGAGGCATCTCAATCTAAGGACAATCGCTGATATGCCACTAGTTGTCGCAATCACAATAAAGCGTGTGTATTCTTGGAGCGGCCCGTGGATCCAAGTGAGCAGAAGATAACTGCTATTGAAAGACAGCTAGAGCATTTGAAGGAGCGATTGGATTCACACGGTAATGGGAAATCCAATCTCTTGGAACCTGGGGCGAGATCACCCGACGCTGAACGACACCTTAGTCTCATGGAGCAGCCACGCTCCCATCTACTGCACGCACAGGCCTTCGGCTCTCCCGAGTCTGTGCCCTCCTTTCGATCGAGTTATGAATTGATGACAAGCAGTACTAGGAATTCAAAGTCACAGTTCGAGGTTGAGACGGGACCGGTGCCTAATTTTGTTGCAACCGGAGTCATAAGCCTCGATCAAGCGCGGTTGTTCTTCAATGCCTTCTTCCAGGGCTGCGACAGATATGTACCTATATTCGATCCTCCCCACGACACGTTTGAGTCAATCAGCAATCGGAGTTCGCTGCTCTTCAATGCAATTCTCACAGTGGGCTGTGGCGTGATGAGCGATGCCGACTCTCATTTATGCAACTTGCTTCAATTCCGCCTAAAGAAACTGCTGAATCTTGTCATCATCATCCCGGAGTATGCCTCATTAGAAACGGTGCAGGCTCTTCTAGTCACCGCTTGCTACGTATCCGAGCGGTCGCTCTTGCTAGCATTTGCTACCAGGATGGGGCTAGATCTCAATCTGCAGACTGCATACACCGAGCTTATGTCAGAGCTTGTGACTAGGGAGAGTCAAGTGCAGGATGTGGGAGTTTTTGCCTACAAGGAACGTGAGGCAGAGCTGATGAGGAAGTCAAGAGCATGGTTTGAGCTTCTTATACTCGAACAAATTCTGCATGTTGATGCTGGTAATCTCCGTGGATTTCGCTTCAAAGGGGATGCACGCCGATGCAGAGTCTTGCTTGACAAGCCTTTCTCAACAATCTTGGATCTCAGACTTTTGTCGCAAGTGGAACTCAACTCTTTACGCGCTCGTGTTCATGACTCGATCTCGAACGGGAAGTTCTTTGCTGACGACGAGATATTGGACATAGTACGTGATGCCCAGGTGGACCTTTCTATCTGGTATCAAGATTGGCATCAAATCATGACCAGATCTCAAACGGCAGAGACTCCAGTGCTTCTCCTCAACCTCGAGGTTCAACGACTATGGTCCGTTGCAATGGTTTTGTGCAATTCAGTCCGTGCAATGGGCAATGATAATATTGCATCCATGTCACCGGCACAACAGGATGTCCTTCTCATGGCCAAGGATGCCTTGAAAAAGCATTTACGTATTACTTTGGACCAGCCACAGTACTATCTCTCGAATTTTCGATTTGCCATGGATTTCGTGTGGGCAAAGTGTGCATTCTGTTTCCTCTTGCTGCTGAAGTTGACTCGACTTCTGCCCGAAGATGACGATGCGGCGAAGAGGAAACTCCTGCAAGATGGTTATGTGCTCCTGGGCGAGTTGAATAAAGTCGGAGGTGGATCAACGAGTGGCGGCAGAACCAACACCAGCAAGATGTACCTCCAGGTCCTTCAACTCAGCATTCAGAAATATGGCCGTGCTCTCCAAAATGACCAAAGCCAGGAGGAAAATGGAGTTGATATCTTCCAGGGACCACACTCACCTGTCAACTTTTTCTGGACGTCAGGCAACAATCTCGGCCAAAGAGAACTCGAATCTTTCGTCCCGGAACAATTTGTCTTCGAATGGGATTTTCCGTTGCTAACGCTTTTTTCGTCTCCCAACGTCAACGATGACATCTTTGGTGACCTTCTGACGGGTTCATTCGGCGGTAGCGACCCTTTGTTCTGTGGCATGATCGGCTAAGCATCGAAAGAAGAAGCTTCAGTGTCCATTAGCAGCTCAAGTGGCTTTTCGATAAATTTGTGCCATTTTGGTTCCAGTCGAGTCGCGATTTCTTGGATCATTCTTGTTGCGCGACCTTTAAAATACCACTGATCCTCGATATTCTTAAGCAACACCGAGTAATGTGCAAGAAGAATCAATGCCCCAGGATGAGAAGCGGCAAGCATGGCCATGAATTGGCTGCGCAACCTGATTGGCCATATGCGTAAGACATCCCATGCGGTCCAAGGCTGACCCATCGTCTTCGAGCATGAGATTGCAAGAGCCATATACGAGGCAGCTTCACGATATTCTATGCACTCATCGTCCGACCAAGCATCTGCAGACCATGGAGGAGGCACCAATTCCAGGAGATCCTCCAGATTCTTCGAAATGAGTGCGTCGATTGCGACCGGGAGATCAAACTGCTTTTCCCAAGCAGCTGCCAATGCTCCAACTGGGCCGATTTCCAGCACTTCCCACACTGAACAAAGCATTGCACAGCCAGTGCGAAGAAAATGTAGCCACAATGGTGTGATGTCGTCCCTCTGCTCTACAACCAACAATAAATTCTCATCACGACGTTCTGTAGCGAAGCAATACAGAACGAGCAGGTGGGTGAATGCGAGGATGGCGTGGCAGTTTGCCTTGTTCGCGTCGGCCACTGCAACACGGAAGGGTGCCATAGCGATATCCTGGAACTTGCTTGCTGCCAACAAGTAATTTCTCCGATCGACAGGGGGGTCCATCTCATCGCCCTGAGCGAGGTGAAGTGCTGCCAGGGCCAGCAGGGCGTTCATCAAGAAGTCATGGTGATATGCCATGTGAATGAGAGCGTCTCCCCACATAGCTTCTGTTTCGATATCTGTCGCTATTGTCCTGCTGGTGAAATTCCTATAGTGCTGGAGGAGTGATTCTTCAAATGGCGGTAGAACTAAACCTGCCGTGCAGCCCGTATGGCAGCCAAGCGCTGTATCAGAAAACGGGAGAGTAAGCTCTCGTAGTTGCATATCTGGATCGAGGCACGTTACCCGCAAATCTGCGCGGGCTGGTGTTTGACGCTGATTTCCATTTTCGGGTGGAAGTGCTGAGTCAGTTGACGGCTTTGTGAAATACCGCAGCAGATTACCCCTGAAGAAAGTCTGGAGGGGGGCATTCTTCCAATCTATTGCAGGAACTCCAGGACACCCATGCGCAGAACGCCAATGGCTTTGCATCCTTTTCTCGGCAACGCAGAGATAAAGGCAGTTGGGAGAGCCACACTGTAGGCCATCCAGGATTGGCAAAGCGGGAATTGGAAATTCTGCTGCCTCTGGAAAGATCACACTCTCAGGGTTGTCCCTGAGATCGAATTTTGCAGCAAAGTCCAAGAACGGCCGGCGCGCTGCCCTGCGGATGCCATGGATTTCCTTTAGGTGCCGGGGAATGGCGCCGGGCAAGACTGCAAAACGACAACTCGTGCAAACGATAACATGATATTGGGGCAGAGGGTGAAAGAGCTGGGCTGGAGTCAGCGAGATCCGCTCTCCACGACGGGGCTTCATATTGCGCATGAGTTGTCTCAAGGAACCAACGATGCTGTCAGCTGGTCAAGGGCGAGAGAGACTGACACCCACTGAGCCCCGGCAACTCGGATGACATGATCGACCGCCCGGCGACCTCAGCAAGGAGTCAAAGACGCAGGACTCAAGCGGGATTGTTTGCGGCGCCCCGCCAAGTCCAAACCGACAGCGCCCTTCTCCAATCATCCCGCCAGCCTCGTCAATTGTAGCTGTGCCACCCTAAAAATCGACGGTGCCGTTCTCCAATCATGGAAGACAGTCAAGATAGGCGAAGCCCTCCGCCCTCCACCGCGTTTTATTTGCTCCATCGCATATCGAAGTGTCCATCAGCGTCGGTTCATTACATCACAAGTATGGATTCAATTTCAGGGAGCACTTCGTCCCGTAAGGTGCATTATCGCCGGCAAGCCAGTTCCAACGTTGCGCTTGTGATGCCTGATACAATCTTGTCTGCTCTCATTGCCCAGCATTTAATCACGGATTTAATGCTACCACCATGAGGATTACCGTCGGGATCCCGGTCTTTACCATATGGCGCGGTGAGATGTTGAAGGTATAAATCTAAGCTTATCTACCTCCTTGCTGAGCACTCCACTTGCCATATCTACGACTTCCAGCAAAATGTCGACATTCAAGCAAACTATCCTCATCACTGGTGGGACCTCTGGTCTCGGATACGAGGCTGCTACCGCCCTCGCTCGGCATTACAAAGAGGCAAAGGTGGTCATCGCGTCTAGGCGGGACCCCGACTCAGCAGCAATCAGTATCAACCAGATCAATGGCCAGAACAATGTCCAATTTCTTCCTCTCGACCTCGGGAGCCACGATAACATCCGAACATTCGTGAAAGCGTGGAACGATCAAAAATTCCCCCCAATCTCGGCCCTTGTTCTCAACGCTGGCCTTCAATTTCCCGATAAGATTCACTACACCAGCGATGGCATCGAAGCCACCTTTGGTGTAAACCATGTTGGTCACGCGCTCTTATTTCATCTGCTCCAGCCGAATCTCGCCAACGAAGCTCGCATCATAGTCGTTGCGAGCGGCACGCATGACCCTGCCCAAAAGAGCGGATTGCCTGATGCAGTCTATACGAGCGGTGAGGAATTAGCACACCCAGCAGGTGATGCTCTCAAGAACGAAGGGCGTCAACGTTATGCGACAAGCAAACTATGTAACATCTTGTGGACGTATGCTCTTCATCGGCGGGTTAGCCAACTCGCAACAAAAAGCTGGACCGTCGTTGCGTTTGATCCAGGTCTTATGCCCGGTACAGGTCTGGCGCGAGAAGCTGGGCCAGTCCTCAGATTCATTTGGCATCACATCTTTCCAGCGCTCATCCCTCTGTTGCGGCGCATGTTCCACCACAATGTCCACACCCCGAAACAGTCCGGTGCCAACCTCGCTTTCGTCGTCACCGATACCCATGCCCGAGCAAAGAGTGGGGTTTACTATGAGGTACGAAAGGAGATACCTTCTAGTATCGACAGTTACGAGGAATCGAAGCAGGAAGAACTGTGGGCCTGGACGGTTAAAACGTTGGCTACGAATGAGCAAGAGCGCAAGGATTTCGAGGTTGTATTCTGATAGCATCGGATGCCGAGATGCTTTTGCGATTCCCAACACATGAGATGGCAACCACAAAGTACAAACTGGGGAACTTGAAGAGCAGGCAGTACCGGGCATGCATGTGGTTGGATTCAGCAACGGGGAAGACTTACCTTATAAGGTGGCTGGCGGCGTGTTGTTGAGCATTACACATAATCCTTCTCATAAAGTGACTTCGTATCTCCAACCCAACCTCTCTCATGCGTGGCAGATCTTAGGTTTCCCATTACCCATGAGGTCGGTCGTCACGGGGCGGTGAGATCTCAGCATCCGGCGAGAGAGTTGCGAAAGATCTGAAATCCGCTTCAATGACCCAGATATACATGAAAGCATACATGATTCATCCCTGATATCACGAATCGCAATGAAGTCTATGGTCCAATCGGGTTCCACAGCATCAGTTTTTCAGGGGCCGCGACGTTGGACAGAAATTCACAACTACCAGTTCCAGCCGTCTCATCTAGACATACCGACCATTGGAGTGGTAACATACCAGGCACTCGTTCTCAAGCTTCAGGATCTACCCAATCTGGGTCCGTCTCCCTCTGTCGCATCCACAAGCGTCGGACCTCTTCAACCTGTGCTTCATCTTCGATTTCCTGACCATGCTTCTCTCTTCTGACTTTAAGACGCAGCCTGCCCTGGCTCCCCCGTCCATTGAAATCCAGCGTCCACTCCAGCGGCAACTTGCCTTTGACACCTCCATCCATTGTGTCTTCGGCTTCTGCGCTTACCCAGCTATAGCCCGCCTTCAGGATCAGATTGGCATATATCGTGAAATAGCCCCAGCCTAGCCGCCGCACCTCGTATGGTGGCCACTGGACGATCACCCGCGGATTACGGAATGTCGGATGCTGCATCCGGTCAGCGAACTGGTGAAACCAAGCAACAGTGCAACGGACCAAGAATATCTGAACCTCTTCAAGGAGATCACTCCTTGAAGGTCGAACGAAGAACTTCCATTGGTGCTTGTTGTTGGAATCATCTTCGGTCCTGACCAGAGAATGCTCGTTGCCAATGTAAACCGTCAATGTGTCCACCCTGGGGGCGGAGTCATCGTTAACTATAGTTCGGTGCTCAGTCTGTCGCTCCTGATAAGTGGTAGGATACTGTTCCTGCAGTTTGGACTGCCTCGCACGATCAAAGTTGGCTGTCGTCGGCGTCCGACACATTGGGCATCTGGTCTCGATCTCGTTTGGCAGAAGGAGAACAGCACGGTCGTCTAATCCCACCGTTGTCATCTGGGTGGTGATTGACACATCGGCCCAGTGAGCCATGCATGATTCACAGAGTGTGTGGTTGCATCGCGTTCGGACAGGCCTGTAAAGCAAAAGTTGGCAGATAGGGCAGATATCATCGTCGTCAATGTCAATATCTGCTTGATTGCCTGGGGCAGTGGGCCGACCCTCTTCTGATTTTAGGGCGGATGCTTTGCGCTTCATTGGAAGTCTGATCAATCGAAACTCTTTCCGAAGGCCAAGAAGTACTCGTCAAAGACGAAGACTCAACTCGGTAGAAGAGGCGAAATTTGAAGCCATCTTGAAGAATAAGCATCAGACTAGTTAGTATCCTTGTACCAGGCAGCACTATTAGGCAGCAGCCGCCCGCTACGCATACAATATCCTTCAGGCTGTGGCTATCCTGGCCTCACCCATGCAGGCTGCCCATTTCTTGCATATTGCCCCTCAGAAGAATCCACAGTACGAGGTACGGAGCACGGAGTCCTTGGACCCTGAACAATATATATTGTATTTCACTAACTCCTCAACAAGCCTAGACCGAGCACAATAAAAATACTGAGAGGCGTATGTGGACTGTCTCAACGGCAAGACTACATTTCAAAGAGGAAGAGAGATGTCATCGTTGGAAATGCATCTTCTTTCAATCAAACCAAGTGGCTGGAAATGGGCGAAACCAGAGATCTCTGTCAATTCTGGGAAGTGGGTTCGAGGCGAGGTTTGGGGACGAGGAGCCTGACCTCATCGACAATCCTGGCCACGTGACCATGCATCACGTGAAAAGTGCTGATCTAATCTAATCTTACTGCACTTCACCCGTGGTCTTGGCACCTATGCCGGATGCCAGCGGGTAGCCTACTCGTACAATACCTGCGGATGCGGATGCGGATACTCGTCGAGTCATCGGTAATCCATTCTGTGATCAGAGCATGGGAAATTTGATCCCCGAAAATCCCACGATTGGACTCTCTGGAAGATCTCCCTACAGTTTGACACGCCACACTCCCCTGTCTCGCCGCGAAACCCTACGACCGAGTTGCATGATACATGGTTGCAAGTTGAGATTCCAGGAGAAGACCTTTTTTGCAGCCCATGATTACTCCATTTATTTGCCTCATGCCAGCCTTCCCCTGATCATCTTCTTTTGATTCCGACCTTTATTCATTTACGCTCACGCACTCCTTTCTCCCTGTTCCCCCCCTTCCCGAGACTTCGCTCGATCGGCCACCCGACCCATACTCTCTTTTCCCCGGGCCGTCAACGAAGATGCCTAGCCGCACACTCCCAACGATCCCTCGCGCGGAGGTGGAAGCACATAATAATCAAAAGTCATGCTATGTCACAATTGGTGAGCGGGTATTCGATATCACCGACTTTCTCGAGGACCATCCTGGCGGCCCAGAGTTGATCTTGGAGTACGCGGGCAAAGATGTCAAAGCCATTATGGAAGATGAAGTCTCGCATTTCCACAGTGAAGCCGCGTATGAAATCCTGGACGAAAGCCTGGTTGGCTTCGTTGCGACAGACGCTGTATTGAAAGTCGCCGTTCAGTCGTCTCATCCCGATGAAGTGGTTCCCTTGCCTGCCACCGCCAATGGAAACAGCTTGCTGAAGGATCAGGGCATTCGCACAGAGGAGCTCCCTTCTCGCCCTCTGTTCGCGTCGACGGGCATGTCCACTGCGGAAGATTTGTCGAAAGAGACGGACCCGACCACGGACTGGAAGACACACAAGTTCCTCGACCTCAACCGACCGCTGTTCCCGCAGATGTTGTTCAGCAAGTTTTCCAAAGAGTTCTACCTCGAGCAGGTCCACAGACCCCGACATTATCGCGGCGGCGACTCGGCGCCTCTATTCGGAAACTTCATGGAACCCTTGAGTATGACGCCGTGGTACGTGATCCCACTGCTATGGCTGCCCCCAGTCACATACGGATCCGTGCTAGGGTTTATGAACCTGGCTTCGCCGTTCGTCGCCGCCTCATACTGGCTGCTCGGCCTGTTTCTGTGGACTCTAGTCGAGTATTTGCTCCACCGCTTTCTGTTCCACCTCGACTATTATCTGCCCGATCACCCGGTCTTCTTGACGTTGCACTTCCTGCTCCACGGCATTCATCATTACCTCCCGATGGACAAATACAGACTTGTGATGCCCCCCGCATTGTTCCTGATCCTCGCCACCCCCTTTTACAAACTGGCCCATACGGTCTTTTGGTATGACTGGTACGTAGCTGTGACGGTGTTTTCCGGCGGCATTTTCGGATACATCTGCTACGACTGTACCCATTACTGGCTGCACCACCGCTCACTCCCTGGTTATGTCCGCGAGCTGAAGAAATATCACTTGGCTCACCACTATCAGAACTTCGAACTTGGGTAAGCACGCGTCTCAAATCACATTACATAACTTGCTGACCTTGCAATAGCTTTGGGGTGACCTCCAAATTCTGGGATTACGTTTGGGGCACACAACTCGAATATGTCAAGCCCGTCAAGTCGTCATAGTCAGGAAACCATCTGCTTGTGAAACAGTATGCGGGCTGATCCGCCGCCGCCCGAAGCCCCTTGTACAGTAGGGTTTCCATGTCGCCTCCCTTATACTCGTCAAATTGACACAATACTGCCTTTCCTTTGCCAACATTGTGCATGCGTCTCAGGTTGAACCTGCTGCCTGTTCTGATTTGGAGCGCTGTATCGTCGCAGCCTCGGCAAGAGCTGCATTGAGCCATGTCACACATTGATGAATGGTTGGGTGGGTGGATATGGCGTCCAGGTATTGAGGTGCAGTCTAATGCTGGAACTCTGTAACCTTATTCGGTGATTACCACCACTAATATTAATATCATGATTCACGATTCTTTATCTAGCTGATCCTGTGTCCTGGGAGCGTGTGAGACTCGTAGATCTGTCCCTCAAGCCCCGATTGTACAGGTCATGAGCGTCTTGGCTTTTTTTATCGACAGAACCATCGCTAAGCTCGCGACGAACAAAGCCGCCTGTGCTGCATGGATATGCTGATCTACATGATCAAAGCCAGTGAATTACCCCGAATGACTTCTCAAGCACTGGTCAATTATTCGACTACGCTCCAAACACTCCTCGTCTCTGAAGCGGCTGGTGAAGATCTGGATCGAGCACGGGGCGGCATCAAGCAGATCGGGTAGGTCTGCGAGATCATCAGCATGGCAGGCAGATAATATCATACCCTCATGTACTCACATTCTGGCCCTCCCTCTCCCTCTTTCCTCCTCACGGCTATTGGGTCGAGTTCCTTTGAGGCCCTCGAGAACGGAATAACGCAAGCAGGATACTATTCATATTGTTAACAGAAACCAGATGGGCCTGAGATTTGGTTTAGGGTGGAAGGCACTCACATCGAGGACATTCACAAAGACAGTGTAGACCGGCCAGCCGAACGTGTCATGCGGTACGGCAGTGCTCCTGGCAACCGGTCCGATGACAACATCGAGATTTTTCTCCGTCCAAATAGTCTTCATCCAGGACTCCTGCAGCTCGTCTCTCTTGAGATTGACTGCTGCGTAGCGGTGAAAAGGTTCTAGGCCGGCCTGATCGTGCAGAAATTGGAAATCGCCAAACGTCGCAGGAGGCTCTCTGGTGCTGACTGAGGGGACGAATGGCTCGCCGCTGTTCGTGATATGTCGGATGACTGTCCTCCCAGGGTCAAGTCCAAGTAGCTCCCAAGCAACCTCTGAGGCTGCATTGATCCGGGCCTCGTTCGTGTCAATCTGCACCAGCTTGTGGCCAGCTTCTTGAAGGATCCTGGTGGCTTCTTGCAAAGCTCTCCTCACAGGAGGATGTAGAGGATACAGCGGCTCTTCTGGGAAGACGCCGATCCGCAACTTGGTGTCAGGCTGAGAGTTGCTGAGCCTGCGCCACGGAATGTCGAGAGCCGAGACGTCCTTCCGCGCAGGGACTGCGTCAATGACGACTCTAGTCAGAAGCTCTAAGGCTTTCAAGTCGTTCGCTAGTGGGCCTGAGGCCGATAGCATGGCCCGCAGGCCGGGCAGTCCGCCTGACGCCTGGCCACCATGTGGAAGGCGGGAGGCTGTTGGCTTGAAACCATATGTGCCACAGCAAGCAGCGGGGATTCGAATCGAACCTGCGAACGACATCAGCCAGACATAGAGGTGAATGAATAGCCGACTATTGTCTCCTACCTGCGAGATCGGTACCGATGCCCAGAGGCGAACCGCGGAAAGCAACCAGAGCGCCTTCGCCACCAGTCGAACCGCCAGCGTTCAGCATGGTGTTGTGTGGATTTAGTGTTCGCCCGAAGATATTGTTGTGGGAGTCGCCGGTCTGCGACGATCACGTCAGTTCAGTCGGAGCTGATGTTAATCCCACGCCATTTGTCTGGGGCCCTACCGCGACTGTCTGGGGGAGGTTCGTTTTGACATAGAGCACAGCGCCGAGCTCCAGGAGTATCTCGACGAGGTGAGAATTCTTTTCTGCCTTCTTCCCTAAAAAAGATACGTATCCAATGCTTGTCTCGTGGCCTTTGACATTGAAGGTGTCCTTGAGACTGATTGGCAGTCCGTGCAGTGGGCCCAGAGGCTGCTTTGCATCGGCGCGAATGGTATCCAGAGCTTTTGCACGCTCTATGGCCTCGACGAAAAAGATTTCCGTCAGGCAGGAAAACTAGGAGGGTTAGATCATCGTTCCCACCAAAAGCCACTTGCTAGAAACGGGGACTCATACTAGCTGTTGAGCTATCGCGGCTCTTTTGCAGAAAGCAGTTGTCACCTCGAGAGAACTAAACGCGCCAGAGGCTAACCTTTCCAACAGCTCGAGCACAGAGTAGTTCTCGGTGATTTCGAGCTCCCGGGCGGAGAGGATGCCCGATTTGCGCGGTATGTCCAGGTCCACGATTCGGTTTGCATGGCTCTCGAGTGGGAAAGACAGCTTGGACAAGATTTCGGATGAGAGTCGCCAGTCGTTGGGAATAGCATTCTGGCCACGCTCCGTCTTGCGTGCGACAATATCTTCCCAACTGTAGAGGTTGCCGTCGCCTGTGGCGTCGATTGAAGGTTGCGGTGCCATTCTATCAAGTTTTGGAGACTTGGAGCGATCGTTGGGACAGGTTACAGTCCGTCCAGAAAGCGAGGCGCGAAACTAGGTCGTGGGGACAATTTGAGGTTGGAGTTACCATCACTCACCTTTACGAAGCCTCTCTTGATGGCCATGGCATCTTCGGCAGTCATCAAACCGCCTCCGCACTGGTTCACGGAGGTGCACATGTGAGCCTTGCCAACAGAAATGCATGTGGGGAAAGAAATGCCAGGAATCTAAAGAAATTCCTGTTGGTTAGTTACTTTGGTTAGACCAACGTCATGGATAAGGGGAAATGAGTACGAGATACTCGGCAATTCGGCAGGGAATGAGACCTGATTAGATTATTGAGAGGAGCAGCCCCATGTCCCTTTATGTGGGGCTGAGGCAGTGTGATAGATGAGTGGGGGGGGCCGAGGGGCCCTGGCCAAAGGAGTTGAAGATTTCAAGGGCTACATAGGTTTAATTTTAATGCGAGATCGTCAGGAGCTTGATTGGTATGTTCTCGTTGCATCACAAACATTAGATGGTTTTGATCGTCGCGCGCTGTGATTCCTAGAGTCGGCGATGGCCCGGGACAAAGTACTTTTGCATCAAATATACCAGGCCTTGTGGTTCATGTCCAACGTGATATGATACTACTGTCACGGGCCCTTTTTAACTCCATCGCTGCATCCAACGCACAGCCGTCTGGGCCGGTATTTAGACACACAATCCAGATATATAATCGATTGTCTTCACAGCTTCCCCTTGAACATGCCATAATCGACCTCGATGCTATACTCCGGATCCCAGTGCATGGCCCAATATTTGTCCCAAATGGCCTTGGTGATGGGACCGAGCTTTCCATCTTTGATCGGTTTCCCATCGAGAGTTGTGATGGGCATAATGCCGCCGGCCGTGGTGCACATCAGGACCTCGTCGGCCTGGTATGCAAGCTCGACGGGGATGACCTCGCACCTGATCTCAATTCCATGAGCGCGAGCAGCGTCAAAGACACTCTTCCGGGTGACGCCATGGAGGACGCCACGGTCCGGGGTGTGGAGCACTCCATCCTTGATGAAGACAATGTTGAAGCCTGATCCCTCAGTCAGGTTCGAGTCGCCGTCTGTGAGAAAAGGGTACATGGCATTCCTGTCCTTTGCCTCGTACATGCCTCGGGTGAGGTCTCCCCATTGAAGATTCTTGACTGTTGGATCGATGGCACCGGGAGGTACACGTCTCACAGTGCGGGCAATGATTGCACTGCCACCAACCCGTTGAATGTGAGGCTCCATCACCCAAACGTAGGGGATGATGAACATGTATAGATTATTGACGATATCCTCTGGTCGTGACTCACGCACGCCATTTAGGCCACGTGTGACGATTATCTCAACGAATGCATCTCTGATACCGGATCTTGCTGTCATCTCGAAGAGTATTTTCCTTATTTCGTCCTTTGGTTTCGGCAGCTGTAGGCGGATCTTCTTGCAGCTAAGCTCTAACCGGTCCAGATGGTCCGGGAGCCGGAAAAATCGTCCGTCCCAGATTGCTGGGACGTCGTATGTCAGGTCACTGTGGAGGAAGCCTTGGTCTCGTAGCGGGATCCGGGCCTCGTGAAATGGCACCAGTTGGTCCTCGATCCAGGCAATCCCTTTGGCAAAAGGGTTGTTGCTGGCTGTGAGGGTAGCCTTTCGGGCCTCATAGCCCGCGAACACCCTGTCCATAGTCGCCATGCTGTGATCTAGTGATGGGAACGTCGGGGTTGAAGCGAAAAAAGGGCTGTTTGGAACTCTCTTGGTGGTCAGGGCGCCCCAAGGGCATCCTCAGCGAGCTCTTAAGTATCGATCTCGCCCATCTCCGCACAAATTCGAGGCTTTGCACCCAAGGGTGAACTCCGCCGATCTGAGGGATCTAGAGGATCTGGACCCTTGACGCTGCCCAATCGGGCATTGCCCAATTGGGCAGGAGAGATGTATTAATTATGGGTCCCTCACTTGAGATACGGTACATGTTTCGTGCTACACGTTCCCAACCACGCAATGATGCGATAGATCATGCGACTAGGAAGAATGATTGCTACACCGACCAAGACATCGGGGTTGCTTGATGGCAGCAAAAGTGTTGCGTTTCATTTGTCCTTGGCGTCTACAATTTCCACCGCTTGCCCTGTCGATATATTCATTGTGTCTTCTAGCGACCACAATTTCAACACCGAGCGCAATGTACCACACTCGGTCCACAAGCTCTGATAGTCAACGGTGAAATCAGGCAATTCAGTCACGGCAGTACGATGGCAAGGAAAACAATTGTGGTCATAGGGTATGTTTCCATCCGTGCTCAATTTTCAACCATACCAGTAAAATGATTATGGCATCTCACGATTTCTTAGCGCGGGAGTGGCCGGCCTTACCACGGCCTTCTTGCTGTCGAAGAAGGGGAAATACAACATCGTGGTCGCGGCCAAGCATATGCCCGGAGATTATGATATTGAGTATGCTTCGCCCTGGGCCGGAGGAAATTACATGCCGTGAGTGAGGCTCCTGGAGCCCAGGAATCCTCTCATGAGGTATCCTAACATTCTTTAGTGTTTCCGAACGTGGTACGCCTGCTGCAAAGTGGGATAGAGACACCTGGGCGCCTCTCGAGGATCTCGCACGTAACAAACCAGAGGCTGGGGTGCACTTCCAGGGTTAGTCTTGCTGCCAAACCGAGTAGGCGGTGCTCATGATGAGATAGAGTGCGAGATCTATAATCGCTCAATTGACGCCAACTCAGCAACAGCAGCCTGGTTCTCTGAGTTGCTGTCGCCGAATGCGTGGTTTCGGGACGTGGTGCCGAATGTTTGCTAACACTTTCACGTCCGGACCAGAACACACTGCTGACTCATGGGTGCTGTGCTACAGTTCTGCTCCTTACCCAAGGAGTCGTTGGACCCCTCTATATCGAATGCCACCAAATTCACATCCGTGTGCATCAACACAGCTATTTATCTACCATGGCTTGTCTCCCAGTGTCTCGCGAATGGCGCAGTCTTCCGGCGTGCTGTCTTTTCGCACATTCTAGATGCTACCTCGCCCACCATCGCTGCGAAAGTCGACCTGGTAGTTAATTGCACGGGACTCGGTGCTGCTAAACTAGGAGGTGTGGCCGATGAATCTGTTGTCCCCGCGCGCGGGCAGATCGTGGTTGTGCGCAACGATGCAGGCAAAATGATGAGCTTCTCCGGGACGGATGATGGAGAGGATGAAGCCTGCTATATCATGACCCGTGCAGCAGGCGGCGGCACCGTCTTGGGCGGCTGTTACCAGAAGGGTAATTTTGAGAGCCAGCCGGACCCGAATCTGGCAATAAGAATAATGAAGAGGGCTGTGGCGGCGTGTCCAGCACTGACAGCTGGGAGGGGAATAGAGGCTTTAGACGTCATTCGCCATGGAGTGGGACTCCGTCCAGTGAGAGAGAAAGGCACAAGAATCGAGAAGGAAAAGATCGGTGGGATGTGGATTGTGCACAATTACGGCGCGGGCGGTGCAGGATACCAGTCCTCGTATGGGTGCGCACAGGCAGCAGAACGTTTGGTAGAGGAGGCACTCAGTGAGAGAGCAAGGCTGTAACCATCGAGACTAATAGCTAAATCCGCTGGCTACCGTGTAAGCAGCTTTTAGCTGAAAGGGTCTAATTAGCGACCTTGAGGGGGAACACTTTCAACTTGGGGTCCGTTTGAGTTTCAAAGCTCAACGATAAAGGCCTGCAGCTTTCTTACCCTCTGAGCTAGAAGGAAGCATTCATCGATCGTTGCTATCCCGCAGACTTCTAGAGCCGGGTGCAGCCTTGGTCAATGCTCTATGCATCGTATCTCAACTTCCATTTCAGGTAATTCTTACGGTGAGCACGCCTCTGAGAGTTCGTGGCACTCCTCTCGCAAAGCCGTTCCGTAACCTGAAATACAGGGTAATGGAATTGAACCAGGTCAAAGTGGCAAAAGCCAATTTCTCCACTCGACCATCATCTAACAGTGCATAAGATCTCAATGATAATTCAGGCGTTGAATGGTTCCTTTAGCTGCCGAACAGCAATTTGGCTTTTGGAGCTGCTGCACACCGGCATCAAATCATAAGAATCACATCGCACCTCGTACAAGCTCTTGAACACGTTCAATCCTATCTAAGGATACAATGGGCGACATCTCATCTCTAGTTCCGCAGTCTGCGATCAAGACCGGTCTGGCACAGATGCTCAAGGGCGGCGTGATTATGGACGTGATCAACGCGGAGCAGGCACGGATTGCAGAGGAAGCGGGTGCTTGTGCAGTCATGGCACTCGAACGTGTACCAGCTGACATACGAGCACAGGGCGGTGTGGCTCGAATGTCAGACCCTGCTCTGATCAAAGAGATCCAAGCTGCTGTCACGATACCAGTGATGGCCAAGGCTCGAATCGGACATTTTGTCGAGTGTCAAATACTGGAGGCTTTAGATGTCGACTACATTGATGAGAGCGAGGTGCTTACTCCTGCCGATGAGAAGTTTCATGTTGAGAAATGTACCTTTAGGGTGCCGTTTGTGTGTGGGTGTCGAGATTTGGGTGAGGCACTCAGAAGAATGGCAGAAGGAGCAGCGATGATCCGGACTAAAGGGGAGGCGGGAACTGGGGACGTGGTGGAAGCAGTGAAGCATATGAGATTGCTGAACGAACAAGTTGCCAGAGCAAAGGCAGTTCTGGCGGAAGGGGGAGAGCGTGCACTTCGAGCCATGGCAAGAGAGATAGAAGTCGACGCTGAGCTCCTGAAGCAGACGGCCATATTGGGAAGACTCCCAGTCGTCAACTTTGCAGCAGGAGGAGTGGCGACCCCGGCTGATGCAGCGTTGATGATGCAGTTGGGATGCGATGGTGTCTTTGTGGGAAGCGGTATTTTCAAATCGGGAGACGCCCCAAAGCGTGCAAAAGCTATCGTGCAAGCAACGACTCATTACCAAGACGCGGCGGTGCTCGCTGAGTGCAGTACTGGTCTTGGAGAGGCCATGGTTGGAATCAATTGTGCAAGTCTGAGCAGCCGCGACAAGATTGCCGGTAGAGGTTGGTAATTCAGAGCTTGGGACACAATATCCCTTCATTTAGATACTCCCCAAGAACCTGGCCAACCAGTGGCGTAGTGTTTTGTCGACATACCAAGTGTTCAAGCATACCTGATAGGGCGAAGGCATCCCAATCAGAAATTGAAGCTCTCGCCCTTTTCCACGAGAACACGAGACGCGTAATTCCTATTAACCAACATTCTCGACCTTACCTGATTAGGCAACAGAGATACCTCAAGATAGTCGTCGGGCCACAGCCAATCAGCGCATTCTTGCCAAGATATCTCTCCTTCCCTATCAGGCAATCCAGCCGCCGAGAACCTCCTTCCTTCTCGCCTTCCCCATCCGAGGCGGTTGCGCGGGAAGATCCCCCCCAACAGCTCTCGTATGCGCCGTCGAGAGACACCGACATTATGGTGTTTGCGATAGCAAGACCACGATCCCGTTATCGAGATTCGAGCATGAGCCGACTTGCCTCCTCTGGTCCGCCTATCGCTGCTCATTCAGGAACCTATCCCACCGGTGATAACTGATGGCTTGGTAGATATACCACCACCAGGATATAAAATGCCCGCACGGTACAGGTTGGATCGCACTCGTTCTATCAGACATTGCTATCTTTAGTTGACAACCCGCTTGTTACCTCACTGAATTCTCTATTCCTGGGCATCGACAGGCCTCGCTACAATGACACAATCCCATCTTCATGAGGTCCGCGTGGACGACCTCGAGCTTGAAGCTGCAGGCTATCATCGTGCTATGCCCCGTCGCTTCACCTTCTGGGCTCTGGCTGCGCTGTCTTTCGATCTCACCTGCACTTGGCTCGGTACGGGGTCCTCGGTCGGTATCAGCCTGACAGAGGCAGGCCCGGCAGGCACGCTTTGGTCTCTTGTCATTGCTGGTACCATGACCATGGTAGTATCCGCTGGGATGGGAGAACTGGCTTCCGCTTACCCAGTAGCAGGTTAGGGAACTCGGGGCTTTACAGTTGGTTACTAGCTAATTGCATTTTAGGTGCTCAGTACTATTGGTCATTCATGGTGACGAGTGACAAGTACAAGCCATTTGCATCCTTCTTGTGAGTGCTCACCCTCAATGTTGGAAAAACTATCTCACTCATGTTTTGTATCAGTAACGGCTGGATGAGTATCATTGGTTGGTGGTTGGGAGCAGCGTCAGTCGCCAACTTCGTCGCTTCCATGGTTCTCGAAATAGTTGCTGTGTGGTATCCGGAATTTGAGATTCACAGCTGGCACCAATACTTAATCTATGTTTGCCTCACATGGATTTCTGTTGCAGCAAACGTCTTTGGTTCGGCCTGGATCCCCGCCTTCAACAAGATGCTTTTCGTACTGTCGGTCCTCACTCTGTCATCAACCATGTTCACCCTCTTCATCGCTAGTCGTAACAACCATGCGGACGCTTCGTTCATTTTCGCCGAGGCCACCAGCCGTACTGGTTGGTCGAGCGATGGCTGGTCATTCATGCTTGCTGTGGGCAATGCTGTGTATTCTTTCCTGGGAAGCGATTGTTCAGCGCATCTGTGTGAAGAGATTGCGAACCCGGCCAAGATGGTGCCACGGGTCATCGTTTGGCCACTTTTAGTCGGCCTTCTGACTGCGTTCCCCTTTGCAGTGTCGCTGATGTATTCAATCACCGACTTGGATGCAGTCTTCAACACCAGCGCTGGCCTCCCATTGATCGAAATTTACTATCAAGGAACAGGCTCTCGGGTAGCCGCGTCTGTTCTTCTCGCACTATTTGCATTCTGTTTTTTCGGAAATCTTGTGGCAAACGGTATGATCTATGCTCACACAAAGAAACCCTGAAAAGTCATTGCTAATCTTGCCCTCCTAGCTACAACCTCCTCGAGAACTCTGTGGGCCGTCTCTCGTGACGGGGCTCTGCCATACTCCCATCTGTGGGCACACATCCATCCCATCTACGAGATGCCTGCCAACGCCATGATGCTCTCTGCCACTTTCATCACGGTACGTGACACTGGCCGATCTCTCATCCTCTCAACAAGCCTTCCCGCTAACCTCCGTCGCCTTAGCTGTACGGCCTGATATTCTTGGGTTCCACGACCGCCTTCTCCGCCATGGTCAGCACCTGTATCGTGTTTCTGCAGACGTCGTGCGTGATCCCGCAAGCCATAGTCTTGTACCGGGGCCGTGACCGTGTTCTTCCACCTCGCCATTTCGACCTCGGCAGATTTGGCGCGCCGATAAACGCAATTGCGGTTGCATGGGTTGTGTTTCTCGATGTTTTGTATTGCTTTCCAACCTCGATGCCGGTGACCGCGCAGAATATGAGCTATGTGTCGGTGGTAGCGACGGGCTTGGTTGTTTTTGTAGTTTCGCTATGGTTTACTACTAAGAGAGGCATTTTCACTGGGCCGAAGATCGACATGGCTTTGTTGATTGAGAGACGCAATGCCGCCATTCAGGGTGAGGTCATCGCTGCCGTTGAAGTGTCTCCTAAAACCGAACATGACGGGGCAAGCGATGCTAAGGATGATAAGAGATAATCATTCTGAGTACTTCCACCGGCGGATGTGCTAGTTCGAGCGATGGTCAGCGTGGAAATTTGGCGAACTAGCGATCGAATCGACTTAGGTAGCCGCAAACCCCCCCAAATGCGATAAGTACTCAGACTCCATAAGATCGAAAATATAAACCGCGAGATGATCCTGCCTAATAATTAGATCCTGTAACCTCTTTATCCACAAGACGTAACCAGGCGCTGAGAAGAGATGAATCCTTGACGGTGGTCATCCTAGTCGCTAAGTATGACTCCCTGCTTCTACGCAAGATGTAGGGCAGACAGACGCTCGGCAGGCAATAATGATTCATCCAAAAAGGAACTCGGAGATGAGACCTTCACCTTCGCCTGCAGATCCAGAATTATTATTGCCGACCTTGGACCCCCACCAATAGACGTCTCGTGTTGTAACATCCCAGCTATCCCAAATAGTCTCTAACAATGTTGCAACGGTCTCGAACATGCTGTAGCGTGCGGTCGAACTCCAGTGGATGCAGAACTGGCGGACAAAGTCTCGAGTTGCCTCGTCCCCGACTTCTGATGCTGCGAGGAAGACCGGTAGGAGTGTCTGCTTCTGGGCCACTGCTGTGTCCGGTATGCAGCGGACATGATCGAGTACGACACGAGCGAGGTGGGTGATGGAACGAAGCCCTTCACTCGTTTGCGGTCGATAGAAGACCCGGTATGCGTAGAGCTGAATTGCATTCCTCCATGCTTCCACGCAATGAAATTTATTGCGTCTAGTCTCGGGGTCGTCCTGTGTCCAGGAAATGCTCTCCGCCGTTGCATCTTCGTTGTTCTCCCATTTTTGGGTCTGTCTAATAATCTCCTCGACCGGGAAAGTGTTGAACATGGCCCACTCCATAGTACGTACTTTCTCGTACGTTGAGGCCAACACTGCGAGACGGGCCATGAACATTACGAGCTCGGCTGGACAGCCATTGAGTGTGAAGAATGTCCAGCCATCTTCTTCGTCGTACTTCATGAGGCTTTCCAGATACTGCAAGGGAAGAAGCGGTTGTTTCCGAGAAATTATGGCAATAGTCACGTCCCACCTAGCCAGATAGGATTAGCAATTGTTAACGGCAAATGTTTGGAAGTGAGCCCTACCAAACGATCATCGCGACTTGAGCGCGCGCTCTGGAGCCCTTTCGGCAATAGTTTATACCTCCCATGCTCTCAAGTAACTTTTGTGCTCCGCTAAGATGAACCGCCCATGTACTTGCTGCTGTTTGTGTCGCCTGGAGATCTTGTTAGACTACATCTCGCCAAAAATATCCGACAGCTTACTTCGAAATTCACCAAGAGCAACAAAGTATCCAGAAGCTTAGAAGCAGACACATGATCTAGTGCCTCGCTAAAGAGACGCAATGCTGTGGCATGGTGGTTCCACATCTCAGTTGTCAGCACAACCGATTTGTTCTTTTTAGCCAGGTGCTGTGATGAGATGGCTAGGATGGCATGCAATAGGAATGCCGATCCTTCACAGCTATCCTGCCGTATACGAAAGGGGTTGCTCGCGCAGTCCCCAGTGAGTGGCAGTATACAAAATTCTTGATCGTCTGAATACGTCAGCAAATTCAAACCATGGATGAGATATTCAAATAGTGGAGCTCACACATGTCGAGAATCGCTGTAGCTTTCTGAGTACTGTTGGTAAACAAAGGGCCCGGGGATAGAGGGAACAGATTTGCAATTTCAGTGGGCCTTTGAGACACACCATGGCCATAAAGCTGCATAGCATGCCCAGCCTCGTGTACATGCCATCCAACATCGCTGCCATCCATATCCACAGAGGTATCGTTGAGGTGGAGGGGAAATCCGAGTTGAGAGTCATAAGAATCAGACCGGGTGGAATTGGGTGTCCCATGTGCAGAATTTAGAAACTCCATGCTCGGCTCCAGCCAGTCGCTGTCCCGATTGGAATTTAGTGATTCTTCGAGTCTTTCTGTTAGGATAATGTCATCGTAATCAGAGAAGGCAGGTGTAGTGGCATTGTCCGGTAGCGCAGACTTTTCACCACCTGGCAGAGGCATCGGGCGTACAGTTGTCATGCAGTGATTCATGCCTTTTGGTAGCTTACTTGTCTTTCGTCTGCGCTTTGCACCATTCTGCACGAATCTAAGCGGGTTGTTAGTGGTCTGTAGCCACATTGCGTCCAATCCTCGATTATCCGCATCAGTTAACACTGCGGCTGCTGCGCTGTGATCGTCTTGCTGCGGAGGCCTTTCGTTCTTCCACACGATGTCCATGACAAAGCCACCACATCTGCGTCCTCCGTCAATACAAGGACCACATTGCGGGCGTTGACGGTCGCAACGCCTCCGCAATCGCAAGCACGTGTGGCAATCGACCTTTGCTGAGCCAAGAGTATTCGTTCTTGGGTACGACCGCGAGGCCGTCGAAGACATGACATGCAACAATATCTTTGCTCCCTGGCGGTGATAGCGCCTGAGGCCTACTTCATTGGCTGCGGAGGCATACTCTGGGGCAAAAGCATGCTGGGTTGGGTGGCTGAGATGCTGATAAGTCGTTGCTCGTGAGGTCGATTGCCGACCAACCGAGATGCAGAACATGTCAAAAGCGGCATCGGATTTACTAGCAGCGCTTGCCTAAATCAGCCTACTATCCTTGCCACTTTGACCTGGGCCCTCCTCCAAACCGACAAATAGATATCCCTTCTCCATTCCACTCACAAGAACAGTTGGACCACAACCATCGAGTCTCAAATAGATAATATATGGTTTACGTGGCTATCAAAAATCAGTGGGCGTATCTCTCCAATTATCAATGTCACCATAAATACAATGCGGGAGAAACCAAGCAGCGTAAGAGACAGAAAACCCGTACTCTCTACCACCCATTCGTACCTATTTCACCCTTGAATCTGTATTGGAGTGACGCCCCCTCTCCTGAACCAAGCCTCCAGGCCGGTTTTCCAAGCACAGAATTCGCCGTCGATGTGCGCGGCGATTACCAGTGTCTTGGGCTCAAGCTTCAACGTCTTTGAAGGCTGGTCATCGCCTGGCAGCTCACTACTGCCCATCATTAGCGTCTCCTGTCGGCTCCAGTCGTCTGCGCCCTGCTGGAAGCGCACGCCGCCCCCCAGGAGGTCCGCCATGACGACTCCGGAGCTGCGCTGATAGCTTTCTGTCACGCGGATTGCGCGTACCTTGTCCATCCCCAGGGGCCGAACGTAGGCGTGGACTTTCTCCAGGGCGTCAACCATGGCCTGCTCGCGGCATTTGACGAGAAGCTTCCTCTTGGTGGTGTCGTCGAGTTTCCACTTCAAGGATTGCACATTTACCAAGGGTATTTTGCTGACTTGCGCAAGCAGGCTTCCGAGGGCATCGAAGCAGCGGAACTCTGCTTCGATTTCGATGGAGGACTCGTACTTTGGTGTCTCGGACTTGAGGAAAGAGCCGGGTATCTGATACGAATAGCTCCGGAATGCGGTGACTGACAGATCGACAATGGCGGGTTCGTCCGGGACAATCGAAATAGTGGTGGCATTACTGGTGAGATTGTGCGAGGACGGCGAGGTGGCGACCTGCGCGAGTGGCCTCAGGGTGCCGAGGATCTCGTCAGCAGCCTTGCGGACTTCATCCGCGACCTTGTCCTGCTTGGGCCCTTCGGAATAGATGCGTAGTGAAATGATGGCTCGGTTGGCGGGTACTGTGATGGTGGACTCGCCTTCCAGGGAAACAGAGATGGGCTTCGGAGCGGAGAGGTAGGACGGGATACCCAGCACACAAAGCACAGTGATGACGGACTGCTTAACCCAGGAAGAGGCTATCATTTTGGTAGGAACGGGCTTCCGAGGAAGAGAGGAATAAACCAAAGGGTATGGGAACGATGGGGTTAAGCTCTCAGCTCTTGGAATCAGAGTAGTGTGTCCCAGGAATCATATGAAGGTGTGTGTGAAATCCCAACTAGAGCCCCGGCGCGGAGCCAGAGTAGCTTCTTCTTCACGAAATCGCCGCCGCTGTCTTACCTTTCTGAGAAGCGTTTACCAACTCCTTTGGTAAGAGGCGAAATTCTGATTCCCATGGCGTGAGTCAGTGGTGGACGAATTGTATATCAACAGTGGACATGACAACGGGGCAGAGGCCAGATTGCCACAGTGAGTCGCTGACTCAGCGCTGATCTATCAGCAGAATATCAGGTGATCAGCTTGCATTCTGGGGCTGAATACGCCGCCGGAGCTACATGAGGGGAGATTTACTACACCGTAGGCGCTGGATTGGTAATTTATTGACACGGCGTCGTCCACGAGAAGCAAAGGAACGCGTAACTAAATCATGCTTTGAATTGCGGGAAAGGGTCCAGACAAAGGCAAGGCAAAAAAAGCGGCGGGAAAAGCAAGAAGACTGGAGATGAAACCTTACTTTTCATTTATATTTAATTGTACGTCTAGGCGAAATCATCACATCAGCAACATGTGGGATGGACAGATTGGACTAGTATGCTTTATGTATCATATCATAGCTATGATCTGGTTCGTTAAATTGGTACCGGCACGATCGAGAATGCAAAAATATGCAATGCAATATGTGCAGTTGTCGAAAAAGTATTCACCAATCCTCCTCTCAATAGACGTCGCGCCTTCTCCCCACTCCATGCAAGACAAAATACATCAGGTCTGAGTTTCATAGATGAAGGGTCGGGGTGGGTTGAGCCTCCTCATCCTTGTCCTGCTGCCAGCCTAGCCATACAAACGGGTTCCGAGCGCGGAGGCGGAAGGCTGAATGCGCTGTACTGGCCGGTTCAGGGTCTGTGGCGCGAATGCCGATCGAAAGTGCAGATGTGACTCGAGGAACTGCAGCAGAAGTGGTCAGTAAATGATTCTGGAAAGCAAAGCGTTTATAAATTGGCCCTGAGCCCGGGTCGGATTCCATTGGCGGGAAGGTTTGAAAGGATGCCCCTGAGGAAGTAGCGTCAGGATGAACGGCGCCGATATCCCACGAATTGCTGGTATATGCCGAACCAGATTGCGAACAGCCTTGAGCAGCTTGTTGGACTCCTTGATTACCAATCCCACTGTGTGGATGGTGTGGCATGGCAGAGCGAGCATAGCCCCATGTGCTTGTGCGGTTAGATGGACCAGGTTGTATATGAGCTTCAGTGCTGTTCACAGCACCTGTTGGCTTGAGTTCTTGAATGCCGTAGCTTTTGAGGTCCATGAGTGTGACCACCGAGGTATCTGTAGCTTCAGCGCGGGCTTCCAGAGTGGGAGATGCTGAATCCATCGAGGCGTATGCGGCGGTCGAAAGCTCAGTCTCGACCTCTGCAGAAACAGTCATAACCGTACCACCAGGCATGGTCATGACATATCCCGTTGCAGCCGAGTTCCTGTCCGCTGTTGCGGAAGCTTGAGTGGTGTAAAACGCCGATGATGGAGCAAGTGGAGAAAACCAAGCACCCCGGGAAGCGTTATTGTGCTGTTCCCAAGTCCAGTTTCCAGGAAGCGTGCCAGTGGCCCAAGCAGGTCGACCATGTCCAAAGTGTTTTCCAATGCGAGACCAAGGTCCGTCCTCAGTGGACGCTCCGGCAGGTGAGGGGTAATCGGGCAAGGGAGTGGTAGAATAATCATACTGACCTGCATCACGCTTAGTGTACATAGTTTGGTACACTGTCTCATAAACGGTCTCAGTGACAGAGTCATACTCGGTCAAGGTGAGGACACCAGCTTGATTGTTGATAGCTGGTACGGAGGTAATCTCTGGTTCTGGTCCATTGGCATGAATGATTAGCTTGAATCTTCTGCCGGCACGATTGGAAGTTTCGATTGTGTTCTTACCTCGACCTCCACGGCCACCACCTCCATTGGGAGGTCCCTGTCCTTGACCAGCAGCAGCTGTTGCGGCGATGGGCTGAACGGTAAAAGTCTGAGTCTCGACACCAGGTCCAGCAGTTGAGCCTGTGTGAACAGTCAAAAAATCTGGCTCGCCAGTCGCTGTGTGCGTTGCAAGTGCGACACTAGCATCACTTGCAGCACCGGCAACTGGACCTGTTGCTGAAGCTGAGAAGGCGATGGTCGAGCCTGTAGAGGACGTGGTTAGCATCTGCGAGCTGCTAGACGGGGCTGGTGGGGAGAAAGTGGCAGTTTCGGTAAAAGGAATTGTCTGACCTGTAACTGCAGTAGGATTGGCAATATCAAGCACTTGGGCTTTAATTGCGGCTTGATCAGCTGGCTGATCTATCCAGGCACTACCTTGTGCCTTAGATATAATTTCGACACCAAAGTCACTGGTGATATCAATGTCCATGCAGGTGGTGTAGATTTCTTGTTTGCCTTCAGGGAAACCAGGGGTACCAGGCAGAGTCGGCCAATCCCAAACCCAGTAAAGGGTATAGGGCTTGCCGCTAGGGGCAGAGGTCGGGATCTGGATATCTTGTTGGCACCAAAGATCACTACCCATGACCATGTTGAAGGGGTGCCCGTATTGCCCTTGGCGTTGGCTGGAGATTGCACCACCATTGACCTGGTAGCACTGGCCATCATCAAAGTTCTGGGTAGAAAGAAGAACGCCACGACGATCACCACCAGAGCCGTCCGGAGTCCACACTCGATGGATTGCGAGGAAGGAGTCGTCTGGACTAGGCTGAGTGGTACCATAGACGTAGACAGTTCCTCGATTCTGAGGCTTGCCGGCTTGGGTGCCAGGAAGGCTCACATGTCCATTTTCTTGATATCTCAGACCAACAGCGGAGCCAGGAGCGGCCTGCAGTCTTGGGCTGCCGTCGGTTTGTGTCTGAGAACTTTGGCTGATTTTGCACATCAAGTCTTGAGGTTGGATCTGGTTTGCTGGGCGCCCATCGGGAGGAATCAAGTTGACCATAGCAGGATCGCCAAAACCAGGGGTGCTGCGCAAGACGTTGCCACGGGGAAACCCAGGCTGACCGACCATTGTACCATTAGGCGCGATGACCATCAATTGCTCAACCCAACTATGCGCAGTGGCAACGGAGAGAAAGGTTGTAGAAGCAAGCAACCCGATGAGGGCGCTGCGCAGAAGAGATTTCGAAGGCATAGTGGTGGAACTGGAATATCTGGGTCTGCTGAATATGTGATACTCGGCCAGCGAAGTGGACTTTTTCGATAGTAGTGGTTGAAATGGTTTGGTTCCTAACTGAAGTGGATGTGTTTGTGCGTTGAAAATGTTCGAGTTCGAATGTGGTATCTTGCAATGAGCGTCTTGGTTTGATCCTAAGCGGTCGAGTGTCAAGAAAGATCGTGATTTGTTAAATGTGCGGCGCTGCCGGCTGCCTGATCAAAGGAGTGAAAGAAAGCACAAAGACAATGAGGACGTGAAGGAGTGACTAAGTTGGCATTGTCCTCAAGAACAACGAAGCCTTACAATGCTTGCGCAAGCATTGTGCAGTGTCTTGTGTTGGCAGAAAGAACAATAGCAAGAATGGTAGGACGATAAGCGAGGAAAAGAGGTGGTTCACTTTCGACCAGCGGATAAGGTGAAGCGTGGCAAATGTTCACGAGGACACGACGCCTTGACCAACAAAACGGGTCGTGTAGCATGAATATGGGAATTTCCGATCGACATCTAAGCGCAAGGAGGTGATGGAACCGTTTGATCCGAGAGCCTTGATCCATGGTGATTAGGACTGACCCCTTACCAGGAAGCAGGTTGCGGGATGATGATCAACAGCCCTGTCTACGGGAGAGAACACCAGTTTTAAGGTGTGGTAGGTGTACAAGCTTCGGGTGCATGCAACCAATGCATGCTCGTTGACGGTCCGAATATGCAGTCAAGGGCCAGAACATGAGGTCGTTGGCGTTTCAAACCATCCATCCGCCCCGCGTGGTGGACCGGGGTACGGGTTTGAAGCTTGGTTTGGTGCGGATCTGGCTGCAGATCTGCGATAGAAGCGATAAAGCCTGGTGGATTCGGGAGCATCCACTGCAATATGCTATATGGAGCCTCGCCGGCAGGCATCTGCCGGTTGCTATTGTTCCTTGCATTGTTCCATGGCGCTGAGTGAAGTGAGCACTGGTCAGGCAGGCAATGAGCGAAATGAGCCTGTGCGACTCCCAGGTCCCAACCTCACTGATAGTTCACAAGCCACCTGTCAAAGGATTGCGCAATATGTCATGGGTGCCAATGGCCGTCAGTGGCTCAAGAATTCAAGGTCCTTTCGACCCCTTTCATCTCCTCCTCTGGCTGATGGAGGAGGAGCTGGTCAAAAAGTGGGAGGACTCGGGAAATCAGGGGCTGCTGAGAGGTGAAAATGAAGTTGCTTCAAACCTTAGCACGTGTTTCAAATCCAGTTTAGCGCCGCCCTAGTCGGCACTAGCATCAGATAGCGCGGGCCTTCCCCGCCAATCGTGACCTGTCAGCTGCATGTTCTGCATCTCGATGTTTGCACCACTTGAGCATCCCACTGACCTGGCTGGTGACCGCCTCAGCCTCAATGGCACGGCCAGAAGTGGCCATCTGCGGCCATGTGCTCTTCTCCAATGACTTACCATGGAAACATATATTCCCATGTGTGACGCGTTGGATGTATTTCGAGATCGGGCCCGGATAGCTCGGAGTTCCAACAGCCAAAGAGGGTTGCAAGGAACGTGCAGTACCAAGTAGCATTGTCCCGCGCGTCTAGCGATCAGTCTCGCCATCAAGCTGGTGTGACAGCTATTCTTGCAAAATATGCCCACCTTGCCTTCGCTAAAACCTGTCACTACTCGGTTCTCGGTAGGCCACGCCGGCCGAGACCACATACTGTACAGACCTACTCGTATGTACTCCGTACTCGTTTGCTCCGTTCTTGGTATATGACATCAGCCTTGGCCAACGTGACACACGAAAGTAATTAAAGGATAAACAGCCCAGAACCTGGAATATCTGTGCCTGCTTCCCATGGTCCATTGAAGGACAGAGTGACGACAGGCAAATGGCAACTCCGCACCCCATGCTAGCTATTTCCGCGCCTCGCTTAGACGAATGAGATGAGACGCTGCACCACGGCCCAAGTTGAATGATATTGCCCAAGCTTTCCCCGTCAATCAGCACTGTCGCGTGCCCCCCTGCAGTCAAGCTCCTAATCAAACAAAAATCCTCCACTTCACCTCTTGAAACCGCTTTTTACTCGTAGCCAAGCCTCAAAGTCAAGAAGCTCACTGTTCAACAAACGGCCCTGAGCAACATCGGCACCATATCCATGGTTGACAAACCAATTGAACATTATGCCAAGTTCGGGGATAGCCTTTTGGAGCAGCGTGCCCAACAATCCGTACGTGAGGGGCATTGGGCGGCCTAGCACTTTCCAGAAGACCTCATTGGCCTCTGCCTGGGTGAGCTCATCACCAGCCAAGCTGATTGCCGTGTTCCTGTAGTCATCGGTCTCAGGAGAAGATATTGCTTGGGCAGCGAAGACTCCGATGTCATGGGTTGAGATTATCTGCAGCTTCTTTGTTCCCATACTTTTCCACATGGTGGCAAACATGCGCCCACCAAAGTTGGGAGTCAGATTCTCCATGAAGGCAACGGGGCGTAAGATTGTGTAGGTCATTCCACAACTTAGAGACTTTTCCTGCAGGTGCTTTTCGGTTTGGTACTAGGTCGAATCAGTCATTGTCTCCGAGTTGGGGTGGGTGCCATCGAGTCAACTTGCCTTTGAGATAAAATGCGGGACGTCTGTCGCATCTACATCAGATTGAGTTGGCCCTCCACGATCGACAGAAGAATAGACAAAGTGTTTCACATCGTGGGCGATTGCAGCACCAATGAGATTGTTCCCTTGCCTGGTTTCCTCGTTCTCAGTGTTCTTCTTGAGTGAGGGTAATGTGACGCAAAAGACTGCGTAAACTGAGCCCACCCCCCCGGCCTTTGTGAAGATGCTTCCGGGGTCGCCAAGATCGCCTTCAACGAGTGTAACTTTTTGCTTGGCTGCAAGAGCTTTGGCTGCAGAGGAGGTGATCTTGCGAGTGAGGGCGAGGATTTGAAAATCGTAGGGAGGAGGCTTTGCGAGCAGAGCCTCAACAACAGCTCCTCCTTGCTTGCCTGTTGCACCAGTGACGAGAATTTTGCGAGTGGACATGCTATATGTACTGTGAGCTTGAGCCGGGCGGGGATTTCTTGGACCTATAAATGTGAGCAGGCTTCTAACTGAGTCTTGGGAGTTGAAACTGCGGGAAAAAAAATAAAGGAAACAATGCATTGTATTGTCGGAGAGGATTCCGGAGTTGACGTCATTTGCCGGACCCACACGTGACGCGACGCGACGCGACTGGACACCCGCGTTATCAGCTGCATTATCTCGCGGCGGTCGAGTCGCTACTGCGTACTGTGTGTATATTAATATTAATTAATCAATTCCTGATGGCGCACTGTTGCGATACAGCCGGAACAATATAGACTACCGTGCTGGGGAAGATGATCGGTGGCCTGGCTCGCCCCCTGACGCGTCTGGCCTGAACCCGAAGCCTCGCTGACAACGCACTATCCATTTCACACCCAGGTGAGCTCCTTACTCGAAGCTCAGAAAACTTTTCTGACCTAAAAGGTTTCCAGAAACTTGCCTTTTTGAGAATAAGAAAAACAGGAGGATGCTGGTGGGCTCCATGCCTTCAGCCCCGTGACTCGCTTATCCCACGCTTGCGAAGTCTCACAATTTGACCAAGGCAGGAAAATTCCAATCCCATGCACATGGCGTCTCAAAGTGCATTACGAGGTTATAACCACCTTGACAGGCACTCTCCCTTCATCTTCTCCCTCCTTCGCTTGATTTGCAGCTAGTCTAAAGGCCTTATCGCCCTCGGAGAGTGCGACTCGATGGGTGACAAGATCATCTGCTACGCCGTCTAGCTTGCCACTGGCAAATAATGCGATGGCTGCCGGGTAGCAATTGGCGTATCGGAAGACGCCAATGATGTCTACTTCTCTCAGAGCAGCGGCTCCCAACGGCAATGTTTGAGTTGGCGTTCCCATCCCAACCAAAACTAACTTCCCTCCAGCTGTGGCAGCGAAGATTCCAATTTGCACGCACGAGGGGACGCCGGTGCATTCGAAGACCCGGTCAAACCCGGTAGGTAAGCCTGCCGATCTGGCCAGTTGTGCTGCGAGCTCCTGGGCCCCGGCAAAGGTCTCTTCGATGGCAGAGGCTGGCGGTTTTCGTGGCAGCAAGTACGTCTTGAGTTTATGCTTGCCGCCTGCGAGCGCCTCGGCAATCTTCAGTCTGGGCGCATCAATATCGGCAATGACAATTTCTGAAACCCCGGCAACCGATAGAGCCGCAGCAGTCAACATGCCTACAGCACCGGCACCCAGCACCAAAGCAGACGAACCGACCAAAGGAACGCCCGCAGCGGAACCGGCAGTCTGGCTTCGATTGAGCGCGTGGAGTGACACAGCCAAAGGTTCGATCAAAGCGCCCTGCTCGAAGGTGACGTTGTCGGGAAGCTTGTGGCACATGTCTTCTGGCTGTGAGATTGTGGTCTGCAGGGTGCCATCCAGATGAGGAAAGGTCTTTGCTGATGATCGGAAGGATAGCTTGGGACATAGATTGTAGCGACCAGCTGCACATAAGAGACACGTCCGGCAGGGGAAGCCAACCTCTAGGGCTACTCTATCTCCTACCTGTAGATCCGACGAGGGAGTGTGTCCATTCGCGCTGGCAGCGTCCCGTGAGTGGGAGAGGGCTGTGACAATGCCAGAGGCTTCATGGCCCAGCACCAAGGGTGATTGAAGAACAAAGTTGCCATTGCGCCCGTGGTTGTAATAGTGTAAGTCTGATCCGCAAATACCAGTTGCTTTGATCGCTATTTGGACCTCCCCTGCACAAGGAGCAGGTAGGCTGCGTGTTTCCTGGAACCTAACATTAGTTTGCATTGACTCAGAAGAGAAGAGGGTCAGTCACCAGTCTGAGATCTTTGGGCCCGTGAAGGACAAGAGCCTGAACGCTATTGGTGTCGGTGGTGGTGGCAGACATGTTTGGAGATGCACTATTTGTGTTGTCGAGTTCTGATGTTAGAATCTGCAAGCGTTTTGTTCTCCTGTCCTGTGTTAATGCTTGACGTGGGCAGAGTATATCATAGTCATAGTCATACTCCTGTTCCTGTTCGCAGTCCTACCAGTCCTACGAGTAGACGATGCACGCCCGCTTGGGCTATTATTGTAGGGACCCCCACGGAAACAGATTACCCAGTCAAGGTTGGTACACCTTTCTCCGAATTATGGGTTCTGGGGAATTCGGCAGGCGTCGAAGAATAACAGGTAATAATCCTTCCACAGTGTGATTGCAGTAATCATCGGCGAAGAGGTCCGTCCGCCGTGTCGATTGCCGCAGCCGTGGGGGTTTGTCTGAGGAAGAGGATCCAGGAGAGAACAGCCGCTCCCCACCGCCCAACACGACGCGATGCGGATATTGACGCATCTAACGCCCTTTGTTCTACTCATTGTAATACGATGTCGAGGTGTAATATGCATTGCTGTACTTAACTAAGAGTCTCATAGTGACCCAGTCAGTCAGCAAGAGCCTACTGCCAACTGAATCCGATCTGTCCAGCTCCATTGCGTGTCCAATTCTTCGGGCCTCAGAAATCAAAACACAATATCGATGTACTCTACATACATAATCAGTCCCCTCACTCGAAATCCCCAACTCAGGCAACTCGGCTTCAAACGCCGATCGTCCAAATTATCCGTCGCTAAACCTGTAGGTACATTGGAAGGCTCCTCGAACCAGTTCCTATGTAGAATACCGGATGTTTGTACTGACCTTCCTTTCTTTGCCTGACCTCAAGCTGTGTAATTATTTGTCTCGTGCCCGTCCAGCAGCTGACGTTAGATGCCTGCTAAAACATATATTGCGCACAACGCCGATTAAATATTCCGGTTTCGCTCTCAATCCCGATGTCCTGCATTTAAAAGCCCTGCATGGCCCACAAAATAATATCTAGATCAGCTTTGATACATCGGCATCTCTCTACCATGTCGAAACCGACAGTGCTACTAATCGGCGGGTTGACCCACGTCAACAAGGAATGGGAGGCATTTGGCTCAAAGTACAATCTGAAAGAGTTTCGCACAGGCACCCGTGAGGAATTCCTCCAGAATTGTAAAAAGGGCGAATACGATGATGTTGTCGCTCTTTACCGATCTAACACTTCGGTCTCGGAGACCGGCCCTTTCAACCAAGAACTCGTGTCCGTCCTGCCGAAGTCCCTCAAGTACATCTGTCATAATGGTGCCGGCTACGATAACATCGATGTCGACGCTGTAACCAGCAAAGGACTACAGGTCTCCAGTACGCCCATTGCTGTAGATGATGCAACCGCTGACATTGGCATTTTTCTATTGCTGGGCGCTCTCCGACAAGCTTGGCCTCATTTAGCAGCGATCAAGGCCGGTGGGTGGAAGGGCCAGGCCCCTCTTGGCCATGATCCCAAGGGGAAAGTCGTCGGGATCCTGGGAATGGGTGGTATTGGGAGGGTGAGTTGTCTACGATACGAATAACCACGCATCTCAATCTGATCATCTCGGAATAGGCATTTGCGCACCGCGCGCGAGCATTCGGGGCGAAAATTGTCTACCATAACCGTACGCGACTGTCTCCGGAGCTCGAGGGAGATGCCGCTTATCTATCATTCGACGAACTACTGGCCCAGTCAGATGTACTCAGCCTCAACCTGGCTCTCAACCCCAACACGCGTCACATCATTTCCGCTCCAGAATTTGCCAAGATGAAGGATGGAGTGGTGATTGTGAACACCGCCCGAGGCGCTTTGATGAAAGAAACCGATCTCGTCGCTGCCCTCGAAAGCGGGAAAGTGTCTGCCGTGGGGTTGGATGTGTTTGAGGACGAACCCATCGTGAACCCGGGACTGGCTACGAATCCCCGTGCTTTCATTGTACCCCATCTCGGAACCAGCACGATCGAGACCCAGCGAGATATGGAATTGTTGGTGCTGAACAACTTGGAAAATGCAGTTGAGAAAGGGTCCTTGTTGACTCCGATCTCTGAACAAAAGGGCATATTCGGGAGTCTTTCATGATTCAACGGGAATTTGGGATATCCAAGGAATCATTGGTATATACTTTGATGTTTGGAACAGAAATGGCCACAATAGATGAACTGACCGAGACCTCGTTGATACATACCCACGCCCATGCAAATTTGGCAGGAAATAACTAATAGTCAAATAACTAATAGTCATGTGACAAGGCCCCAAGCTGACATGTCACTGCACGTGACTGAGTAACCTCGGCTCAAGACTTCACATGTCAATCAACTGAACCCGCCATCCATCCTCAACTACAACCACCATCATATCACGCCCACTCGAACTCTGCACATGTGTCATGTACACGGCCTCTCTATCACACAGCACCCACACTTCGATCCCCCTTCTGCAACGCATGAGCAGAATCCCGTTATAGCGCGGGCTACGATGAACACCCACTGTTCCCCTCTATAGCGCCTTCAACACTATCGACCTCATCACACATATCCTCCCTACTGTCGCCATGGCGGCCCAGTCCAAGGAGGATCCTTTAATGCTCATCTACAACCACTACGGAAATCTGCTCCGAACACGCCTTCGGAGAACACCCAAATCTTTCAAACTTGCGGCCACCGCTGCCCTCCTCCTCTCTATCCTCTCGACCAGCTATGGCGGGTATAGATGGTGGCAGCAAAGATCTCAGGACAAGGTTCAAGGTCGAACTTTGCTGAGAAAGAATAGTGGCCTCAGAGGGAAGGGAGGAGAGCGCATCATCTATGTTCCCAAAGGCAACACCACCTCAAAAGTCGTCATTCATCCGACCCGTCCCACAACCTTCGATGCCCATCGACGACTTTTTCTGACTCCTCCACGAGTCACTCGCATTGGCAGCGGTGCCTCCACTCCGGCCTATGGCCCGCCTCCCCAGACCAAACCCGGCCTCAATCTGGCCTTCCTCCACCAGTTTCTCAGCTTGTTAAATATCATGATACCCCGCTTTCGCAGCAAGGAGACGGCCCTATTGTTGAGTCATGCAGTCTTTCTGATCCTACGGACATATCTTTCCCTAGTCGTCGCCAGGTTGGATGGTGCTATTGTTCGTGATTTGGTTGCTGGCCAGGGCAAGTCCTTCTTGATGGGCATTCTAAGATGGCTGTCTGTCGGCACCTTGGCTTCCTACACGAATTCTATGATCAAGTTCTTACAGTCTAAGATTTCCATCGCCTTCCGGACAAGACTTACTCGGTACATTCATGATTTGTACCTCCACCCCAACCTCAACTACTATAAACTCACCAATCTAGATGGCGGCGTGGGACAGGGCGCCGATCAATTCATTACCCAAGATCTCACTCTCTTTTGTACCGCTGCCGCATCCTTGTACTCTTCTTTAGGAAAACCTCTTGTGGACATCTTCGTCTTCAATTACCAACTATACCGCTCTCTCGGACCGTTGGCACTCACTGGCCTTCTATCCAACTACTTCGCAACCGCAACACTGCTTCGACGGTTGTCTCCACCATTTGGAAAGTTAAAAGCCGTGGAAGGTAAGAAGGAAGGCGATTTTAGAGGCCTTCATTCTCGGTTGATTGCCAACGCCGAAGAAGTTGCATTCTACGGTGGCGCGGATGTAGAAAAGGTCTACCTGAACAGATCCTTCAAGGAACTCCGGAGCTGGATGGAAGGAATCTATAACGTGAAGGTCCGGTACAACATGCTCGAGGACTTCATTCTGAAATACTCCTGGTCAGCTTTTGGATATGTCATCACCTCTATCCCGGTCTACCTCCCAGCATGGGCGGGATTCGATGCCTTGCTTGAGACTCCCGGTTCGGCAGCTGCAGAGGTCACCGAATCCATACGCGAACGATCTCACATGAAAGACTTCATCACCAACAAACGTCTAATGCTCTCTCTGGCAGATGCGGGGGGTCGCATGATGTACAGCATCAAAGATTTGTCTGAACTTGCAGGATATACCTCACGTGTCTATCAATTGGTTTCCACATTGCACCGGGTTCATGCCAACGCTTATGGTGCGCCTAGTCAGCGGCGTAGTCCTGGCCGGTTTGAACTATTCTCTCTGACCGATGTTCAAGGTACCGTCCACGCTGGCTTTGACGGCGTTAGATTGGAGGACGTCCCGGTTGTTGCTCCCTCACTGTGGCCGTATGGTGGCGACGAACTAATCGAATCTCTTTCCTTCGTCGTTCATAGTGGTGAGCACCTCCTCATATCCGGCAGCAATGGCGTCGGTAAATCTGCCGTTGCCCGTATCGTCGCAGGCTTATGGCCAGTATATCGAGGACTTGTTTCTCGACCCCGCTCCGTTGGCCAAGATGGGATAATGTTCCTACCACAACGGCCGTACCTCAGTATCGGAACGCTGCGTGACCAAGTCATTTACCCCCATACCGAAATGGACATGGGCGACGCTCAAAGGAGAGACAATGAACTTGAGCACATTCTTGAAGACGCAAAGCTAGGCCATCTACTTGCACGCGAGGGCGGATGGGACACTCGGAAGGAATGGAAGGACGTCCTTTCCGGCGGCGAGAAGCAACGTATGGGAATTGCAAGATTGTTCTATCATGAACCAAAATATGCTTTCCTAGACGAGGGAACATCAGCCGTGTCCAGCGATGTCGAAGGACTATTGTACGAGCGATGCAAGGAGAAAGGAATCACTCTCATCACTATCTCGACACGAGCAAGCCTGAGAAAGTATCACACATTCAACCTGGTGCTTGGTCTGGGAGACGAAGGGTACGACTGGGAGATGGTGCGCATTGGTACCGAGAAGGAGAAGCTTGGTTTGGAGAAGGAGATCACGGAGCTGAAGGAGAGACTTGCAAGGGTACAGGAGTGGGAGCAGCGGAAGAAGGAGATAGAGGAGGAACTCGGGAAGGTGCTTGTTGTCGGGAAATTAGATGAGTTGAAATCACCTGGCTATGTGCTTGATAGCGAGAAGAGCGAGGGGTCAGCTACTACGCCAGATGGTCTTGAGGTGGCTTCGTGAGAAACCGGTGCCTTTTGATTGAGTGTGTATTCCTCCTTGGTGGGATAGGAATGCGCGGAACAGGTAGTAGGAATATCATGAGCAACACAATGGATGTACGAATATAATGCTCACTACAGCATACTAAACATACACCTTAGGCCACCGAGGGTTGTTCGGTCCACACTCATCGCTTGCTGCTCTATCCCAATCTCATGACCCGACAATAAGCAAGGTAGAAATACACACTCAAAAGAACAAGTGAAACTACATTTCAGAAATGGAACCATGACTAGACTTCTACAGACAGACCCACTGCTGTATTAGCAGGAAGATTGGGTGAGAGAAAGATGGTCCAAAACAATGAAGTCGCGATGTAGGTGTGATGTTTCAGTCCAACATTCGGACTGACCCGCATGTACGCAGGAGATATCCCAAGGCCTCTCTGCATTCATCTGGTCCGCTTCACTTTCTGAACAAGCCACCACGACCAGGTCCACCACCGCTCAGCTTCGCGCCCAGGCTCTGGCGCGGGGCCTGGTCTTGGTGGTGCTTCCGATGAAGAAACTCGCGCTGGCGCTGGCTGAAGCTCAGGCTCAAGTTCGCGTTCACCGTTCCTTTGAAACTGCCAGTCGCGTCAGCAGCAGCAGCAGCAGCAGCAGCACCACCACCACCACCACCACCATCACCCGCGGAGGGCAAACGCAAACACGATCCCGACCTGCCAACGAAGGCGCCATGGAAAGCACGCGCGGACCCTGCTGCGGCTGGAGAAGCCTCGAATTCTGCGTCTGTTTCCGCGTCGCCCATGTCGCGGAGATCGCCTGTTTTCGATGCACGGTGGAAAACCTTTCGTGGGCTGCGTGTTGGGACGATTGGGGAGGTGAGTGCCTTTTGGGCACGCTTCGATTTCGTGCGGATGGACACCATGCGAGCTGGGATGATGGGTTTCCGGAGCGTCACTGTCTCCATGACTGCAACGTCTCCATTGGCGCTGGCATTCTCATCTGAGCTATCCTCTGATGGTGCGTGGCCTGCGGAGGCGCCAAAGGGTGAGAATGTCGAGATTGGAGAGAACACTGGAAGTGCTTTTCCATGGTCTGCCTTACCTGCAACTGAGGTGGTCCGGGTCTCCTGATGAGGCTGCAGGCTTGAGCCAGAAGCGAAAACCCTCTGGCTTGAATAGGGCGCTGATGCAAGAACAGCTTCCTCTGTCGAACGCACAGGTATCGCCGGCAAACTCGTGTCAAGAGGCCCAATGGGCCCAAGCTCTGCTACAGAGGCATCATCGATTTCGTTGAATGGCTTACCATCAAAGGTGAGAGTCAACCACGCGCTTACCTTCTCCTTGCTGTGCGCTTCCTGCTTGAGGACCTCAGCAGCGGCGCCATACTCGTCGTCGTCATCCTCGCAGTCAGGGTCTGATTCGTCTTTGACAACGCGTCCCGAGGTGGATTGCTGGCGAGAGGCGGCAGTGTGCTTCTTGCTGGCCCAGCGGACTGTGAGCTTTGTGGCAACACGGCGCATAAGTGTCGCGGTTTTGGCCTTGAGAGCCTTTTTATCGGGGTCTAAGGATGCAAAAGACGACGCCGTGGTAGATATGGAGCTTGACGAGCGAGGCTTATTCGACGAAGACCGCCGTGGCCGACAACACTCTCTGTCGGAGGAGTCACATGGGAGACCAAGGACGCGACTGGGCTTGAACCTCTTCGCATTCGTGTTGAACTCGTTGATATTGATAGTGCTCTTGGTTCTGGGATGACCATTGAGGCCGAGTGAAACAGCACTGGGGTTAACATCAATAGTCAAGTATCGGAGAGGAAAGGTTTTCTTCAGCATCAGAAGTGCGGTGATGACGTTTCTCGTCAACTCAGTGCCGGGGTGAAGGGGAGAAGTTATTCGCCTGTGCCAGTAGGGGTCATGGAAGTCGCGGAACTCACCTAGGGGTTGCGGCTCAACTACAATGTCCCATCCGTGTTCGCGCTCGTACGCAAAAGCATCTTTGATGCCTTGCTCCACGCGCTTCTTGAGGGCTTTCCGCAGTTCATCTCGAGGTTGGTCGGATTTGGCCCCGACTTTGGTAGCAAGACGTCCTTGCGAGAGCGGTTGTCCCCTGTTACCTACGGCGCGATTCTGGCGGACCTGGTTGATGACATTGAATGCTTTAACCAGATTTACCTTGGAGCGGTTTAGGTTTTCGTGTTCCTTGATGTGACCAGTGTGTGAACTTACGCGGGAGTGGATGGAATCGAAGGGGTGTCTAGGGCGAAATTTCGCATATGCTCCATTGTATTTGTTGGCATCGAGCTGTATGAGCAAAGTCGTCCGGGCGAGAATGAGATTGATTGCCGGATTTGGTAGATCAGGAAACGGCTCAATCTCATCAGCGCCTGTTGCCGTACGGTCGAACGTCAGAACTTGAGCCTTAGGTAGTGGCCATGTGATCTGAGGCTCAGATGTGACATCGAGGATGCCATCGAGAACAGATGTACATTTGCCAGGCTTGTGCCCCATGCCTGATAGGGAGTCCGACAAGGCTGGCATGTGTTCTGTTGGTGGCTCTGTCCCAGCACCGTGTATCTGTCCGGCCATATGAGTGAGATAGGATCGAGAAGATTAGACGTCAGGATAAAGCTATCACTTATCGCTAGTACCAAATCTGTCAATGTTCGATGAAGAAAGAGGATGGTTCATGAGTATATAATAAGACAAAATGGGGAGGATGTGAGCTAGTGTGTGCAAAGAACAGAAGCAAATATATCTCGAAGGCAGGATGGTTGGAAAATCCAAATAGAATGAGGTCGAGGAATAACCTGTGACAATGAACCGCGAACGTGCCAGACAATCAGGAAAAGACGAGGCATTGTGTATTTACTCGAGTGGTTATCGCAGAGGACAAAGGCCAACCTCCATGGTAGTATCGGCAGAACAAAGCATCGTATAAAGCATTGAAACAGTAACGCGACTTCGAGCATAGTGGAATTCAATGGAAGAAAGGAAGTCCCTTTGTATTTTTGAACAGAACTTTTGACTGCTCCTAGGACTATATTGGATAGTTCTACAGCGTGGATAACTGGTGCAGTCCGGTATGACCATGGCAGAATGATCTCGCACTAGCATAGAATGGTGATCACCGCTCTAATAGCAACATGGCTGTTTGGCCTGAGCCTGAGGTTGATCTAGGATGTTCGTGCAAGGTCGTGATATCGTGTACAACCCTCTTTGATACAGTTGTAAGTTGTGAATGTCGAGAATTATTAGCACAATGTTGAATCGAAATAACCTGATGCTCTTGAATCATGTAGCGTGCAAGCCGAAGTTAGAACATCAGGCCAAAAATGGTCGATGACTGTTCACATGCGGTTGAGACCGAAAAGATAACCGAGCTCTCGAACACCTAATCTGGCCACATTCCGGCCGGCAGATTCATCCAAAGCAGTCTCAACCAACTGTCGCTTCTTTTCTTGCAGATTGAGGATTCGATCTTCGACAGTAAAGCCTTGTTCCGGGGCTTTTTCCTCGAAGCCTTCACCACTTATAAGAACACGATGAACTGTCACCTCTCGGAGCTGGCCAATTCTGTAGCACCGGTCTGCTGCTTGATATTCGACAAAGGGGTTCCAGAATGGATCAAGCATGACAACGTGATTCGCGGCTGTCAGATTGAGGCCAGCATTGCCCGCTTTGAGGCTGACGAGTATGATATTGCAATGGGGGTTGTCTGTGAACTCGAGAACAGCGGAATTTCTATCGTTCGAGGACATCGACCCATCATAACGCACATAACTTCGAAAATCTTTGTGGTCATACAAAGGTACCTCAAGTAGGTCAAGGAAAGAGGTGAAGTTTGAAAAAACGATGGTTTTTTCGTTCTCTCCTCGGGCTTTGATTTCCTCGAGAAGCTGCACCGTTTTAATTGTCTTTGCTGAAGGCTGAAAAGTTTTGCGAAGACGCTTTAGATAGTGACGCTTGGCGGCCTGATTCCTTAGGCCTTCCTTGCGAAGAATGGCAAGGCTTTTCTGGGGGACCTTGGGGTTCAACTTTCTCGATTTTGACTGCTTGTCTTTGGGCGTTTCTTGTGGGATGGAATTTTGGCCTTTGCGCTTCTTTTGAGCCGAGTCTGAGTCTAATTGATACTCATAGTCATCCGGGACGATAAATCCATCCAGGTCGGAGCTTTCATCTCCGTCCTCCTCATCTTCAGAGTCATCACTTTCGGTTTCTTCTTCGCCATGCTCGTCAACGGCATCAAGTGGAGGAATACCTGGTCGAGTGGGATCATGAACTCGGAGAAAGCTGACAATATCGGTGATCTTCTTTGAGTCAATCTTAGCTCGACAATGGGGACACGTCGGAGACGCTGCAAGGCCGTCCTCATTGTTAGTGAATTGATCGACCAGTCTACTTAGACAATCATTGCAGAGAGTGTGGCCACAGGGAAAGACCACAGGATTTTCAGCAGCATCCATACAGATTGGGCATTCGAAAGCGTCAAGATCTTTCAAGCGAGCAACGACTCTTGGGTCCAGTTCTGCTGCATTGTTGATAAGGTCGTCAGGACTCAGGGAACCCGCGACCTGAACCATAAAATCATTGCTGTCCACCACGAGGCGTGGGTGGCAGCAAGCTTGTCTTAAACGAAGGAGCAGAACCAAAGCATTCGAGTAATTCCTTCCAATGCCGCCATTGGCGCCTCTTTGCAGAAACCTATTGAACTGAATCTGAGCGTTGTTCTCCAATGCCTTGTAAAAGGTCAGCTCATCCTCGCCAAAGGCGATTCTGTCTTCACTTGTGGTTTTGGGAGGTAGCTGAAGGATAGGCTTCCCGTCAACTTTGGACTGCTTAGTACGACGCAGCAAGATCGCTCGAAGGAGGGCCTGAAGTGTTTGCATTGCTTTCTCCTCCTCGGAGACGGAGATATATCTGCCGTTACCCTTCCTTCTTATCGGACCAGCAATGTCTTTGCTAAACTTAGCCCAGTCGTTGTATGGTCTGATGCGGCAAAACTTGACCAGACTATACATTTCTTCAACATTGTTTTGCATGGGGGTACCAGACAATGCCCATCGATGGTCAGCTCTGATCCGGCACGCAGCCACGGCGGCTTTTGCCATTCTGTTCTTGATATTTTGGGCTTCGTCCAAGATGACTCGATGAAAATGAGAGCGGTCACCCAAGATGGGACAGTGCTCGGCAGCCGATGGCCGTGCATCGGGAACTAGTCTCAGTTTTTCCTCCCATGCCAGTTGACGCTTCATTTCGGCAGCCAGCGAACCGTATGTGGTTAGGACTACATCGTAAACCTTCAATGCGGCCCATGGAACCTTCTTTGAGGAACCGTGATAAATATAAGTCTGCAAGCGATGGCGCGGTTTGACCATCTTGTTGATTTCTCGATCCCATTGCTGCATCAATGCGACAGGAGCGACGATAAGAGTAGGTCTGTGAGAGCTTGGGTCTGGTGGGCGGTCAAGGATCAACGCGATACTTTGAACAGTCTTTCCTAAGCCCATGTCGTCTGCCAAGATGCCTCCTTTATTCGAGCCTTCCTCCATTTTCCTCATCCATGCAAGACCTTTGAGCTGGTGGGGCATCAACGTGGCCTTGAGTTTGTGAGGAGGCTCGACGAGTTCCTCGTTGGTGAGTTCTTCATCTGGTCTGATATGTTTCATGAGTGCTTCCAACTCCTCCTGCGTCTTGGCGGGATCCGCATATTCCATGCCTGGAATCGCATAAGAAGCTGCCGGACTAGGTAGATTGCCAATACCATACGGCGAGACATAAGATTGTGATGCAGCACCCAGAGAAGAGGTCGCACTGTTGTAAGGGGGATAGCTGTAAACGGAGTTACCACCGGTGCTGACGTAGGGCTTGGAACCTGGAAACGCTCCAGGCATGGCTGGTGGAGCGGAATTGGGAGTCCCCGGCATGGTCATTGCTGGGACGTTCTGAGTACTTTGATATCGCCCGCCCTCCCATTTGATATCCGGCTTGATTCCTCCGTAACTTGGGGTACGCGAAGGCAGTGGGTACGTGCTGGCCGGGGTGGTGTAATTTGCGGGGCCAGATCCTGGAGTCAGTTCAGGCTTGATTCGAACAGTAGGGGTCGAGGGGCTTGGAGGATGCATTTCATTCTTAATAGGTGTCCTGCTCCAAGGTTCACCAGCGTTGGTAGCGAATGAAGCCTGAGGTCTGTCAGATGGGATATCAGACTCGGGCTTGACAGGGGCAGGGCGGTTGCCAATGGAGCCATTGGTGTCCAAGAACAACTGGGAATATTCGGCAGAGTGATTGGGTAGAGTCTGTGTCTTCTGCGGCGCACTGCCGGGATCGTTGAGTTCCTGAGATAGCTTTTGGGCGAATTCTGCGTCTAACTGTTCCTGCTTTCTTTTCTCCTCCAATCGACTCAAGTATTTTTGCTGCCGACCCGCATCGCGGGCCTTGTGCTCGCCAAAGATGGACGCAAGGAAAGGGTCATCAACGAGATCGAGGCTGTCGAGACTATCGAAACTGTCTGTTGATGGTGTAGGGGACGGTGCAGCGGACAGGTTTGGAGTTGTGCGGCGAGACTTAGTTTCTGGCTCATCATGATCGTGGTCATAGTCGCTTCTCTGGCGTTTTCGAAAAGAGGGTTCACGAGCTGGTGGTGGCATGAGATGATCTGATCGGCTGGAGGAAAAGGAATCTGGAGTAGCGCCGCTTGCTGGAGTGACGACGTCGGACAAGTGGTTGAGATTGCTTGTTGATTGCATGTTGGTCGAATCTAGAGGTTGACGAGGAGAGTCCAGGTCCTGCAACTGCTTACGAAGGGCCTTGAGGTTGGCTTTGGTGTCTCGAAGAGATTCCTGGGTTTCCAAGTCATCGTCTTCGCATTCACCATATGAAACTGAATGAAGTAGACTTGCTAGCATGCCTTCATAAAGCGCTATCTCGTCTCGAACAGCCTCTATGCGTTCGAGGTGAGCGGGGTCGGGTTCCGGATCCTGAGCCATTTTGGGAGAGTTGGAAGGAGTTTCAAGAGAGTGAGACCATGCGATGGCAGGCAATGAAGGTAGGCAGTCAGGCGCAGGAGCAAGGCGAATAAGCCAAGCCTGAGGGGAAGCGAGAGGCTGCACCAGGTGATGAATCCGAGGATGATGGCAGTGGAGATCAACACATTGCAAATGGTGTCGTACAAGGGCCTGGTTGGCCTCTGAAAGGAGTGTCGGTGGTGGAGTGGCGGTGGTTGTGGTGGTGCAGTGTTGATACAAGAATGATTAATTGGGATCGAGTCTGACGTAGACTGGGGGTAGGAGGAGACGCGTGAAGGTGGTGGGCAAATGAGGGTGTGAGCCCTGTCAATATGATATGTTGGATGCCTTCTTGTAGTAGCTTTGCCTCACTTGAGTTTCATGCTTGCTGAGGGTCTCTCTCTGTGCAATCTTCAAAATTTACAACTGAGTATTCATGGGGCTGTTCAAGGTTGGCGGCAAATAAATGATAATAACGTGACTGCCCCGGATTTTCCTTGCGAGCCAGGGACGCGTCAAGTCGCGCTTAGGCGTGTGTTTCGCGCCCATGCAAGGGAAGCTGCCAGCAAGGAGTCCTCGTCTGGAGCACTTATAGCATTGGGGGTTGGAGGGAGGGAAGCGGAAGGGGCGGACGGGTGCCTATCGCAGCGCTAGCAGGATGCCCCAGGGTCCCCAACCCACCACTTACAAGTGATCTAATAGCTAGAGGTTCGGAGTACCTACATGCATAAGCTCACTCCTGGGTGCTCTGGGTGACTGGTAGGTCTACCCGAAGCACTCCGTACTTGTACAGGACTCTGGTGATCTTCGGAACAAGATAATTCCAACATTGTGGCAGTAGTACCATTTGATGCTGTTCAGGTTGTCTTAATTACTTCAGTAGTGAAAACACCCATATCTCTGACCACAAAACACTCAGTATATTATTGCCTCATCACAGCTCCAATGATAACAGGAACCATCAGTGCAGCAGCCCATCGGTAGATGCCTCGGTGAGTAGCATGTGACCTCTGAATCTTTGCCGAATATGGGGCCTGAGCAATCAACATCCCTGGCAGTGAATTGCGCCGTCTAACCAGATGAGGATGAGTGAACCGCCTCATGGCGGTAGCGTCAACAAGCTGAGCAGTGTGGTGCTTCCTGGACGGGTGATGGAAAAGTTGAGTGGTCATCCGCAGCCCGGGCGGTTGGCTGCTGTCTAAATGGCGAGTGGGAGAGATGGTTGATAAAAGTGGTATGACCGTGGATGTAGATGTACTGTACCTCTTTTCCTCGTATCGAGCGTCTGGATGAACTGCCTAGGTATCTGTTGGGAGGTTCAAGATGGGGGGAGATGGTAGAGAGGACATGTACATGTACTGTAAAGTTGTGGAAGAGGGGTCAAGTCTCTGGGGTGAGAGTTCATGCCTGTTCCGCCCGCAACCGGCTCTGTCTAAGAGTCTTAGGGCGGGTTAAGATACCCCTTTCCTCCCCGCTGGCCCCTGTTCGGGCTCCAGTCAGGTGGCTTCGCCAACGGAACTGCCCAAGTAGCTTAGGTACCTACTGACTGGGGAGTTGCAGGGCCAGTGGAGGCTAGGGGCTCAGTCGCAATAGGCCCGAGGGCCCCTTGGGTGCCCCTCAGGCTAGCAACGTGCACCTGCTAAAGCCACCCGCCCACGCTGGTCTGCCAGTGGCAGGTAGATACTCCGTACTAGAAAGACGGTAGGCCGATCCAACAAATTTCCATCTTTTCATCTCAACACCACCTCTATCACCCATCGCCATCGCATATCAATTAAATCCATGGCCGATAAGAGTCCTCCTGCGAAGCGTGTCTCCAGGGTTTCTCGGGCCTGCTTTGCCTGCCGCGGGCGAAAGAGCCGATGTGACCTGTAAGTCTGCCAGTTCCAGTTAACTTTGTTAAACAGTGGGCCGCGGGTTGGGGGCCCCAGGTACCCAGAAAGGTACCCCATTCGCTTGGGATCCGTACTCGGTATGCCTATTTCCAACGGCTACTGCTCCCAGCATGGCGATGCACGATGAGCAATAGCCGTCGTCGGCAATCTTCGAACCTCTCGTCTCCCATCACTCTATCATGCCGATGCGTTTCATTTGGGTCAAGCTGTCAAGCCATGTCCACTGATCATTCACTAGTGAGGCCTCAGGCGGCGCGCCGCCTTGTGGGAGATGCAAGAAAGAGGGCAAGGAATGCGTCCTAGGTACCTCCAACCGTGGTGGGAGTCGCATCAGGAAGAAGAACCTCTCCACCACCACGCTATCGACTCAATCACATCCGCCGCCCCTGACCACTGTTCACGAGCCCAGCTCTCGCACGCAGCCACCTCCACCACCTTTCCTGCAACCTTCGCCTTCGCACGAATCCCTCCGCACCCCAAACGGCACCAGCACCAGCACCCACACCCACGCCGCACCCACCAATGGAGGAGGGACACAAGGGAATGTGGTTGAAGACGACGACTCAGCATCGACCGCTGATAGCACCATTGGCAACACCATCCCCAGAAACCCATCCGATGCGTGGCAGTTGCTGAAAGATGTTGCCACCAGAGAGGCCAGCCACCGCAACGCAGTCATCGGCATCCACAGTCAGACCGACTTGTCAGATCACAACATGCACAATGGCTCGAGCTCAGAACCAAGGGGATCCATCAATGGCATCCATGCTGGTGTTTTGACATACCGCCTGGTACGCGAGGGCTATCTTAACTCAGACATCATCCACGAACTGGTCAGACGATATGCCGAGCACTATCATCCATACCTTCCCCTGGTTCCCCGCAAGTACTTCGATCCAGCCCAGCTCGACCAGTTTGCGGTCAATAACAAACACCTCCTGACCGCCGTCCTTACCATCGCATCCAAAGATCTGGTTGACCAACCCAATATCCACATCTGCTGTTCACGCTACATGCACGATCTCATATCAGGCATTGCCGCTGGGCATGACTGTGAGGTGGAAGCGGTCGAGGCTCTCCTACTACTGGCTGAATGGGAACCCCAAGGCTTGCGAAATCGAATTGAAGCCGTGGGCCGGGGTGAAGAAGATCGATCGGCCTGGATGCACGTCGGCATGGCCCTGCGTACTGGGTATTTCCTGGCCCTCGATCGGACTGCCTTTCGTCAAGAAAGTGCAGAAGAAGCGCGAATCGACGGTCGCAAACGGTTGGCGTGGGCCCACTGCTACGTATCCGATCGACTCATATCAGTCCGAATTGGAAGAGCATTCTGGTCTAGAGGGCCCGGTCCGATGACAGGTCTATCATCGCAAGATTTCCCATCTCTGCAACCGTTAAGCCCTGGGGATGAAGACTATGCCAAGATCATGCAAGCCACCCTGGATTTGACCCAGCTCTATTCCAATGTCCACGACATTCTCTATTCTGGGATGCGGACTAGTGGACAAATGATGCTCATGGGGGATTATGTCAAGTATGTGGATGATTTCCGGAACGCCATTGCACGGTGGAACACCAGTTGGGGCAAACTGGAATGCTCGCCTCATATCAAGGTGACTCTCCAGATGTCGTACGAGTACCTGTGTCTCTATACCAATGCATTTGTCTTCCAAGCCGCCATCTCTCAAGCAATTGCGAACAAACCAAAGACCGATGCACATTCTCTGAGGGACCATCTCCGCAATGTTTTCAGCAATATCGGTGCGATGCCAGATGCCCGGTTTATTTGGGCCAGTGTGGCAGCAGCCAAGGCATATTTAACGTTGCTCAGTACCCAAATCGATCCCAGCACATATCTACGGTACATGCCACTCAGATATTATCTCTACAGTATCTACTCGGCTGTGTTTCTCTACAAAGCTCGATCCTTCGGGGTCATGACAGACCAGGAAGAGCGGCAGGTCCGGCAACTGGTGTTTCAGGCCATGGAGGTGTTGAAAAGAGCTTCGGTGTCAGCCCAAGACCCGGGGTCGCGATATGCACGACTCCTCGAGTTGTTGTGGTTGAAGCCAACAAAGCCATCAACACAAATATATCACCCGGTCCAGTCGCCTGCAGCTTCTGAAACTCAACTGTCGTCTAGTGGGAGTGTGCGAGTAGATGCTCAAGGATACATGCAATACAGCCCCGCGAACGACTTCTCGTGGCTCGATCTCGAAGCCGTGGGAGATTTCGTCTCTGGCGACCAGATGGCTGGCAATGGGATGCAATCATTGGCCCCAATGGCAGGATTTCCAACGACGGCCGGGTATATCCCAGCTGGAGGACAGGGGATGCAGTGGCAGCAAAACAGTGCCAGCAATGGGATGAGCTGGCCAATGGACTGGAATGGAAATTTGTTCTTCTGAGCCTTGTCCATTTGCGGATTTGGGGGTCAAAGAAGGTCTCCATTTTACACGCAGTTCTACCCGCGAAGATCCTGCGGCTATTGATGCAAACGCCGTATAGCGATCAACGGCCGGTTGCCGATTGCAACCGACGCGGAGAGGGATCCATCAATTGTCAACCCCGCATCCGAATGCCAGATGCCAAACAAATGGCTCTGCTGCCTCTGACTTCTCCCCGCAAGACCACTGCAGCTTCGGGCCAGTCATATAACTGCCACGCTTGATCAGATCTTTAGCCACGCCGTTGCACAGTCCAAGCTGGCTCGTGAACCATGTCGGTCGACAACGAGATCAAGGGCAGATTGGCCCTCATAACGGGCGCCTCAGGAGGGTGGGTTGTTCCATACTTGGGTCTAGCCACTGAGCAAATGGCTAATCGTGGGTTGTTAGAATCGGTGCCGGCTGCGCGCGCGACCTCCACAAGTACGGGGCCCATCTCGCGCTCACCTATTCCAAGGGCAAGGCAAACATCGATAAGCTTGTGACCGAGCTCCCTACAAGGCCAGACCAAAAGGTATCAATACACCAGGTGGACATGGGTTCCACAGATGATATCCAGAGATTGTACAAGGAAGTCGAAAGGGAACATGGACATGGGCCTGACATTCTAATTGCAAATGCGGGCTACGGCGTGCGAATACCAAACATTGTGGACATCTCAGTTGAAGAGTGGGATCATACCATCTTGATCAACCTCCGAGCACCATTTATTCTAGCTAAATTAGCTGTGCCTCATATGATCGAGCAAAAGTGGGGACGGATCATCATGATGGGCAGCATTGCAGGATATGGCGGAGGAATCAACGGGTGTCACTACGCAGCATCCAAGGCCGGACTCATGGGCATGGTCAAGAACCTGGCCAACAAACTGGGCAAGGATGGCATCACGGTCAATGATGTTGCTCCGGCAATGATTGGAGAGACCGGCATGATACCCGATGCTAAATTCCTCGAGGGCACACCAGGAGATGTCAAGCATATTCCCGTAGGAAGATTGGGCACGCCGCAGGAATGCGCAAATGTGGTGACGATGTTGTGCAAGACCGGTTATCTTACGGGCCAGAGTATTCTTTTGACGGGAGGACTAAAATAATAAGCCTAAATCTAATATTTGAGCATTTACCTTTGAAAGTAACCTTCATCTGGATGGCCATGGCAAGAGGTGAGGGTGTTTGCACGTGACTGTCTGGCCTACATATTCTCACGTGACTACATTTCACCACGTGACTCTATCTTCCCCTCACCCGCACGTGGCATTTCCTTCTCCGCCACTAAAATCTGGAGGGAGCTGCTTCTATCCTTTGTCCATTACTGGCAGCCATTCAACAAGACATCGCCCTCAACCATACCACGATGGTGCTACTGACGCCGCCATGTTGTCCTACCTAGTCTATTTCTTCTCATCCTAATACACCTAATTCCCCCATACGGTAAATTCTAATAACAAGTATTTTATCACCGCTCTCCAACCTGCGTCTAATAGTCTCTGTACCGCTTCCCTCACCGCCTACCACGCTCACCACCCATCTACCACAAAGACACAGGCCCAGCATGGAAAAGAACGGCATCACTCCCGCCGGCCAACAATTTGTCGAACTCACGACCAATCCTCACCATCGGCACCCCTCCAAAGAGAGCAGTGGCTATCAGCAAATGCCCAACCCACATCTACTGCATGGCGAGGCAAAGACATCTGCCATACAAGAGGAAGACATGATCTCCCGCCACCGCACGGCCTCTGCCTTTGACACCGAAAGCCAGTCACCCACTCGATCTTCCCATGACCCTCTAGAACTCGCTCGACGGCTCAAGTCCAAAACAGAGCTCGACCGCATTACGGCCAATACCGCCCGCAAACGCCATGCCATTTGCAATCCTATGGTCATCGCAGGGAAAGCGCCTGGCTCCAAAGTCACCGAGTTCTATGAGTCACAAAACGAGCAGATTCAAAGACTCTTAAAACCAGTGGATGAGCATGTCCGCGAGGCGAGGGACACCCATACCTCCAACCATCTGCGCTTTCAGATCGCGGTTTATGGAAGCTTTCTCGCCAACATAATTCTAGCCGCCCTGCAAGTCTATGGTGCCGTGGCCTCAGGCTCTCTGTCTCTGTTTACAACAATGGCGGATGCCGTCTTTGACCCCCTCTCCAATGTCACCTTGATTCTCTCCAACAAAGCCGTTCAAAAAGTCGATGCTCGCAAGTTCCCAGCCGGAAAGGCACGGATCGAGACAGCCGGAAACATTGTCTTTTGCTTTCTCATGACTGCGGTTAGTTTCATCCTGATCGCCTTTTCCATCCAAGAACTTGTCCGCGGTTCCGCAGAGGAAACTAAGGATTTCCACTTACCTTCGGTCATTGCCGTCACTGTGGCTTTTTGCACCAAACTTGCATTGTTCTTGTATTGCTGGGCGTTGAGAAATCAATACTCCCAAGTACGCATTCTATGGGAGGACCATCGCAACGATCTTTTCATCAACGGCTTTGGTGTCCTCACGTCTGTGGGTGGAAGCAAACTCAGGTGGTGGCTAGATCCCTCGGGTGCCATTATCCTATCCGTATTGATCTCCGTCTTGTGGCTGCGCACCGCTTACTCAGAATTCCAACTCCTCATTGGCATTACTGCAGACACCGAAACTCAACAACTCATCACCTACGTGAGCATGACCCACAGTGATCGAATCAAGCAGATCGATACTGTCCGCGCATGGCATTCTGGACCTCGATTGGTTGTCGAGGTCGATGTGGTCATGGACCCTGACGAGAGTCTTCGCGTCAGTCACGATGTTGCAGAGGAATTGCAGATGAAGCTTGAGAGCTTGCCTGACGTGGAAAGGGCCTATGTTCATTGCGATTTCGAAACGACCCATAAGCCTGAGCATTTCCTCAAGAAAGAACTTTAACTCTAACCAAGTGAACTCGGGGAGCAAGTAGCTGATATTCACGCTGCCAGCATCTGAAGACTTATACATATAGGCATGATCATGGACGACATGATGACTCTCCCATTGCACGGCCCTACAAAAAGCCGTACACGCACACAGAAGTGAGACTCAATTCAATAGTGCATTCTTTGATGGCGGCAGTGACTGAACAGAATTTTTGGATTACCATATCTGAAAGCAATGGCTTGGGAACAGCAGAACCTTCACCTATCAACTCAATGCTCAATTTCCGTCATATAGCCACCACTCCTAACATTTTCAAGATATCAATATTCCTACACCGAAACAGGTTGCGCCTCTCCAGGCTTCGCGTCATAGGAGATCCTGCCGGCTGGGAGGAAGAACAACGCCACGAGCCCGCCACCGCGAACTTCGGGGTAATGATGGGTACCAGGGCCGGGGCTTGTCCAGCCTGCTCCCTGCCAGCCCTGCATGCCCTTCAACTCTGCGCCCTCGTCGATCTGCACCACGCAATTGATCTCCCCATACGGATGTTTGTGGTATTGTCCACGGTATTCGGCGTCGGATTCCATCTGTCCATTTCACATTCAGACATCGTTAATATATTTATTATGTATTGACGAAATCACGAAAGTGTCATATCACAAGAAGGGCCAGATGAGCTCAAACTCACATAGACAGTAGTAATTGAGATAAAGGACGAGTCTTCGGATGGCGCAGCGATGCGACCACGACGATACCGCGGCCCATCCAGCTCGTCCTGTGCCACCCAGCCTTCCTTGAGTCCCTGTCGCATGTACCGGCAGAAATCCTCGTAGTAGACGTTGCCTGGTCCGTAGTCGCGGTTGAGCCGCGCTTCAAGGGCTGAGCCTGGTGTCCTAGTAGGGAAATGGTGACATGTTAGAAGGTAGGTTTGCCAGATCAAAATGATGACATGGCAAATAGTAGTGGGCTTGTGGAACGTATGTGCAGCGATGAAATAAAACAATAATCACCAAATCAGAACATTGAAACATACAAATCCTTAACCTCACGGAAGAACTCATGGCATCGCGCCACGAATTCCTGTGCAGTGGGGTATTTCGAGAGGTCCAGCAGCGACGCACCGCCGTAGCCACTCGACGGAGGTCCGGCCATGGTGAAGATATATATTTTGGAGAGCAAACAGAGAAGGATAGTATGATGTTCTGGGGCTGACAGGAGAGGTTCGGCCTCCTGTGTAAAATAAAAAAAAGAAAAGATTGTCGCCTTAGTAATGACAGTCGAAATTCGATTCTTGAATATTGGCCAGCAGCTCAGCCACTGCTTTCTTATATCCCAATTTTGAGGTCGTCTAGCCAGCTGGTCATCAGACGGGCCCGAAACCAGAAAGCCGTGATTGAAGGTCGGCAATAAATCTCTTCTTGAGGCGGTGGCCTTGCGCCTCCTATGATGACCAAGAGGGGCTCATTGCTGATCTTGGTCATATACAAGCTGAGGTAAGGAATTTTATTCATGCCAAATAATAAACGATTACATCCAGGCCACCGCAGAGCCAAAGCCAGAGCCAGAGCCCAAGCCGAAATGTGGCTGAACACTCGGTATCTCAGGGCAAGGATTACCCCGGGTTTCACGGTTATCTGCCGAAAGGGACTGCCGATTTGCGGAGGGAAAACGGCGGGCCTTGGGCTGGAGACTCTACGGCTTAAGTCTCCAGCAACAATTGGATGGACCAAGGGTTTTGTTATCAAGACCGAGAGAATACAGGCCCCGTCAATGATACTATTGGATGAACAGAGAGTCCAAATGGAAAACAAGGATGTCGGTCAGCGAATGATGAGAACGAACCTCTTCTTTCGTTTCGAAGCCGTGGATCTCCGTTCGATTTCAGCCTCCTGCTGTTTGATTTATCGGGGTGTTCTGTACAACTCAAGAGGTGAGTATGACATGAGCAGGACGTCGCCTACCGCTGAATCATCTTAACCTCAGATATTTGGAACACATGGTCACAGCCGCGTTGATTGTTTGACGAGGTAGTGATACTGATACTGAGCTAGCTGGCATCTACGCATCTTGTCATGCACAGGCACGTTTGCTATCGAAGAAGAGTAGGCCGTCATCGGTAGAGTGAGCCTCCATTAGTTTGGTTGTCACTCTGATTACCACTCACTCACTGCTTTGAAACGCTGCACCTTCGTCAAATATGGCAGACGAAGAACTAGATCTCGCCATTGTTGGGGCTGGGTGGCACGGCCTCGCGATGGCGAAGACTTATTCCGAAGCCTATCCTTCAGCACGAATTGCGCTCTTCGATTCTGCCAAATCGGTTGGGGGAGTCTGGGCTAAAGAACGCCTTTATCCCGGCCTGAAGACAAATAACATGCTGGGTTCCTATGAGTTCGGTGATTTCCCCATGTGTCCAGATCGCTTTAAAGTGCGCCCTGGCGAGCATATTCCTGGCGCGGTGGTCAATGAATATCTGAGACAGTTTGCAGAGGAGTATGACTTGATGTCGCGGCTGAGGCTGAATACCAAGGTCGAATCTGCGGAGGTGGTGGAGTATGGAGAATGGATCTTGCTTGTATCGAACACAGCCGACGAGCCGTCGAAGATGAGAGGCATCAAGGCGAAGAAGCTGGTGGTCGCTACAGGTCTCACCTCCAAGCCGTCTATGCCGACCTTCCCAGGGCAGTCCGAATTCCAGGGCAAGCTCTTCCATTCCATCCACCTGAAGGATCGTGCGAAGGACCTCGAATCTGCGCGAGAAGTCGTCGTTCTGGGTGCCAGTAAATCTTCTTGGGATACATGCTACTCTGCTGCGATATCTGGCGCACACGTCAACATGGTGATCCGACCAGGCGGCGGAGGGCCGAGTTGGGTGTTGCCGGCGTTTTTCACGCCCTTGAAGCTGTCAATCCAACGACTCGCTACCACACGGCTATGTTCACTTTTCGAGCCGTGTGTCTGGGCTGCTGAGAGCAGTGGGTTCCCGTGGATACGATATCTGCTCCATCGAACGATAGTTGGCCGGAGGCTCGTGTCTGCGCTGTGGGGAGTGCTCGACATGATCGTACTCCGCGCCAATGGCTATGATGATCATCCAGAGCTGAAGAAACTCAAGCCTTGGACCGATACCTTCTGGATGGGCAACAATCTAGGAATTCACAATTATGAACAGAATTGGTTCGATCTGGTGAGGAAGGGACGGATTAACATCCACGTCGCTGATGTCGCCTCCTTGTCGGGAGACGGAGTGCATCTTTCGAGTGGTGCGGTCATCAATGCAGATACGTTTGTTTGCTGCACAGGGTGGGAGACTCTGCCGTCGATCAAATTCTTGCCCGAAGAGGTGATCGACGGGCTCGGCTTTCCGTCAACATCGCTTCAGACAAGCGAGACCTTGATGCAGGATGCTCGAACCCGCATCCTCAAGACCGTGCCTAGTCTTCGTCCAGGACCGAGGAAAGTACTCCCAGCTTGTGCAGCGGCTCCTATCCGAGAACACGAGGCAAAGAACCGAGGGTCAACACGATCAAACTACCAGCTATATCGATTCATGGTACCTCCTAGCCAGAAACTCTTCCAGCACCGCAACATCGCCGTCATCGGTGCCCACCTGGCCGTAAACGCAATCACAGTGGCTCAAGCACAGGCATTATGGGTCACTGCGTTCTTCAACGATAAAATAGCCAACATCAGCGATTCAAAGGTCAGCTATCGAGAGATTGAGTACCAGACCATCCTACACGCCGAGTATTGCCGTCTTCGACATCCCGCGGCCGGCGGTGGGGCTGGGCATAGATGTCCGGATCTTGTCTTCGATGGGCTATTGTATACGGACTTACTGTTGCGGGACTTGGGGGTCGAGGTGCGCCGGAAGAGATCTTGGTGGCGGGAGTTGTTTTGTAGATACCTGCCTAGCGATTATCAGGGGCTGGTTGAGGAGTGGGTGGCCAAGAGAATCAATTGAGCAAAATGCCACAGTATTGGCGGTGACTGAATATATTCATGGCCCAAGGCTTTGTGGCCATTAGAGAGGTTGCAAGACTCAATACATCATCAGTCCTTGTTACCGTTTGCATATGCGAAGCTCCGCGAAAGGGACGATCTACATCACAATATCAAATGTTATGCCGCTGCACGAATACTGCAAGCTCAAATAGCTTTGAAGTCCGCGGCTCTAGAATGCTCCATAGTAGGAAGCCTTTGTCTGCCTCCATGTCCCTGACTCTTCGGGGTGGGTTTCAATACCAAACTCTCAACAGAGGAGGTGGTCTTGACATGGTGAACCAAAACCCAAGGATTAAGGCCCGCACTGATTGAGGACTCAGTATTTCCGGCACCTAAATGGGAGCTTCAAATACTCGGCTCCGTCGACAAGGAGGTCGGTTCCGTTGCTCCCGGAATGGTGGAGGTGTTCCTGTTTATAGGATCGCGGGACTGGGGTATGATGCAGGGTATTTTGAATCTGACCTAGTATCTAGTCTCGCTTCCTGAAGAAAAGCCTCAAAAGGCCAAAAGACCTCAGCATTACGCCTAGCGTGGTCCAGCACAGCTGGATGATATTCCTTGAGTCGAAATTGCTCGGCTGCGGCCCACAGCTAATAGACGGCGCAACAAGTGCACTATGAAATTCGACCACTCAGATACTATTAGATATCTCACTGCCGTCTCTGTGAGCAGACTTGAATAGAAAGCGCAATATTTACTCTCACAGAGGAATCACTGTTTTGATTTGATCCCTTCATACTGCGGCCTTGCTCTTCTGGAAAATACTCTTCTTCCCTCAAAGCGTCGATTTTATCATTCAGCTTCGAATCTAACTCTCACAACACGACCCTTAATGCACCTGCTGGCACAGGCGAGAGGCTGCATGTCTCCCGCACCGTTACTAATGCCTTTTCAGCCAAGACGAGTTTGCCTACAGCCATATATGCTTCGACAAGACTCATTTCGGCCCTCAGACAGTTGACATCAGACACCCCCAACAGCCTTTGTAGCGGTTCAACTACGGCATGAAGTAGCTTGAGGGCACTGTAGGGCTGATGCGACTTTATATATGCACGAAAGAGCTCATTCTCTGGGTCTAGAAGCAGAGCCAGCAATGGGTTCTGACCTTTCAGCACGTCAATCACAGCCCCGAACAAAGGCAGCGCCTCTCTTGTCTTCTCAACACAAAGATACTTCCGAGCGAGCTTGTGTCTTGGGTCAAGGATCGCCTCTTCAGGAATTGTCGCCTTCAAAGTCGGAGAGGCGTCGATGAGGGCGATCATCTGTTCAAAATAGTGGATAGCCATATCAAGATCCTCGCAGCGAGCTTCACATACTGCAAAAAGAGCCAATACTGAGCATTTTATAGGGGTCGATGCGAATCTCGTTTTCCGTATTCACAGTTGACGGTATAAACAATGTAGTTGCCAGTGCCTCTTTGCTTGATTGCGTGCAGTGAAGCATCAATGCGAGACTGAAATTCTCTCACACATCTCCAGGTTTGGTTCAGGGTCGAGATTTTGCGGACGTCGGTGTTTACCGCAGTGGGCGATATGCGGATTCAACAGTGGATGCCCATATTCATGGCTGAGTAGAGACGACCGCACCAGAAGATATCTACGGTAATTCGCACACGACGGCCAGATTTGATCTGGGGAGATGCGTTTTCTCGCCCGAAGATGAATCAACAGATGCATGGATACATCCCCATTCTCTATATCGATGGTGATGAAAGATGAGGATGCGATCATTCTGGTAGCCTGACGGAAAGACTTACCCTTGATATCTCGGCTTGGGACCTTACCGATGTTCTGTAATGGGAGCCACTTCCGGGTAACTCTGGTCCAGGTTTGGTTTTGACGGAAGTGATAAGTTGCTGCCACTATATCTGACGGGTCCAAAGCTATCCTAGAACCTGATCCGGCACGGCGGCACCTTGTCATAGTGCTACCAGGCCAGGGTAGTAAGTAACTCCAGGACATCGCCACGCTCCGGAGGCTTCCTCCGAACTTTCGATGCAACCAGACTCTCATTCCTTTTTTTTGCTCGGGAAATCCGTCTCACAGCTTACGAGAAGCCCTTGTTGCTTCCGATAAGGAACTGGCTATTCTCTGAGAGCGCAGCACCCGGTCCTGATGAGTGATCCTGCTAGAACGATCCCAAGTATGTCCTTTGCAACCACGATCTCGTGAGCATCGGCCAAAGAATTCCATCAACGACGTCCCCTGGATTTGACAAATTCGCACACAAGCAGTTCGCAGGTAGGTTGCTAAGCTTATAGTGACAGAAATGTAGCCTTGGACCTTCAGCCGAGCTCACTCTTCTCAACGTAAGGCATTCCATGTATGACGATTCTGGTTGTTCAGTCGTTGTTCTAATTCTCGCGACTCATCCCTTCTTTCAGTGAAATATGACTGACGCTTCCGAAATTGTCGAAGTGGTCGTCGAATGTCGGCCATCAGTCAATGCTGACGCAAGCCTTGTGTTACGTATTCATGATTGGAAGGGGAAAGGAAAATTTGTTCATCCTCTTGTGAGGGTTCCGTGCTGTAACAGCCAATGACCTGAGGTCTTGAAGGAGCTTCTTAGAGTAAGACGATGCTATTGCAACATCCTAACGCTGCCATTTCGAGTTTTTGTGAGAGTCTGAGTAGTCACTAATAGTTCGAACAACTAAAGATGGAAAGCCGTCCATTAGCACTGCAGTTTCCATCTCATTTCAATGCAGTTTGGATTTTCATGCTCCCCAAGCCAATCTCGAAGCTTCGTATACTTGACAACGAAGTCGCCAGATGCTATCGTACCGTAGTGGACTCTGGGCCATTCCTCCTTTCGAGGCACTCGAGCACAGCACTTGCTCTTATTCTGATGGCGCTCAGCACATGTACTTTTGCGGTCTCCAACATGTGAATGATCAGCTCGAAACAGTGCATAGTTCTCGACCCCGCGATATAAGCAGGTTTTCTCCGGACCCGCTTGGGTCAAGAGATTATTGTGGAGGTCCAACGACAATGCTTTAGGATGCTGGCGGCAACCGGCAAGGCTGGCCAACCAACACAAGTGGTAGGATGAGTAGGAAGCCTACTATTTACCCCATCTTCCGAAGGTGTAGATATGTAAGCGGAACTCCAAATCTGAATCAACGCACACTCTTCAGAAATTCGGCGCCATCAGTATCATTTCCGATTCGTACTCGGTACTTTTGTGCAAGTCCATTGGTGCCCGGAATAAAAAGACCAGGTCCGCTCGTTCAGCTAACTAGCTTCCCCAGGTTATGGATGGTCGTTCAAACGAGCGTCGAATTCGTCCAACCGAGCATGGCTAGACCATCAGTGCCAATTCCACAGGCATTTGGACGATTATTCCCATGAGCCCCCGCGTTCCAGGCCAGTCAGGCACTCGATGGGCGAAGGCCCAACTGGCCGGATGTGTTACAAATGCAACGACCAGACGCTACCCCGCGGCAGGGCGACAGCCGTGGGTAGAACGCAGACTCAACCCACTGAAATACTGGAGTAGCCCACACGCGGGCGATCTGATATTCCACCAGTGGATTCTACTTAACACTGGGAGATTGCGGTTTCCTCACGCTTCAAGTTCTCAGTGCAATACCTAGTATACAGTCGCTATTGCTACCATGGAGAAGCAGCAAGCACAACAAACCGATCGGGTGGATGATAGCCTACATGGCCATGACGAGCGCGTTGAAGATGCTGAGCCGGTCCAGCATGTCCATCTGAAAACGATTGTGCTGCTGATTGTGAGTGTCTCTTCCACGGCCATGCGAAAAATACGAGTACGAAACGAGCACTACTGACTGGCCCTGCTATTCCTTAGGCCATCGTGACTGAATACGCCGTGCAAGTCTTCCACATCGTGGGCGCTGGATTTCTAGGGAGCAGCGTGACCGCGATCGTGGGCGGTTCGAACAAGAGCACGTGGCTGGTGTCGACGATGTCAATCAGCGCGGCATGCCTGGGCCCTCCCGTCTCGCAGGCCGCCGACTTCTGGGGACGGCGGTGGTTCGTGATCATCCTGAGTAGCTTCGGCTGCATCGGCTGTATCATTGTCTCCAGGTCAAACTCCATCGGCATGGCGATTGCCGGGCAAGCTGTCAGCGCGCTGAGCCAGGGCGCACAGCCTGTCATTCACGCGATCGCATCGGAAATTCTGCCTCGAAAATATCGCCCGATCGCACAGGCGTCGACGAACTCGGCCGCCACGCTCGGAGGGATACTCGGTCTCCTTGTCGGCGGGGCATTGACGCTCAATAATCCAGCCGGGTTCCGCACATTCTGGTACATCACCGCCGGAGCCTATGGGCTCTCGACACTGGTTGTGTTCGCCCTCTACCACCCACCGGCGCGGGAGCTACAGCAAAAGTACACGACGCGGGAGAAGCTCGCCCAGCTGGACTGGGTTGGGTATTTCCTCCTGATTACAGGTCTGGTTCTATTCTCCTTTAGTCTCACGTCCGCGATGTCAGTGTATCCGTGGCGAAGCGCACAGATCCTTGCCCCCTTGATAACAGGCAGCCTACTCTTGGTCGGCTTTGCTGTTTACGAGTGGAAGTTCACGCGCACGGGGATGCTTCATCATGATCTATTCAAGCGGGGACGAAACTTCGCGATCGCCGAGCTGTGCATTCTCGCGGAGGGAATCTCGTTCTTCGCCGCGAATAACTATTTCGGATTCGAGGTCGCTGTGCTGTATGACCAGGATCAATTCCATGCTGGGTTATATTACACTGTTGCATGGTTCTCGCTGCTCATCTCCACATGGATAGCGGGGGTGTATTGCTCGCGGAGCAAGACGATTCGGCTGCCCACAGCGTTGGCCTTCATCTCATTCACACTCTTCAACGCACTCATGGCGTCGCTGACTCCTGCAAATGGGAGGAAGAATATCCTCGGCTACGCGCCCTTCCTGGGCTTGGGCTTGGGTACCGCGCTCAACGCGTTGGTCGTCGTGGCCCAACTGTCGACACCTCCCGAGCTCATCTCTATCACTACAGGGTTGATGATCGCGACGCGCAGCTTTGGCGGCACGATCGCGCTTTCTATCTACACGGCGGTCTTCAGCGATCAGTTGAGCTCTGAGCTTCCCGCGAAAGTGGCCGCAGCGACGATCCCACTGGGATTTGACACGTCAAATCTCGGCCAACTGCTTGGTGCACTGACGAGTGGAAATACGACCGCTATCTCCCAGGTCCCCGGGGTTTCTCCTTCCATCCTCCAAGCCGCGGGGGCAGGCGTCAAGGAAGCCTACAGCTTGGGATTCAGGTATGTCTGGGTAACGGCTGCAGCATTCGCTGCTTTGGCTGTCATAGGTATGCATTTCTTCGCCTCTCCTCTTTCTGTTCCCTTCCAAGGTCTGGTTACTGATGAGGCTCGTTACAGGAGCCTCCTTCCTCATCGACCCGACAGCTGAGTTCAATGCACACATCGATGCTCCGATTGAGACAGAAGAGGAATTAAGCCGTGGAGGCATCGCGGAGAAGTTGCACCATCACCATCACCATCATGAATCACATGCTTGATAAGATTGAAATCGTAGGATAAAGTCGGGTTGGTACCACAGCCTGACACTTTCACTTGTTGTCCAGTGATGGCAAGTGTTTCTATCCTGTCAGAATATCTTCGCAGGAGCGAGCCATTGATTAGAAAAGTGTATGTGATATAGAAAGCAAGCAGGCTAGAGCAGATGAATGGTGTTAAGATGTGGGTCAACCGAACAAGCTACTTGCGGTACCCACTCGAGAAACTTTAGATTCGCAAAGTTGTGCCTGGGAGGAAGTAGTTGTGAAGTGAGGCTTGCAATACACGTAGTTGTGCACAAGGCTACTCAAATGGCAGGTAATACATACTATACAACGTGCGCACGTCAAAGCACATGAGATTTGGGATTGCAGTATCATAGCAGATAATAGTATCTGCCAGCATCGATCGATTGATCGGCCGAGGCTCATGCTTCTGTCCCGCATGGCCGGCGAGCATCGAGATAGCATATCTCAAATAGAGGACTGGAAACACAAGCAAAAATGTACATAGACATGGTAATGATGGGGGACCTCATCTTGGGTCCATCCCACCTTGACAATTACCATCCAGGGAGGCTTCTCCTGATTGATCTCATTATCAATCATGCTTACGCCATGCACCCCCCCTGTTTGACTTTCCTTTTCTTTCCCGTGGTTATCCTAACTTCCATTGGAATGAAAGAATCATTCAGTAGTTGCTTATTCGTCAATATCATTAGTCAGCCCAACCCGTAAAACAGAATCCGTAGCCATCACCCAATCTCGAGCCGGTCAATTTTGCTGAATGCCTCCTACTCCATTTTAGGGAGTAGAGGGCCAGGAAGATTCCCAAGATGCCTGGTGATCGTACGCCTTGATCCGGAAGCAAATGGTCCCTTGATTCAAAATGTAATGGAGATACGCCCTAAGACAGGGGAAAAATGCACGAGAATACCGCCCAGGTTGCGGAGCAAAAGACAAACTCGTTGTAACGTGGAAACAATAAAAGAAGCACCAGCAAGACCCATACTTGCACGGATGTCGTGTTAGTTACGCACCTCACCCAGGCCACACCGTATTCTTGACCTGTCACTGAGAACAGAATCACTGGTTCTCGATAAAGACAAGTATGTCATCTTTGTTGTGGGAACTGCATACCTTGCTGCTGCTGTTGTTGATGTTGCTGGGCCGCCATGATCTGGGCCTGGGCATGCTGCATTTGTAGTTGCTGCATTTGCTGTGCATTCTGTTGCTGAATCGCTTGAGCCATGTTAGGGTTCATGTTCATACCGCCCATACCATTCGGCATGCCTCCAGCTTGCTGCGCTGCCTGCTGCCTGAGCTGAGCCTGTTGCAATTGCATAGCATTCATGTTCTGCATGGCATTTTGCTGAGCCGGATTCTGTGCTGCTTGTGCTGCCTGCTGTTTTCTAACCGCAGCTATGGCAGCTTGTCTTGCTTGCAGACCGATCTGATGTATCTCATTGGGCTGCAGCATATTTGTATTACCTTGATATTTTGCAGCGGCTTGAGTCATGAATCTCCCCTGATAGGCTTGCAGTGTGGTATTATAGACTTGCTGCAGATACGGGCCTAGGCTGGAAGGTCGTTGCTGTTGCTGCTGTTGCTGCTGCTGTTGCATACCAGCGGCCATCATCTGCCCTTGTGCTTGTGCGGCCATCATTCGCTGCTGTTGCTGTTGCTGCTGCACATGCGCCATTTGAACTGCTTGTTGCTGCGGAGTCATATGGTTTGGAGCAGGCGAGCCATGTGTCTGGCCCTGCTGCAGGTTTTGCATCTGGGCTTTCATGGACTCGGCTAGAGACTGATTGTACGATTTAGTAGTTTGAGAAGCTGGCGACATGTGCTGACTCTGCGGTGTCCCTTGTTGCATAGCCTGCTGCTGCTGCTCTCGCTGTTGTTGTTGTTGTTGTTGTTGTTGTTGTTGTTGTTGTTGTTGTTGTTGTTGTTGTTGTTGTTGTTGTTGTTGCTGTTGCTGCTGCTGCTGCTGCTGCTGCTGCTGCTGTTGGGCCTGCTGTCTCTGTATTGCAGCTTGACGATCTACCTGAGCATGATGTTGAGCTTGTAGATGGGCCATTTGAGCTTGCGCCATTTGTGGAGTTCCATTTACCAACCCGGCCTGTGACATTGCTGCTTGTTGTTGCAAGGTATGATGGCGACGCTGCATTTGAGCGATCTGCTGGGGATTCATAGGCTGAGAGCCACCATTAACCATTTGGCCTTGCATCATTGTGGCCTGCATCATCTGCGGGGTGGGTGCTGCCATGCTACCATGAGGACTAGCTTGTGTCATATGTTGAGAAGGAGTTCCTTGTCGGAGAATCGGGGTCGCATTTCTCGCAGCAGGTGTGCCGTGTGTCAATTGCGGCGTGCCATTTCGGCTAGGTTGACCTTGGTTGCTGGGAACTCTCGACATGGATGCAGTTGGATGAGCGTGCTGTATAGCTGAGCCTGGCCTTCCAGGAGAACCATGACCTTGCTGAGAAGTCGACATAGCCATGGGCTGCCCTCCTTGAGTGGCCGAGGTAACCACTGGTGAAGAGGCGGCATGTGGAGTACCTTGGCGAATGATTGGTGAGCCCCGTTGCTGAGCAGCGGCCATCATTTGATTCTGAATGTTGGGTGGAATACCATTGACTTGTTGTGACTGAGGGCGTTGGGCAACCTGTCCAGGATTTTGAACTTGTGGCTGTTGCTGGCCTTGCTGTTGCTGTTGAGCGGCATACGCCGCCTGCATTTCCTGCTGGCGAGCTCGAAGCATTCGAGCCTCTTGAGCTCGCTGCATCATGATGCGTTTCTTCTCCTCTTCTTGCAACCTTTCCTGTTGGCCTCTCCTGTTTTCGTCCTCTTGCAGTTGTCGGTCTTTCTCACGTTGCTTCCGTTCAGCGATGTCTCTCTTGATACCATCGAGAGCGTTGAACTTTTCGAATCGAGGTTGGAACAAACCAGCAGCAGCCTGGCCGTCCACATTGCCGGCATTAGCGGCATCAGCAGTACGTTCATCCATGATGAGCATGAACCGTTCTTGCTGCTTGGCGTGGGCATCCTCTGCCGCTAATTCGGCGACGGTCCTCTTTCTGCTCTTGGGTGACGGTGGCCTGGCATCGTGATAGGGGTCCTTGAGCATTGAAATGAGAGAATCGGCCTCTTCTAGGCTTTCGACAGGATCCAGATACAAGGGAGGAGCGGTCGCATTCACCACTCGAGCTTCATACTCCAGCATATCTTTGGGGTCGATCTTCAACTTCTGCTTTTTTAGTGGGTGGCCCTTCTCCGTGGACGGAGTCGCGGGCATACCGGACATTGGAGTCTGCGGCGCACCGGAACCAGGCGCTCTGCTGCTGACATTGGCTTGAGACTGCTTGCGGTTTATTGATTTTGGGTCTGGGGTCATGGCATCTATGACAAGATCCATGTGCTTAGACAGGATGGTAGGTCGCAGTGCAACATGGTAGATCCTGGGCTGAGGCTTGGTAGACTTTGGAGCGACATCGATAGTGTCGGTGGAATTCAAGGTATTTGGAACTTGACTGGAGACAGAATCCTGGTGTTCGTGTTTCATGGGCGGTGATCTGGCCACTGGCTGTTCCTTTGAAGGATATGGTGCGTAGGGAGACGGGGTAATGTACTGGTTGTAGTTGTGAATGGAGAACAGCTTTTCATCATCTGCACCTGCGCCATTTGCAGCGACTTCCTTAGCCGCAGACTTGTGGTCCACCACCCGAACAATCAACCAGCCCTCGTAGTATCTGACTTCTGACTTTCGGAATTCTTCAACCATATCATGGGGTATGGTGCCTTTCTGGAGATGCTCAATGAAGATGCGCATTTCGGAATGATAGCTGAAACTTCCATCCTGCTGGTCGAAGCGAAAATGGGTTGGGTGGAGGTGGACAATCAGAGATGGAGCACAGCCTTTGTACTTTCGCAGGATGTGGGACTCCTTGGGTACTATGGGTTAGGCGCGATTAGTATTGAGCATGGAGAAGCCGGCGCACGGGAGGACAAACCATAGGGCTCGGGGAACTTCTTGGAACTCTTCTTGTCTGCAGAAGCGCCCTCAGAGGCGTTGTTTCTCGTAGTCAAACGCTGGAGCCGTCGATTGGGCCGGGCTGTGCCTGTGCCTGTGCCATTCACCGTGGTGGCACTGTTGGCGGTTGCCGTGGTAGGGGTCGCAATCTGTCCGGGGAGGGATTTCGGGACACTGGAGGGGGATGCAGATGGCGCAGTTTGCCGTCCGCCGTTCATGTTGGTCTGGACTAGCGGCGGAGGAGGTTTCTTCATCTTGGTGGCCGTTCCGGCGGGTTTGGCTACGACAGCAGCCATGGCGAGTGTATTACAGATTTACCAAGTAGGCTGATGTTCCTGCTTTGACCGGCTTAGTTTGAAGCAGACAAACCCTTCTCTTGAGAACCTCGGCCACTTTGCGACAGTGCTGGGCACACGCGCATCATGAGGGGCAGGCACAGGTGTAGATCGAGCTGCTGGAGAGGTAATCGGGGATGAACTGGAGGGAAAGGATGGTGAGAGGTAGGATAGGAGGAGAGAGGGAGAAAGAATAGGTTATTGAATTGACATGGATGGAAAATCGAATGCGCTGGCTGACAGAGATGGTGGTGGCTCGCAGGCTTGAGATGGCATGAGGTTCAAGTTCGACTCCGACTCGGGATGTAAGTCACGTGAATCACGTGCAACGCCAAGACACTCCAACGAGGCTGTGGCTATGGCTGTCAGCAAACGCAACTCGAGATTTGAGATGCACCGGAGCAGAGTGCGCGAAGTAGGATAGAGTAAAAGTAAATGTTCTTTCTGAAGAGTAAGCACGGCAAATGGTGATCCGATCATCTCGTGTCAACCAGAACAAAGAAATCAATGCTATGGGGCGTTGCAGCCAGTCCAAAAAAGGAGAACCCAGAGAAAGGAGTCACCCCTTTTCCACTACGATCCTTCATATTACAAGCTGCATCGTGACCATAAATTCATGACTACGGATTACCTAGGTATTCAATCTCGCTCGTTAACCCTCCTCTGCCAATCCTCTCCAATCTTCAAACTTTCAACCACTGTGACTCGCTTGCCCAGCCCTGTTCGCTCCTCCCTCTGCCACCACGTCTCACTTCTTTTCGTGGTGGACTCGTCATCAGTATCGATCAGCCCGCCGTGACCACCCTCGTCCCCAATAACTACAACCGTCTGTCGAACCCAGCCAGACAGATCAGCCACTATTTCACCATCCCTCCCACACAGGGACTCTTGTATATAAACAACTTCAGGCGCTAAGCTGCGCAAAAGATGTTTGTGACCACTGGGCGAAGTAAAGGGCATGATCATGCTATCTTTGTCCACAATCGCCATGGCTTGATTGTGGAGCGTTTTGTACAAAGTCGTAGTCTCATCAATTGGATTTGGCTCTACCTGAGATAAGATGCCGTCGGCAGGGAAATCACCCGGCGTCTGAGAGGGTGTCTGAGCATCGTGATGGCTTATGTTGGAGAATGACGAAGCCATCGACTGCGAAATCCCTCGGGTTGCGACGGGACTCAGGGGATGAGCCTTGAGATCTGGCGTGTAGATCAAAATGAAGACCCTTGTAGTATCAGGGTCGACGAAGTCGGGAAGATGTGCAAGAATTGACTATACCATAGTGAGTAGAGAATGATGGAAATTGAGACATACAACTTACAGCATGCCCTCCGACATCCACCTCGCTATCAGGCGTCTCTTCGACCGCCGAGACAACAATGGCTACAGTCTTGCGCTTGCGTTGAAGGACCGAAGCAGACTTGGGCAAGCCAACCGCGCCTGAGAAAAACTCCTCTGCCGTACCACGCCTTTTAATTCCGTGAGTGATCTCTCGGTCATTGTCTCTTTGCTCTGCCTCTTCACTCCATCGTTCATGGTCTTCGTAACCGCCACTGCCGCCGGTCAATGAGCTGATAGCACCGCCAACCATGGCACCGGCAGCAGCAACCCCTGCCGCACCAGCTGCAATAGTCTTGCTAGCCCAGTCGTTGGGAGGAACAGGGCTTGTGGAGCGGCCAAATCCAAACGCGCTGGAGACTCGAGCCACCAAGCCTGACTCCTCTTGCTGGTCTATAGCTGTAGATCGCACTGAACGATACTCGCCGCTTGCATCAAGCGGGCCGGTGGGAGGAGGTCCCTGAAATGCCCCGGGAGGAGGTCCGCTGGGACCCCCAAACCCACCAGGTTGCTGTGGTCCAGGTCCAGGACCTTGAAACCCACCTGGAAAAGGCTGCGCTTGAGGAGGGAGAGCACCACTCATGTTTGAATAGCCTGGAGGCGGAATGCCACCAGGGTAATGCTCATCCTCACTGGATTCCACTTCGTCATCGCGTCTTTCGCTCCAAATCCATGCAGCAACACCAATGGCCGCTGCAGTGACAGTCAAGGTGAGAGGAATCCAGTACCCAAAAGCGGATCTATTGCCAGAATGTCCATAGCCACCTGAATTCGAGGTGCGCTTCCTCCGCTCAGTGACGGTATACTGGTATGACATCGTTGGGCTTGGGTCTTAGGATAGATGCACTATCTCAACAAGACATTGGGGATGTTTATCTTCAGTGTTTGGAGCGCAAGGCGGAGGAAACGCAATTCTGCGCAAGGACAAGTTGGTGGTCGGAGGTTTTGAAAGGGAGTGGAACTGTTTACTCGTTTGTCGCAGCCTCGGCTAATCAGGCTGATGGGTCGAGCTGAGGACAATTATAAAGGGATTTTGTTTATCGATAGAGATGGTCAATGCAGAGGAAATCAGAGAAGAAGATGGTAACGTAGAAGAAGGGAAACGGCCGAGTTCATGGGATGGGATTTGGGTGGCTGGTTGCTGGTCCGGCTGGAAACAAAACAAGTCAAGGCTACTCTTTCGCTCCCAGCCTCATCCGCATGTTGCCTCTGCACCTTCCCCACACTCAACAACATTAGCTTTGTTACAGGTATTACTAGACGATTAGTGTTACGAAATTAAGACCTCAATACCACCGCGAGCAGTTGGCTGAGATCTTGACCTTCTCGTCTTCTCGTCAACGACTATTCTATACGACTATGACCGAACTCTAGCCTCCAGCGTCCACTCATAATTCATTCTTCATTGGTAGAAATGTCGACTCCTCCGGGTGCCCGTCGCCGGCCTCAGGGCACCAAAGACAGACGAAGTAACAACACCCCGTCTTCAGATGCTATTCCCGATGAGCCTGAGGACCAAACATCCCGCATTATATCGCCTCTCGACATCGTCCGAATAGTCATAACTCTCATTGGGGTGTCCTGCGCCCTGTCATACTACACCACCTCTGGCGCATCACTGTACTGGAACTTCGACCCATGGTTCACAGATCCCGCAAAATTAGCTCACTGGTGGCAAGGGCCTTTGCAGTTGACACCAACCCAGCTGACTACATTTGATGGGTCCGATCCAAACAAGCCGATCTACCTGGCTATCAATGGAAAGATCTTTGATGTCTCTGCGGGGAGGCATACCTATGGCCCCGGCGGCAGCTACCATGTCTTTGCTGGACGAGACGCCACGAGAGCCTTTGTCACTGGTTGCTTCCTTGAAGACCGTACTGGTGATATGAGGGGAGCCGAGGAGATCTACATCCCAGTTGACGACCCCGATGAGGACATCACAAGTGCACAGAAGAAAATAAGAGCCGAGCGGGACCGCAGGAAAGCCAAAGAAAAAGTGCAGCAGGAAGTCCAGAAATGGGAGAGTTTCTACAAAACCAGCAAGAAATATTTCCAGGTCGGTGAGTTGGTTGGTGTACCAGAGTACACAGGCGAACCCCCGAAGTTGTGTGAGCCCGCGCAGAAAGGGCGGCCGAAGAGGAAGAACCAGAAACAACACGAGTCTCCCAGTGCTGCACCTGGAAAACCTGTGCATTAGCAACTTGATTTCATGTGTGATGATCATTTCAATACATTCTCGAACGACTAGTGATGGAAAATCCATGCAATAACACAAAATGATGGTTTTGATGGCAGTAAGAACTGATTTTCATTGATATTGTCCAGTCATCCTACATCATATGAGATAGTTGCATTCGCCCTGCCGGATGTGAAGTTCCCAGCGGCAGAATTCCTATCACCTACGGCCACACCATGGCCATTTGCATGTAGAATCACCACCACCATCGATTGACTGATTGGCAGGCGCCCGAAGTCCTCTCATCATCCATCTCAACAAGCCGGTGAATGGATCATTTCTGCGATGTATGCATAATCATGTCATTTTAGTCAAATCACCCGCACCCATGCCATCGAAATCAGGTAGAAAATCTAATCTTCACCGGCGGCAGCTCTTGTGTAGATGCTTCCCTTGGAGTGGGCGACGACTTTGCGAATAACACCTCTGTCCTCAAGATCAGCGAGGGCCTTGCGGGCGAGCGAACCGTTGATCTTCAGACGATCGACGAGCACGGCGACAGTGACGAGTCGGTATGATTGCACATCCTTGTTGAGTTTGTCTGAGGTTGCTTTATCTAGGACAACTGCGTGGTTGGCCTTATCCTTGACTGTGAAGTGTGGAGAGAGGCACGTTAGCGGAGGAATTCATTGCGACGCAATACACAATTTCATTGATGGTTCGATTTGTTGCGTAGTGGATGGATGGGAGATATTGCGTACCCTTTCCCTTCGACCACTTCTTCTTCTGCTTCTTGCCACCGGAGGATGCTGCTGGCGCCTAGACGGGTCTGTGTCAGTACTGGTTTAATACGCCTCGTAGAGCAGGTGGCTAGATGGGCATAGTTACCATATTTGCGGTGTTGTGTCTTGACGAATACCAGAGATAAGAGGGAGGGAGAGTGGGAGGTTCGCTGCGAAGATGTGATCAAGATTTCTGGTTCCCGCAGTTGGCCAAATCCGGAAAATAGGGCAAAAGTCTTGGCATCATTGGAGCAAAAGTCCATCTGCCTCTTATATTCCATGCAAAGACAAGTTATGATTATGAGATCAATGGCACAGACACTCAAAAGGGAGTTAGCAAATGATCGCAGACAGTTGTCCTTCGATTTCAACCGAATTGCATTGTATTATCTACAAGTTCTGTCACTCTTGAGCTCAAACTTTTCTGGGTACCTCATTTCCTTGCTCATGCAATTCGTGTCCGACGCTTCTCTAAATGACGGTGTCTAATAGAAGAATCCAATAACCTTGCCAGCCACGTGCTTACGCCTGGCCTCCTCATGGTCCATAATACCAGCACTGGTGGTGAGGACAATGTAGCCGAATTGACGAGATGGGAGCAGCTTGACAACCCACTTCTCAAGATCCTTCAGGGCGACGTTGTAGCGGGGAGAGATGACACCTGTCTTGTTGAGACGTCCATTGAGCTGGATCACAACCTTGCCGTTGCGGTGGTCGTCAACTTCCTCAAATTCGCCAATGTAACCTGTCGGGGTCAGAGTCAGCACCGTCACTGATGACTGATGTTCATGGGGTTTGTAGCGATCGAATAAACATAACCAGACATCAAAAAGAAAGAAAGCTATGTGTAAGATCGATCGCAAGAGTAAATCTCAATCTTTCGGGTACTTAAAGGGCAAAGGTCGTCGAGCATATTTGAAACCGTAGCCTAGTTATCAACCCGATAACTTTATGTGTCCACCGACCCTCCTCTTTCTGCATGATTGTGAGAGATTTGCGAGCCATGTACGTACCGTGCTTCTGCATGACGCTCAGGAACTTGATGATAACTTTGGAGCTGGGTCGGATAAGGACTTGACGCTTGCCGGCCTTCTCGGCATTGTTGATACTCTTGAGAGCGTCGTTGAGGACGGAAGTCTTGACCATTTTGGCGGTTGTGGGTTGAGATTCTCAAGTCGTGTAAACGAGGACTTGAGGTGTCTGCAGAATAGATTTTCTGTTAGTCTCCAGTAGCCTCGAGCAGGAAGAGTGCCCATTCAAGGGTTCTTCAGCTCGTGTCGCAAAAGATGAGCGTGTCCTACTATACACGACGCGGAAATATTACAATCCGCAGCGGAAAGTCGGATTGCTCATCTAAGGCTAGTTGAAGAGAGCCGGAATATCGACATACCTCTTTTTGATGATTCGTAGTTGACGATGAAGATTGTCGTTGGTGGTCGTGGAGGTTGAAGCGCAGGGTGGAAATTCTTCAGATGGATTTGATTGTGCTATGCCAAGATTTCAATACCCACTAGTCTACATTTAGGGTTCAATCTCTCCGAGCACCGACAGCCTTGCACGTGACTGAAAGTTCCCCTCGCCCCGCGGGTCAGGGAACGCGTTTCCACACTGTAAATCGCGACAATGCGGTTGATCAATATCTGCTACATACCAGAAGGAAGCACAGGTGATCTCTATTCCCACGGGTCGAGATGGATCCAGATCAAATTTCGCCTTAAGCCTGACCCTCTCTAGTCACAAGACTTGAACCGAATCTATCTGGAATCCTTGAGAATTGGGTAAACAGGATTGCCCACTGGATGTCCAAGGAGGCGATTCACACCCAAGGCACCCCGAAAATGTACTGTAGTGCTTATGCCTTTAAGATACGATCAGCATCACAGTTCTGGGAATATTCTCGACAGCCGCCCTCACTTTACTTCACATGATCCTCGCGACCCCAAAGCCAATACGGCAGGGTCGGTTTGCGAAGAGGTCTATGTACTGAAACCCATCCTCAGCTGGCTCTTGCCTTGCGTCCATCTAGTACGATAGCAGACTAAACATATCTATCTGCTCTCCGGACATCATTGTATGTCTGAAATCGCGAGATTGGTCATAAAATCAAAATCCCCGAGGAGTTCCCCGAGGAGTTCCCCGACACGTCGGTCCCTTGTATTCGACGACTTACGTTAGATTCGGCAAACTGAGCCCATCATAAAGTCCAAATATTGGTTCGGCTCAAGGTCGATGTGCTATCCCAGAGTGCACAAGCCCGTGCCCTTTCACTTGACTCGTGGCTTGTGCATCAGTGGTAAGCGTCGGAGTATGCGAGGATCTACTCCGAACTCGGCCCGGTGGCCGGACTGACAAAGAACTCCGAAGGTACTCAGTCCATGGTTGTGAGGTAAGCTTAGTTCATGACAGATGAAACATGTATGTGACCAGGGAAGGACAGCACCTTCGTGGGTGCGTTCTCCACTTCTAACCGCCTGCATTGAAAGCTATGGCATGTGGTGGATGCTACATGCCTACCCGTTTTAGTCATGCCATAGTATACCAGTATGAAGATTGTGTTTCCCAGATGCACTGCAGAATAGAATCCTCGTCCAAGTTGAGGAAATAGTACATCTTGATGGCCGCGATGAAGGCTTGCAGACGACTTACGAGTGTATACCGACGCAGCATAGCTTCGTCTACGGCCAAGTCGCGCCACTATGCGACGCAAGCACCACCGCCGCAACGCAGACTGAACCTGCCGACCGATTTCAAAAACACTCCTCTCCTGCATCACAGCTCCAAGACGTTCTCGAATACTCCTGGACTGCCCCATTCCGTGCCATCCACGAGGCTTAATTTGTATCAAGCTGTAAATGCCGGATTACGAACGGCTCTGGAGGCGTCGAAAGATGTTCTGTGTTTCGGTGAGGATGTTGCATTTGGAGGAGTCTTTCGCTGTACCATGAACTTACAGTCCGAATTCGGTGAGGACAGGGTCTTCAACACACCGATCACAGAACAGGGAATCGTGGGCGCTGCTATTGGAATGGCAGCCGAAGGTGCCCGGCCAGTCGTGGAGATTCAATTCGCAGACTACGTTTATCCAGCCTTTGACCAGATTGTCAATGAAGCCAGCAAATTCCGTTATCGCGAGGGCCACACAGGGGCAGGTTTAGGTGGCATGGTCATCAGAATGCCGTGCGGCGGCGTTGGGCACGGTGCTTTGTGAGTGAATCCGCTAAACCGCGAAAGACGGTTCTTGCAGGCTCGAGCTAATACTTCGTTAAGATACCACTCGCAGTCTCCCGAGTCATTATTCTGCCATGTTCCTGGCTTCAAAGTTGTTATGCCACGTTCGCCAACACAAGCCAAAGGGCTATTGCTTTCGGCGATCCTTGACTCAGAAGATCCGGTTATTTTCATGGAACCAAAGATTCTCTACAGAGCAGCAGTAGAGGAAGTACCAACTGAGGATTATCGACTGCCACTGGGTAAAGCAGAATTGCTGAAACCTGGGGCTGATTTGACAATAATTTCATATGGACGACCACTCTACAACTGTTCAGCTGCAATACAAGCAGTGGAGCAGGAACGAGGTGTCAGTATCGAGTTGATCGATCTGCGAACCATATATCCCTGGGATCGTGATGCCATAATAGAGAGCGTGTCAAAAACAGGAAGGGCTATTGTTGTTCATGAAAGTATGGTCAATTATGGAGTTGGATCGGAAGTATCCTCTGTGATTCAAGAGTCTGCGTTCCTCAGCCTCAAGGCTCCGGTAAAGAGACTGGGTGGCTGGACTACACATACAGGTCTGGCGTGGGAGAAATATATCTTCCCAGATGTTACAAGTAAGTTCTTTCAATTAAAGCTCCATCTATACCCATGCTAATGACTCAAACAGGAATCTATGACGCTATTCTCGAGAGTCTTGATTATTGATGCATATCAGGCTACGCCCTTTGAGTAGGATAGACCGAACTATGTTCGACCTTTCAAGCTTCATGTGCTCTTGAATGCTATAGATCTTAAAATCAGGGCTAATCGCCCGATTGAGAAGTTGGACTGCCTTTTTCGAAGAAGCCCTTTGACCCATACTTTGGTCAAAAACTGTACACCGAATTGCGGGAGCTACACAATGATATTGCTCGTATTCAAAGTTGAAAATTTCAAGAACAGGTTGAATTTTCAGATGATGGGTTTGCGACTTTCTTAGAAATAAGTTGTGCCGAGGTGATCTCTTTGGTAGTGTTGACGATGTTCCCTTCCGTTGCTGCATCCTTGGTTTGTTTCAATGATGTGCCTACTGGGTTATGAACCACATTATAAGATGAGTACAATATTCATTAACAAAGTGTTCGAAACGGCCCCCACGTCAAATAACTCTCCTCAGCGACTAGAGACCGCCCAAGCCTCCTTCGTGGTCATCTAGGTCGTATTCACCTGGATATTTCATCATCAAGCGCCTCATCTCCTTCCTCTGCGCTTCCTGCTCATCCGAAAGTCTTGAATAAACATCATCAAAGATAGAACTCAGCTTCGGTTTCTTCTCACGCTCCGCCATCTTGAGCTCCGAGAGAATATCCTTTCTTATCTGGACTCTCGCCTGCTCGTCCTGCTCATCGCTCCAAAGACCTTTCTTCTTCAACCATTTTCCGAGCTTGAGGATTGGGTTGTCTCGCACTGTCCACGGTTCGAGATCTTTGATGTTTCGGTATGCAAAACTGTCGTCGCTGGTGCTGTGGTGAGACATGCGGTAGCTCATCATCTCGAGGAGGATAGGGCGCCCGCCGTTCTCGAGTGCCCGCCGACGGGCTTCTTTGGTGGCTTCGTGAACGGCGAAGATGTCTGTACCGTCTACACGCAGGGAGTCGATGCCGTAGCCGATTCCTCTGCTAGCAATTCCGTCGCCGCGATACTGCTCGGAGGTTGGTGTCGAGATGGCATATCCGTTGTTTCTGCAGATGAATATCACCGGACAATCTCGAGTAGCTGCAAAGTTCAGGGCTCCATGGAAGTCACCCTCGCTTGCTGCACCATCGCCGAAATATGCCACTGCGACTCGAGGCGATGTAGTTCCGCTTTCAAGATCTTGTACCTTCATTGCGTATGCGGCCCCTGCTGCATGGGGAATCTGCGTACCAAGTGTAGATGCAACCGCATGCTGAGGCTGTCTGTCAGCCTGTTTCTCACCAGTCTCAATGGAATCTTTTTCACGCTCTACTTACAATCCCTGTCTTCAGTCTCCCACTGTAGTGAACTGGCATGTTTCTACCCTTGCCAGGATCATTCTTGTTCGCTGTCAACTGGCTCATGAAGTCCTTCAACACAAACCCTCGTTGTAAAAACACGCCTGTCTCTCGATATTGACAGGTGATGATGTCGTCTGGGCCAAGAGCCGCAGCAGATCCTACCATGATAGCCTCTTCACCTCGGGACACCTGAAATCGCATCGTTAGTCTACCCTTTAGATTGAGATTGTTATGGCCCACCATGTAAAAACTTAAACGGCCTTGTCGTTGTGCCTCTGACATGATTTTATCCATTATATTTACTGCCGGCGTCCAAAAAGGGGCGCAGCATATCAGTATTTGGGCCCACGGTTTGTCTTAGGGAACTCATTTGCTAATCATACCCGTCAACATATTCTTGTACCATTGCAATGCTTGTTCATTTTCGATCGCTGGTGGCTCTCTTTCGTGATCTACCACCGACCCCTCGGAGTCTATCACATGGTAAGTTGCGATCGGAGGCAATGTCGCTGGTTGTAAGAATTCGAGCTTGGACACTAGTGGACTTCTGACTGCTCCTGGGAATCGTGGCCTAGTACAATTTATCTTCTCAGTTCACATTTCAAGCAGACAAGTAGAAGATTGTACTACTAACGATGCTGAGATTTGCTCTAGAGTGAGTTGTGAATTGAAACGTACGCTTCTCTGGGGAGTCGAGGACCTAAACATTGTTGATGTCGTTCGACTAAGCGAGAGGACCTGACAACCACGCTGCCGACCCATCATGGCTATGGATAGTCCTTTGCAAGTTCACGGCGAGTCGTTGTGACAACACCTTCAAGAGCAATGTACTACAACATGTAGTTCATACACCTCAGGGCCCTAAAACCAGACCGAGCCCACGTATGGTTGATTGTCTTCTTGGCACATTGGATCTGGATTACGAAGTAACGAATAGAAAGAGTCTTCCGGGGAGGCATACTTCACTCCGAATCTTCCATCAATGTTTAATTGTTGCATCGGCACAGGATCATCTAAGGTCGCCTTTGAGATGGTACAAAATCGGTTACCTGCGGGAATTCGGTGTTCGGCAACTCGACTCCCGGCCCGTTACGGGGGGTTTACGCCAGCCTCTCTAGCACTATGGGGAATGTATAGTCAATCGTAGGATGATGCCAATTTAGGAAATGTATGTGGGCAGGGGTATGTGAATCGAGAATAATCGAGCCATGTTTGTTCCCTGCTTTGATATGGCATACTTGATCCATTACTTTTTCTCGTTTGTCGGTGGAACGGTCAATTTATCACAAGGAGGACTCTGCTGAGTCGAAAATGGCACTGCAAAGGGTGGTCCCTCGACTTGGTGTCTCTAAACATTTGGGGCGCTGTTTATCCAAACAACAACTGAATCGTCAGTGCAGGCGCCCTTTTCATCAGTCAACGTCTTTGAACGTTGTGAAGCCGTACGTACTTGCGGATATTGGGGAAGGTTAGCTGATGCATTCATTGAGTGAGGCGCCACACTGAAAACCAAGCAGGAATCACCGAGTGCCAGATAATCAGCTGGTCAGTGAAACCAGGGGACAAAGTCGAACAGTTTGATACAATATGTGAGGTCTCTTCGGACAAGGCGACGGTAGAGGTCAGTCGGCGCGCGAGCCTTGCCTTAGACACCCAGCTGAGATAGCTAGATAACCTCGCGGTTCGATGGAACCATCAAAGAACTCCATTATGGAGAGAACGATGTTGCAATCGTTGGAAAGGTATGATGCACCGAACCCATGAGAACCCGGACTGACCTGTTACAGCCATTGCTCGACATCGACATCGAGGGTGATGGTGACGAAGAACCATTGTCCGTGACGCAGATAGAGGAGACTTCTGCTGAGGTAGAGAGCGCCGCAAGGGATTCTGAGAAAGCAAAGGACTTTATCAGCTCTGAGGATGCTTCTATGTCTGCGTCAGAAGCAAACGCAGCAGCGCAAAGACCCCAAAGCAAGCCTCCAAGTTCGCCAGAAGTACAGGGCAATTTTGAAGCAACGCCGGCTGTCAGGCATTTGCTAAAGCAACATAATATTGTGGTCGAAAGGATAACTGGCACCGGAAGAGGTGGACGCATCACCAAAGAAGACGTTGAACGCTACCTGTCAGAATGCAGGAAAGATGCCCCTGTGTCCACACCCACAGAGATTTCGACGGCAGCATCCTCAACGGCTGGACAGGACGTCACCGTTCGGTTGAGCGCGACGGAAAACCAGATGTTCAAGGCGATGACTCGTTCGCTCAGCATCCCGCATTTTTTGTACACCCACTCAGTCAATGTTTCAGCCTTCAGCGAGTTGCGATCCAAGCTTGCAGCATCCAAGGTCTTAGATTATCTGGCAACGTCAGCAAAGGACACAAGCATAACTCCGAAGATTACGCTTCTTCCATTCATCATGAAGGCGCTGTCGACAGTGTTCTTGCAATTTCCAAAATTGAATTCCCATGTAGATGCAAAGGAACCAAATACTCCCAAATTAACGCTTAAAGCCAGTCACAATTTCGGGATAGCAATTGACACACCCCAAGGCTTACTGGTGCCGGTGATCAAGAATGTACAGGATCAGTCTGTCTTGTCTCTAGCTGCCGAAATCAAACGTGTCGGCGACATCGCACGAGCAGGGAAGCTGAAACCCGAAGATTTTCAAAGTGCGACTTTCACGGTCAGCAACATTGGCAGCGTCGGAGCTCGTTGCCAAGCTGTCAGCCCAGTAATTGTTGCTCCCATGGTTGGGATACTCGGCATGGGAAGAATGTCAGATGTGCCGGTTTTCAGAAAAGATGACCAAGGAAACGAGGGGCTTTTTAAGGAGCAGCAAGTCATATTGAGTTGGAGCGCAGATCACCGAATCATTGATGGAGCGACGGTCGCAAAGGCTGCCGACATGCTTGCAGCGCTGTTGAGTCAGCCAGAGAGCTTGGGGCTGATTCTCAAATGAGAGACCTGGTTGATATCAGTAGCGACAGGAGAGGAAGCCTGACGCAAGTAGAACTGGTTAGTCGTGGCGGTCGTCGGATATTGGGCAATATATAGTTTTGTGCGATGCATCATAATAGCCTGTACTCCGTACCCCATACCCCGTACTCGGTAATTAATACTATTCACTTCCTATCGAACACCGGAGAATCCGTCCAAATTCAATTGGCGAACATCTTTAGCGAACTTCGCACGGAAAGGCAGGGCTAACTAGTCTAGATAAGGCGAATGGTTTATCAACGCCCAAAGGCTGGTGTTTCGTCGAACAATCGCGGCCTTAAATGGGGGCCTTAAATAAGGGACGACAGTTGGTTTCAGATACGACGTCGTGACAGCGCGCACATGACTACAACTCGGCACGGTTGTGTGTATATATACGTGAAATGACGGCTGTATTACAACAGTACATCCCTGCTGATTATCTCCACTACCCCTTATTTCTGAAACCTAATCCCTGTTGAGGAACGAAAATCCCATGGACAGGTTGAACAAATTTAACTTTTGACGATAAGCGTCATAAGCAAAACGTGTCAATAATGAATCCAGGGCCTAAGTACCCAAGTATTCTACGGGTGTCAACTCTCTTAACCTCCCCTTCAAAGTACAAGATTTGTCTCACAATGCTCGGCCTCATATTATTCTATGCTTTGCTGGCGAAGCTCGCTTACGAGCTGAGCCTCGCCGTCTACCGTATAACGTTTCATCCGCTCTCCAAGTTTCCCGGCTCAAAGCTGGCTGCCTCAACATACTGGCATGAAACGTACTACGATGTCTTCAAAGGACATTCCTATATCTGGAAGATCAAAGAAATGCACGAGAAATACGGTCCCGTGATTCGCACTAATCCTGATGATGTTCATATTCACGATCCTGAATTCTTCGATACACTCTATGGCTTAAAAATGGACAAGTGGGACTGGTGGACGAAAGGCTTCGCTGTACCAACAGCGGGAGGAATGGTCAGTTCTGCCGTGGAAGTGCGTCAAGTGGGTTGGATCTCTGACTTAAAGAAAACAGACTGTAGAGCATGAGGTCCATCGCAAGCGACGAGGGGCATTGAATCCCTTCTTCTCCAAGGCATCTATCGTAGCAAATCTTCCAATCCTTCAGGAGAAGCTTGCCATTATGTGCTCTCGACTTGATAAAATTGCAGGGAGTCGGGAAGTCCTGGATCTGGAATCTGTCTATTTGGCGCTGACAACGGACGTCTTAACCCAGTGCTCGTATGGCTGGACATATGATTACATACATGCCGATGAATGGGCAATGACATGGAAGCTTGTCAACACGGGCGGGCGAGCGTCGGCAGCCATTGTGCGCTCGTTTCCATTGATCGGGGCAATTGTACGTTCTATGCCGCTCTCAGTCGCACTCAAACTCGTGCCACCGGTGGGTTTCATGAAGTCATGGATGCAACGGGTCGGTATGCAGGTGAAGAAGATCAAATCCAATCCTGAGACGATGCAACAAATCAAGATTGAAAAGCGGAGGAAGGATACCATATTTGCCCAGATCTTGTCCAGCGATCTCCCTGAGAGCGAATTGAGCGACCAGCGCCTGATTGACGAGGGGGTCCTCATCGCGACGGCAGGCTCGGAGACAACGGCCTGGGCAATTACCATCACCACGTACCATCTAATGAAGAATCCTGCAGTCCTGAAGAGGATGCGAGAGGAGTTGGCGACCGTGGAAATTCCGAAAGGTGATCCCGTGGCTCCGTGGACATCACTAGAACAATTGCCCTACCTTACGGCAGTCATCAAAGAGGGAGTCCGCATGGCAGGAGGAATGCTGTCCCGACTGCCACGAATCTACGACAAGCCGATTCAGTACAAACAATGGACCATTCCCGCTGGAACTCCAGTAGCCATGACGCCGCATCTTGTTTCTATTGATGAGAACATATTCCCGGAAGCTCGCAAGTTCATCCCTGAGCGATGGCTTGATCAAATGGATGAAGGCCGGACGACTTCGAGGCTGGACAAGTACATCGTCTCATTTGGGAAGGGCTCCCGGAATTGCATCGGGATCCACTTAGCATACGCTCAGCTGTTCATGAGCATCGCGGCGATGGTGCAGCGATACAACCTAGAGATGTTCGAGACCGATGATAGCGATGCGACACCGACGCGTGACTTGTTCACCGCTGGGGTGAAACTGGATAGCAAGGGTATCCGAGTGATCGTCCATGATAAAGATGAGAAGATCTGAGCATCGGCCGTATATCGCCTGGTCTTTTGCGAAATGCCCTTCGTCTAGTGTTCTGGTCTTTCAAACGGGTCATTTGATCTCGGTGGGACAACAAAAACTAAGACAATATCAGCGCTGCAAGTTGGCATTGATTTTTGCTGCACCTACAAGAAGCCAGCCTTGTAACGAGCCATACCCAGCAGTCACTAGGCATCTGGATTTATGAGAATAGTGAATACTAAGAGCACTAACAAAAGCTGCCTGGCCTCAGCTCATGAAACGAACCATGTGTGCCGTGCACTGAAACTCACCGCTACCATCATAATAGTAAACAAGGACGTGATCTGCCCACTGCTAACAATTCTTGACGTGACTATACTATTCTGGCATCCGAAGAATCTTGCGGCTCCAAACGCCATCATTAGGATGGCCATGATGAGCACTGTCGAAGCCAAGGGCACCCCGATCTTGTAGTCGCTAAGCACGCCTGGTGGCGGCGAAGTATGGCCCAGCCGATATAGCTGTAGCACTACAACTGCGAAGGTTGCAAGGGCGGATGATGTCCGGAAGTAAGCAAGAAACACCCGCTCATTGGCGAGATGGTCTCGAGCTGATGACAGTGGAGCATCGAGGCGAGGCGAGGCCAATGAGATCCTCCATGGACCTAGGGGGATGTATTTTGTACTTTCCACTCTGGCCTGCGCATCAGGTGCAACCTCTGTCATCGCTGTAGGATTGTGTGGAGTTTGGAATATATCCATTTCATGTCCTTGTTGCTCGTTGGACCCTCTGCCCACTCCTTGTTCTGGTTCTGTACCGGAAACCATGCTTGCTGGAGCGCTGCTAGGTGGCGCAATCGTGAGGGGTACTGACCAGCAGGCCTGATAAACCACCCTCTTATCAATAAATCAAAACAAAGCCAAGATATACAAGCGAGAGATCAAATGCTGAACCTGTTGTTGAGACAAGTTCCAAAACGTATATGTCGTGATCCAAGGGCAGATTAAAAGGTTGCAGCAGAATCTTGAAGGTGCTTGTCAAGGGACAGTTTTTGATACGCGCCAAGACAAGGCTGAGAAAACAATATTAAATGTTACACTTCATCCCCATTGTGACTTTTGGGACGAGGGTGATGCCGCCCTTTGAAACCCTGAAAGTGAAGGCATAACAGAGAGGTCCTCCGCTGGCAAAATCTCAATTCTCAATCTACTGAAATTGTGTATCAGGATCCTCGGCAGAGCGAGTCTTTCAGGCATTATGAACATCATTGAAGACTGGGCCAGAGCTCGTGCCCTCGCATCTAACTCACGCATATAAAGCGAACCACCACAAGCAAGGCTAAAACAAAGTGTCACGAAGGCAGCAAATTCGGAGATGGTTGATATGCGTTCGAAGGCGGAGGGAAAGGCAAGAACAATGGCCAAACAAAAAGGACGTAATGCATGCAGAAGCTGTGGTCGGCAACAGCTGGAGCATGACCATTTTGCTGAAGGGCAGAAAGAAGCCGCAGGAGATGAAGAGACACGAGCTCGTTATTCGGACAAGGGATTCCCCAAAGGAGGGAGACCACGCACCAGGCAGTGGAGAAGCAGAAAGTGATTATATAAATCTCGACTTGAACGATATTCTTTGAGCTTGCTGCTAAAAAAACATAAACCCATTTGGGTTGGGACTAGTCGCCACTGGCGAGCACATTCTGACTATCTTGACTACTTAACAACTGCCTTGTGATGGCTTGGAGCAGCATGGGTACGGGAATAGTAGTCTGTGATGATGTGACCACACAATGCCGGCTGAAAGATAGACTCGGATATTCGTTCTCATGTTCACATTATAGGCAGCTGTTCCTCCAGAACAGTCAAACGATATCGTCTTGTCGATGATTGCCAGCACAGCCGCTCGCAATCAATGGGGTTTTGGAACTGCCAGTGTACGTGTGAATGTTGACAGAATGTTGGCAGAATTCACTGCTGCATCACTCTCGAGTGAATTCCTCCTGTTGTTAATTCGAAATCAACACAAAGCCTCCACGTAGATTGCTTTCTCTCCATTGATCTACATTCGAGTCGAAAAATAACGCGCATCTCGAGTCGGCTTTCATACTCCTTGAGACGCCATGTCGCCTCGAAAATTGTACTCCGTCAGCAATGACGAGGTGTACTTTGGTCACAATGCATGTCCGTCGAGCTGGGCTGGGATTGTCGACAACAAGGAGCTTTGCATCACGGAGAGTGGTATTGCGGATTTTATCCGTGGTTCCAATCCTGGATTGTTTGAGAGGTTGCGTGGCTTACCTGTCGCAAGTTCGTCCCTCGAAGAAGACGACGTAGTGGTTGTGCGGCGCGAGGACCTGTCCTTGGGCCACCGGCAGTCGGCAAAGCCGAAGATGGTCAGGATAAGAGATGGAGGGTCTCATTTTCCATTTACTTACCCATCACATTTGGACCGGACTCGAGAGGCAGGCTTCGTTGGTCAACGCCTAAAGGACGCTGTGTTGACAATCGTGGACTCGATCGACATTGGTAAGTTCCACAGAGATGGGCGATTTAGACCAGCCTAACAAGATACAGGGGACTCAACCTACACGTATCATCGTCATCACGATGATTGCGCTATCAGTTGCACATTCCCGTTTTGCCCACTGAAGAACCATGTCATTCCAGCCACCGATTCCTTCACTGGTGTCAGAAAGAGTACAACCGCTGAAGCTGAAACAAGCCAGTTGATGGACTTCTATTGCTTCGGATGCTTGGAATATATCCTGAAAGATCAAGGGGATGTGTTCATTGCCGATGGGTTTCCAACTCAAGAGATCGCTGCTTCGTTTGATGGAACAGTAGATCGGGCGCACGTGCTCCAAGCGGCTGAAAGACTCCATCCTGGTCTAAAACATCGAGAGCTGTGGAAGATGTATTACCCGACTGAGCCGCCGTTGGAGGCCGGGGAAGGATCGAACTCAAAGAGAGGCCTCCGGTTGCGTCGTCAGAAGCAGTATGAAATCGAACGCACTTTACAGAAAGTTAGGAAAGACATGTTCGCCATGGCAGGTAGCTGGAATGACACGAAGCCTGGGAGCCTTGTTCTGGTCCGACCACGATACCTTCCGCCATACAGCGATCGATACAAAAAGCAAGGACGTGAATGGAGCGACCGGACCAGCCATGAGACAACTCCAGTAAGTCCCGTTACTGTTGAGAAGCCAATTCCGAACGACCTGGTGTCTTGCTATTGCCGTGAGCCTGCTGATGGGAGCCCCATGGTTCAATGCAGCTCTGACAAGTGCATGTTTGGATTCGTCCACTTTCGGTGCACTGACCTCGAGGAGATGGTTTCTGAAGAGAACATTTTCTTCTGCAAAAATTGCCGGGGCGGGGTGGATGCTAAAGAAGAGATGAAGCAAAAGTTCGAGGCACCAGTTCAAGCTTTGACCTGGGCTGATATGATACCCAGTGATGCAGACAACGAAAATTCGGAGATCGATGACGACGAAGAGACTCACTATCACAACGATGACGGGCAAAATGATTGTCTAACTGTAACCTCTGGTTTCGTAGCTGTCAACAATCTCTCCAAGAGGAATGAAATTCTCATTCCAATGTCTGGCAATGAAAACAATGTTTCAGAGGAGTAATTGGCTGGAACCGTCCAGCTAGGTTGGGATGAGCAACGGCATGGATGGATGATGTTGGAATCACGAATATTGGATGGGCACATGGACTGGAACAGACATCAGTATTGGCATCTGCACCTATCACAATGCCATGGGCTGGATAGGCCTGCTGAGGGAGCACCCAGGGAGAAGAGCTTGAGCAATCCTTCATCCTTGATGACCTGAGGGAGATGAGAAAATTGAGGTGATATTGAGAATTGAGGCACGTGATTCTCAGGCGAGATGTTTATCACGTGATATACATGACATAATCATGCCAAGGCCAGGCTTTCCCTCGCAGGACGAATTCGCACCCTCTTCGCTGTTGCAATCTAACCCAAGGTCTATGACTCTATTTCTTTTTTCCAACATCATCATCGGGTATTGAACAGACGTTCAAGACCGCTCTCCTGTTGAGATCATACTCCCAAGCCTCCATTTGGACACTCGGATCTGAGGGTTGCCGAAAAAGCCTCGGTTGAAGAGCTATTGCAAGGGTTTGCTTGCGCACGCCTTGCTCCAATACTTCCTCTGACCATCGTCCAAGTGATTACTTCCTGCATCAAACCATCTCTCTCGAGCACACCGCCGACCACTACTCAAAATGTCAGGACTTGATGTCGAGGCCCTACTTGACTCGACCGCAGCCAATGATGTTGTAAAAGACTCTCCAAAGGACCGCGAGGATCGACACCGGAGCGATCGGTCAGAGCGTCGTGATAGAGACAGATATCGTGATGGATCTCGCGACCGAGACCGAGACCGCAAGAAACGAGACCGGAGCCGCGAATACCGCCGAGATCGAGACAACGACATAACTAGTCCCCGCAGCGACCATGGAAGCGCTAATGGAAGCCATAGGAGCAGCAGACGACGCAGTCGCAGTCGTGACGACGACAGAAGACGCTCTAAGCGAGACGACGACACCTACCGTAAGCGGTCTCGATCTCCTGAATACGACCGCTACTACCGCCCTGGCGGACGGTCCAAGCGCGATGACGATGATCGACGTGATCGTGATCGAGAAAAGGACCGACGTCGTTCGGGAAGTCCAAGACCGACTACCAAGGGCAAGACACCCGAACCACAGCTTACTGAGGATGAACGTGATAGGAGAACCGTCTTTGTTCAACAACTAGCCGCACGTCTTCGAACTAAAGAGTTGATTTCCTTCTTTGAAAGGGTTGGCCCCGTCAAGGAAGCGCAAATTGTCAAGGACCGAGTCAGCGGTCGATCAAAAGGGTAGGTCGATCACATTCCCGTCCACATGGTTAATGTTGCTAACACGACCCCTAGTGTTGGCTACGTCGAATTTAAGAAGGAAGATTCCGTACCTCTTGCTATTCAGATGACAGGACAGAAATTGCTCGGTATCCCAATCATTGCCCAGCTTACCGAAGCAGAAAAGAACCGTCAAGCCCGCAACCCCGAGGCTACTAGTGGGAATCACAACTCCATTCCCTTCCACCGCCTCTACGTTGGCAATATTCACTTCAGCATTACTGAAACAGATCTGCAGAATGTTTTTGAGCCATTTGGCGAGCTGGAGTTCGTTCAACTTCAGAAGGAGGAGGGTGGCCGCAGCCGAGGATATGGCTTTGTTCAGTAAGTCATTATCTCTAAATCGGTAGACACAGGCGTAGGCATTCTAACTCAGTCGTCAGGTTTCGTGACCCCAATCAAGCTCGTGAGGCTCTTGAGAAAATGAATGGTTTTGACCTCGCAGGACGTCCGATTAGAGTTGGTCTTGGGAACGACAAGTTCACCCCAGAGTCCACGGCCAATCTCCTGCAACGATTCCAAGGACAAAATGGTCCACCGGGAAACTTTCAAGGTTCTGCCTTCTCCGGCTCTGGTGGCCGAGGCTCTCATGCAGGCGGCGGTGCCGGTACCTTCGACCGAGCCGGCGGACGTGACAACGACAAAGGCCAAGGAGGTGCAAGTGCTCTTGATGACACTGATGTTGCCGGTGTGAACTTCAGCAATTATAGCAGAGATGCATTGATGCGCAAACTAGCTAGAACGGATGAACCTGCCGATTCGGACCCGAAGCGCACAGCAGCACCCAAGAAAGAGACGAAGCCTCTGCCTGTCAACGTCAGCCAGGCTAGCAGATGTGTCCTGCTTCGGAACATGTTTGACCCCGCAGAGTACGTTCTCCCCTTGCCAATGAGTTCCTTGAGAGAGAGCAGATTACGCTAACAACTGAACAGAGAAGAAGGCGACGCATGGGTCAAAGAACTCGAAGACGACGTCCGGGCCGAATGCGAAGAGAAGTACGGGCATGTTGTGCACATCTCACTTGACCCCAATACACAAGGTGATATCTACCTCAAATTCGAACGCGTCTCCGGAGGCGAGAATGCCATTAAGGGTCTCAATGGACGTTACTTTGGTGGTAGGCAAATTTCCGCGCAGCCCGTCGTTGACGCTGTCTACAGCAGTTTGTTCTCCCGGACCAAGGCACTTTGATCACTCCCGTTGGCTCGGGGAGGGGGGTCCAAATCCTCAGATGGCGTATATGCGGCGGCGATCGGAGGATGGAGCTGGCGTTGAAGTCATATTGACGTTTCAAACATTCGGGCTTGCGCGAGGAGACCCTGATAGCCTCAGAGCATTCTTTGCCGCGTATTGACATGGCGTCTAGTAATTCAACTCCCGAAGTCAATGCTGTCATTTTGATGGCGACGCTCAAAACACCTAGTGGTTTCGCCAGACGACAGCCAGGCTTCTGCAGAGCAAGAATCAGAGTGGAACGATCCTTATCCCTGGTAGGTTTGTCGTGTTAGTCCTCTGCTTGTGTCCGCACGTCCTCACGTGCCTCAGAGATAATCAATACTACTAGACTTTGTCGTTCATTCCATGCCCGCTCTTGCTAATTGCCGTACCGTTGCCCCCTCGTCTACTGACACGCTTTGCTGGTGACATGAAAAGGGTCCGGACCCTGCAGGAGGGCGGCTATTCCGGGTCCCATTATTACGAGAAGAAACAGTAGTTTGTAGTATCTAGAACCCATAGCGAGAGTCCTTGTTCCAAATTATGACACGTTCTGACTAGCTAATGTCGATTGACTCGTGTTTCATATTGTGTCGAGATCATAGAGATGCTTGAGCTCGCTATGACGAGCAATCAAGCTCCGAGATGCAGAGGCTGGCAAAGGCCCTGATCGAGAGCACACATCAGAGCCCTTACCAAGAGCTAGCCAGCGCTTTCTGGCTCTAGCATAAGGCAGTACAGCGAGCAGCTGTATTTCAGCATCATCTTCACCTGTTGGAGATTGCTTCGAAAACAGTGTTGTTGAATGGGCAAAGATGATACTGAAACATAGCTACTGACTGGACAAAGCTGGCCTTCTTTGATATGTCGACATGCCGGTCGTGACCACATGAGAGATGGCCAGTCCACTGTACAGCAACATCAGCAAACATTCAATGGTAACGATAACTTGACTTACCCAACCATGACGTTGTCTCATGTGGACAACGACAGGCCCCTCCCACTGACATGGATCGATGATCCAAGATCCAGATCCACCAGACCTTGAAGGCAGCTCTGGGCCCGGGCTTGGATTTGAGAAACGGGAAGGGACGCGCATGACTCAGTGATATTGGCGAAGAGTGAAGCCTTGCCAAAAGAAAAGGCTTCGAAGTTGTGCCCCTCGAAGCTCTGCATTTGAGTGGAATTTGGTCACAAGGACGATAAGCTGGCCGGGAGATGGATTATGGATCAGAAGTTTCGTCCCGTGATCTTGCGTAGCCCATAATTGTTGAAGCTGAAACTCATATTTATGCTTTCACTCCGCTTTGGACCGTAATAAGTGTATCTTCCCTTCCAGCTCAGTCATCTTGGACAGCCCATAGTCCGTGGGGATATTTCCTTGGTTTTCTTTCGCTCTTTGGTTCGGTGGTAATAGTCAAGCTCGTTCGTTTGACTTCCTTTCTTCTGTTCCCTTTTTCGGCGAGCACATGAATCAATCGTACACACTCTCTTCATTTTTCACGTCAATTCTTATATCTCAAAGCTTCGATCGTTCACTCTAGCTATTCGGGAGGCACCACCAGGCCTCGCCATTATGTGTGATATGATGTATATTGATTGCCATCCTTAGCTCAAGCCAAGTGAACGCTTTGATTTCGACGAGGCTGTGTTGCACGACTGTACACGTGAATTCCAGCCATCATTTGCCGGGCACTTTGTCCGCTCGTTTCAGACAGTAAACATGCACATGGGATGTCATGCTTTCTCACTTTTGGTACACTCCAGTTGGCTCCAAGCAGATACTGTATTGTCGCTGCTGTCACTTGTTTCTCGTTGCAAGAAGAAGGGAGACTCGAGATAGAGCCTGAAGAGTTTGTGTGACTGGAAGAGCTGGCCGGGCGCCGGTTTGTGCTTGGCTTCTGTAACGGACAGCCTTCTCCCTTTTCCCAAAGTAAGGAAAACAACCAACTCATTCAACCTGTCTGACAGTTTGGCAATTGGTTCAGCTGGAAGCCGAGGCTGTGGTACATTCCTCGTAGCTACGTGTATTCTTGAATCTGGATTGTCTTGTCCCACCTAACATCCTCAAAGCTGGCGAGTTCACTCTGCCCTGAGAGTTCGGAAAGTTTATTTTCCTGTTTGATAGGAAGTGCCATGGAAAGCTCCCATGGGCACATCTATGCCTTGTGCGGCACGACATGCTCAGAGCACTGTGACGGGCTAATGCTGAACAGATGATCTTGACTTGAATCGAGGACGCCGGAGGCGATGCTCGAGCAAGATTCTGGCAATGGAGAAGTGTTTGCTAGACTCAAGGCGCTGTCCAAGGGGGGAAAGCTGATGCAGGGGCCACTTTAGGGAGGAATAACGAAGCAAGATTCGCCGAAGGAAACACCTGGGTGCTGCGAGAGGAAACTGGGGGAGGCTGAGCGCTGGGTGCTGCTCCTCAGCTATTAGGTACTCTCACACATCGATAGATCCGCTGGATGGAAGATGAGTACGGAGGCAGAGAGATAGGAAGGGAGGAAGATGAGAGATGTCCAGGAGAGTAAAGTTGATACAGAATCCGGGAAAGGACCAAGGCAAGCAATGCCACAATAAGAAGCAGTAGAACCCGCACGGCATGCATGTACATCGAAGAAAGGAGCGAGCAATCAATCAGAGTCCCATGCTGAATGGGAGGTTCCACAATAGGACGAGGAGATGTGAGTGCTGTGTCTGGGTGTCTGGGTGTCCTGGTGTCCTGGTCCCTGCGTGCTCAGCCGCGTCCTCAAGCCGCGATTGCTTGAATGCCATCATCACGATCATTCAGATCATCACGATCAGTCAGGTCAGCAGCAACCACCTCGAGGGCGCGGCTGGTGAGTGGTGAGGCGGCCACAACGGGTTAGATCCCACAAGAGGAGGCTCTTCCCTTCCTCTTTCTTGTCTTTCTTCTTCTTCTTCTTCTTCTTCTTCTTCTTCTTCTTCTTCTTCTTCTTCCTCCTCCTCCTCCTACTCCTCTCCTTCTTGCTCTTGCGCTCTGCACCAACAGCATCATTGTGTTGTCTTCTCCCATCAAGACACCCCTGTGATGATCTTCCTTGTCATACTTGGCGGCCCAGTTGGGTGTTTGCGCTCCTCTACATGGGAAGATGATAGATCCGGTGACAAACACCAGCACACCGCTGAGAGAGCAATGCACTGACAGTCACCAGGGTCTATCTTGTAAAGACAGAACAGGACTGGTTCCTCTCCCCAGAGGGCGGGGAGCCAGCCTTGACGCAGTCTTTTGGTATGTCGTCTACTTTCTTTGCTCCTTCTAGCCGGACCTCTGGACAACGACGGGAAGAGGAGGGCAACTCATCACGCAAATATCACAAGAGGTCCCCTGCCTGGATCAAAATAGTGCCCCTTTAAAAGTCAACCATCTCTGGCGTCTCCAAGAGAGAAACCTGGCGGATTCCCAGTCCCTTAATGTTGGAAGGACAGTGGATCCCATCAGTGGATCTGCCGAGCGGAACCCCAAGCCAAGAAGCTTTTCAATAGTAGCAGGGCGTACCTTGTCATCATCGACGCGTCAAAGTTGTAACTGACGAACGCCGTTCCTATCGTCTTGCATGTTTCGGTCGTCAAAGGGTTCATGCCCTGAGCAGCATGCATCAGATACAACCTCGACATGTGGTGACAAGCGGTCATCACTAGCACAAGAGCAGAGTCCGTGAGGGCCCATGAATGTGTTCCTAGCAGGGTTGGTCAGACCAGACCCCCTTGTCGATATAAATCTCCCAAATCATCGTTGACACATCATCATGTGGCAACGCCTTGAAAGGCTGCCTGGGACGTTCGTACTGGGATCGGCCCCAGGGGTAAGACCAAATCCCAGGTATGTTCACATCATTATGTGGGAGCAGACCGGTCAAGCTGCTGCAACCGTGAGGACAAAGACCAACAAGTAGCTTTCAGGTCCACTTCATCAATCTCAAATCCCGTCTCTGCAGGACGGCACCCTGCGGCTCAACCTCATATCAACTCATATCGACGGCCCTGGTGCTTGGCACTTGTGGTCTGAACTGTTGGCGGCTCCATAGTATCGTGCAGAGATGTCGGCATTGACGCAACAAAGATTGCTGGGCCCTCATCAACATCCGACCTGACTCGTCACCTGACCTTACTCCCCCTGATCGCCTTGCGCGGTATCGATATCAGTTTCCATAATAGAAAGCATAGGCAAACGACAGATAAACCTCCGTTGAACAGGCCACAAACATGTCCAACACCGAGCCAGACAACAACCCGCACAAGGCCCTTTCACCGACAGAATCCCCACGGCTCTTTGTGCGTGGAAATTCACGTCGTTATCAGGATTGGCTTGGCGTGCGTTTGGTGCTCACGAGGCAGTCACTGACTTCTTTGCTAGTACAAGAGTTTCTAACGTCCTTGGGGAAAAGGTGAGGCCGTCTGCTTCTGCCTCTGCTTCGGTGCGTCCTTCTCTTCTCTCTTTCCTGCTTCCTTCTCTCTCCTCTCTCGTCTTTCGCTTCACCATCATCGTCACCATCCTCTTCATCCTCTTCACCCTCTCCCTCGATCTGTCGGTCTGGTGGCCAGTCAGTCGGTCAAACAGCTTGATGGACAGAGTCGATCCGCTCACCTGTCTCTTCTCATGCGCTCTACAGCTCTCTGGCCTGCTCCGTACTGCCCTGTTTTGTCTTTTCTTCTTTCCTCTCAGCTTGTCTGAAGCGTCTGCTGGCTCTTACCGTCATTTCATGTGGGAGATGAGACATCCAGCAGCATCCATGCACATTTCTTTCAGAAGCGAAAAACTGATCTGACCACTCTGTCCTGTCCGAAACAACCAGCTACATTCACTATCACTCCCTGTTTGAAGCAGCTGAACCTGAAGACCTGAGAACCTGAGAACCTGAGAACCTGAGACACTTCCTGCGGTCCTTCTGAAAGCTCATTTGCAAACACCCTTTCCTGATCTGTCCCTTCCAGTTCTCATCCTCATCTCGCTCAAGCCACTATCCTCTGACGCGCCATCAAATACAGGCAGACATGTCGTATAACGACGGCATGGACATGCCCTTCGGGGCCTCTGTCACATCTCCTGCCTTGGAGCAGGCCAAGCTTCTGCTCAGGCAGTCGGAGAGAACCTTCTCCCAGACCCAACATGAGCTGAGCAAGGTCATGTCCGTCCGCTCGCAAACGCCAATGTCCCAGGCGGAGAGCATCAACACCGACAGAGAAATCCAGGGGCTGCAGGCTCGCCTGCAAGCTCAGGAGAAAGAGGTGCGCGATCTGAAGGAATTGGTCGAGAGGCAAAGGGTCACAATCGCCCAACAAAGCAAGGCCATTGAGCAGCCAAAACAGACATTCTCGACACCAAGCCGCAGAGAAGGGTCCCTCCAACCAGGAAGTTTTCATGGCCCAAAGCCCAACTACCCACCGGTGCCCGGACCTCTTATTGGACCGGGATCAGGGCCTGCGCAGCAGTCTTCAAACCAAACACCAGCAGGGCTTGCCTATCAGCCACCCACCGGTCCTCGAAATGTCTCCCATCATGGCCAGAGTCAGCAGCAATGGAGCACTCCGGGATACCAGACCAATACCATTTTACAGCCTCCTCCTTCACAACCCCACTTCCACCAACGCACCACCGTTACGGCCCTTGGATCTCCTGAACCAAGACCCCAGAGTGCTGCAACTGGCTTTCAGCCTATCAGTAAACATTCCAGCCACAGCAGCTTGTCAAACCCATCATCTGATCCGAGACGACCGATAGGAATGCACATTAACAAACACACACCATCACCTCAGCAGTCTCGAGCACATCCACCTCCAGCACCATTTCCACACCCACCGAATCCTCACATGCAAAACCCTCCAATGCAGAGTCCTTACATGCAGAATACCCATATGCAGAGCCCTCAGAGCAGTTCTATGGCTATGGTACCCGTTCCTCCTGGTGCCGGCATTGAGCATTTCAAAAGTGCATTTGAGAAGGTTGTCAACATGTCTCAACAGTATGCATTTTCACATGTCAACATCCCAAGTACGGCCAAAGACAACCAGATGCCTCAGGCAATCAAGGACCGGCTTCTCAAAGCTGCATCTATGACAACGGCCTTTCAGTTTATGTCATCTCCGTACACCAGATTCTTTCTCGTCACCAAAATCATTATTCAGTGGCTCATCAAGAATGTTCTCAAGCATGACAGCTTCAGAGGCCTGGATCCCGAAGTCGACAATGCCATTGATGGTCTGCGATCGTCCATTTACCAATCCACTCCAGCACAGGTCAAGTTTCAAATCCTGAACAACATTGGTCAGCAAATGATGAGGCTCAGACAACGTCCAGACTTTGCAGAACACTGTGGTACGCTTGCCCACCAACGCGGCAATGATATCTGGGCCATTATCAGACCGATGATGCATCAAAAGACTTCACGAGATTGGGACGACTTGTTGCTACTCATGATTGAAGCACACAATGCTGCAGCGTTGATGTTCTCTGGCTCAGAAGAATATCGGTTTGAGATGCCCTTGGCTGGCACACCTTTCGATCTCAGGACAATGGTGTGCAAGGATACTTTCCAAAACATCAAACCGCATGGGCAGCTTGTGGCAGAGCGAGCACAGGTCCGACTGAGCATCTCACCCCTTGTCGTTGTGAGAAAGACTAGCCCCGGTGGACTTTTTAGCTCGGCAACTGTGGTTCCAGCATCAGTCTTGTTGAAGGTCGGCAATTGAAGAGCAGACACAGAAATGTGCATTCGCACTCATCGGTGGAACGAAGGAAAGAATGGTAATTGGTTGGGGGCGGGGGGAGGATTTTTACAAGGTCACATCAAAAGGGAATTTGCTTCAACAATAGATGAGGAGTCAAGGCAGTTAGTTACTGGTGAAGCGTTCAGGTTGGCCAGACGTCATAGATTTCCAGATGCAAGTCAGGGGGAGGGTGTCGTGTCATGTACCTAATAATGCTTCAGCGCAAAAGCCTGGGAGGGACAATAGTTCAGAATCCTCATGGGACGGCGTTGATATGAGACGGTCCTACTTAATTCACATTTCAAAGCCAACATACGCAGTCTCAGCCTTCTTCCGCTCTCCACTGTACGACTTGGATAAAGAAGCCAGAGTAACAGTAGGAAAGGTGGAACACTGACCAAGATAGCACCAGTTGACACTCCTCTACTTCTCTCAGACCAAGGATGGTGAATAGCCCGCTCTTGCACCAACCGGTCATCATGAGCTACCTGACTCCGAGTCTTGTGTACTGGGACCAAGCCTCGATAGATGCGCTTGAGACGTATTGAGGGACGGGGGGAGGGGGGGATCAGATTGAGATAACGAACATTCCACAATATCCAATGTGTTTACATATTTGGTAGCTCTTTAATGATGATGTTGTTGGGCCGCCAATTAGCCGAATTGAATCGGAGATAGCGCCGGCCCACTCGGAAGCACTGGCTACGTCGGCATGGGTTCCCTCGATTTGCTAGGTGGACATGCATATAATTAGAAAACAAGAAAGCTCGAGAAGGGCAGGCATGGAAGTTTGCACCTGGTCTATAACGATCTTCCCGTGATTATTGGGTTAACTGGGTGTCTTGCGCAAGCACTGGCTGGGACTCCGCCATGGGCCGACGGCTCATCCAGCGGAAAGACAAATGGTGCTCAAAAAAGATCCGAGTGTGCAGGATGAATGTACGCTGAGGCGGGAACGGATGCTGTATCTCAGGAATTTGTCTTTGGATTTTGGTCGGCCATAACTTATGCCTGCTACATGCTGAAGTGGTATGCCCCTTCTTTCGAAGTGTCTGGTGACGTTTCGGTTCAGTCACAGGAGAAATGAAGCCACGCCATTGCTGCTCTCGCACATGATCGCCTTGGATTTCTGTTCTGCTCGCTCCCTCTCAGCATGCAGAATGCGCCATCACCATAACATCACATCACCCCGAGTTCCTTAGTCCTCCCGTATCGAAAAGACTTTCTCCATCTAAAACGCACAAGACCATCCGAATCCTTTTCTATGATGAAGTGATGGCCTTTCGTCTCTGGGCACCGCGCTGTCTGGCATTCAATCTTCCGCCGGTCACACCCAACTCCTTGCTGACCTCCTCGTTGGCCTCGGTGAGGATCAGCTCGATGTGGCAGGGGTTGGACATGTATGGGTTGATGCGACCGTGGGCACGGTATGTTCGGCGGCGCTGCTTGGGGGCTTGGTTGACTTGGATGTGCTTGACGATCAGGTTGGAGGTGTCGAGGCCCTTGGTGTCGGCGTTGGCTTCGGCGTTCTTGAGCAGTCCGAGGAGGAACTCTGCGGATTTGACGGGGTGGCGGGCTTTAGAGACGCCGAATTGCTTGCCTGGAGCGAGAGGGTGTTAGTTTCGATATGATTCTGTGCATGTTTTTTTCTTTGGAAGAACCCCCCGCAGCAGCGCAAATATCTGCTGGTTACGGTCCATCTCTTGCCCATCAACCAAAATAGAAATAGAAAGATTGAATTGGAAATCCATCATCATTGACATCGATGTAGAATGCTCCGCCTCTTGCAAGAAATTTTCATCAATGGGTGACACGAATGTGCGTACCTTGTGCACTTCGTCCAGTGCTTCCAGCATATCGTCTCATGGGAACAGCCTCCTTGAACTCCTGCACATTCTCGAGGTATTGGATGGCGCGGCCGACCTTCCAGCCGTTGATGGCTTGGGCAGTCTCACGGGTGTTCTTGAAGCTGACACGAAGATAGCTGCCACGGCTGCGAGCCGATTTGGCGCTGGGGATTCGCTCGGCGGGGGCGTAGCGGACCTGTTTGGCAAGCATCAGTATTTCGGGGGCTGGTCTGGAATTGTTTGAGAGGCTTCGCATCGACATAGGGTGAGACGTACCATCTTGTCGGCGTTTGGAAAGAAGAGGATGGTCCTTGATATGGTCGTTGTCAATCCAATCTCGAAGTGCGAGGACGACTTTGCGGCTAAGAATTTTGGTTGTGTGTCGCCAAGACTGCGTCTTCACAGGAGACAAACAAGAAAGTTTCCCGAGCGGTCTAACTCTAATCAGGAAGAGCCGATTTCTGCGGCAGGACTTGGCAGCGTCAAAGATTCAGCCTCGTGGAAATCTCAGCCTTGTCCACTCGGCTGCCATAATCGACCATATAATCCTGTCGAGCTCGATTTGTCACATGTGCTTACTGTCTGTTGCAAGTTGTGGTCACTGTCTGTTGGAGGAGTTGTGCTCAAAGCATTACTTTCTAGAACATCCGAAAATTGTTGAACGAAGTCAAACTCTGTGAGTCATCGTGTGTCGCACGACGCTGTCATAGCACTACACTCACCAGTCCAATTCTACCATCAAAAAACCACAACAATGTTTGCAGCGGAAACCTGTCCCATGTCTTGCGTGAGACACCGTACAGGTAGTGGCATTCTTTCACAATCGAAAGGCATAATTCACGTAATCTGGCCTTCAATGCCATAGAATTTGGGACCATAAGCGTCACCCTACGATTCTTCAGTACTTCTCCTGGCTTTGGGGTTCGGGCTCGGGACGGTAATCACCACCATCCGACTCTTCAGTACCTCCCCTGGCGAAAGGCATGGGGGCTTCCAGCCAACTCTCCTCCGAAGAATAGTAATCATCGAAGTCCGCCGGCTCAATTCCACTCATGATCTCTGTCTTTGTCAAAAGAGGCTTTGGTTTGTTCGTCCATGTCGAGCCTCCAGATGGTTCTGCACTGCCTGTACGATCTTCCGGAGCTGAGTAGTAGTTATCAACTCCTAGTTCGGACGTTGCGACATCAGCATCGGCATCGCTCTCGTCCTCGCCCTCGTCCTCGCCCTCTTCGTCTTCGTCCGTGGATACTAGCGCCGCTCCCGCCAATTGACTGTACTGTTTGTGCTTTGGAGTCCCCAGCGGCTTAACTTGGTCTTCGGTACCAGCGCCGTCATACCCTGGCTGCCCTGGTCGAATGACTTTACCATTGATGACCTTCGACCCAGGTTTGCGGCCTCGTGTACCTGGCAATGTAATTTCAGTGAACGAGGTGTATTTGAACATGTCTGGAGTCACTGATTGTCCATTCAAGAGCTTCAATTGATTTCGCCATTGCTCTTGAGTTGCTTTATCTCGTGTTTCTTCATATCGTCCTATCTTCTGTCCATTGAAGATTTCGAGATCAAGAGCATCAGCCCGGTGGTCGCCCAAGTACCAGCGAATTTCGGTGTCTGGGGCAGCTTCTAGCCTCATGTCGTTTTGCGTTGCGAATCGACGAGCAGCCTCAATGGCATATACGTCAAAGTCGAGTTTTGGGGCAAGCTTTTTGTCAAGGGCTTCCTGTGTTTGAAGTTGACCAGTCCACAGCTGGACAGCGCCTGCTTCGTGCATTCTACCAAGGACCATGTCATGAGAGATTTCGTATCTCTTGGTTGGATCATGGAGATGGTACCAATGGCCATAATCTGCTGCTCCGACAGAATTGAACACCGTCTTCACTTCAGCTAATGGCACTGCAGCGGGGATTTCAGTGCGCATCGCATCAGTACCTTGCGCTTGGATTTCATAGGAGCGGTGTATGTCGAGAGTGTATCCTCGACCCTTCAGTGTGATCGTGTATGAAGACGCAAGATGGCCTGAGTCTGGCAGTGTGTATTCCGCATCGATGTTCAGAAGGTTCAACCGGATCTGGTCAACAATCATGACATCTGTACACCTCTTCGGTGCGCCCGATGCTGAAGATTCTGGTCGAATGCGGACAGTATCTCCGACAATGATCAATTCTGGGCCCAGAAATATGCCTTTGCATCGAATGTGGGCATTTGGCCATTCACCGCTGAACCAGAATTTCTCCAATAATGACATACTGGTCATGCAAGTGAGAGCATTTTTGATTGAGGCATGCCATCTGTCTCGTGGGATACCTCGGAGGAGCATGTGCCAGTGTGAAAGAGGTCGAATATTTCTCAAAGGAACGTATCGGTACTGCTTGGAGGCTGACTTGTCTACCTCGTCGTTTGGGTCAGGGAATGTCTCAACTCGAAAACCTGCAGTGTTCAAAGACGTGTTTTTCTTTGGGAGGCTTTGAATGTCAGTGAAGTCAATCGGGCCATTGGCGGTTTTCGCCGAGGGCACTTCGGCGATAACTCCAGCCCGCCAATCAGGGTGGCCATGGAAGCATTCCTGGCTAAAAGAGTAATACTTGTACTCAGAGTTCTCGTCGACCATCAGGGAGTGTTCATGCAAGAAGTTGGGGATCCACAGGACGAGCTCGCCTACTCGGGGGATGAATGAGTGCTGGAGCTCAACCGATGTCAAATGGATTTTGGTCACATTCTCGCCATAGCCACCATAATCGTGTGTAGCTCGCCAATCCATATGATTTGGCTCTTGTATGTCGTCCTCAATACCTTTCCTACTATCTCTGGCTTTGTACAACCTATTGACGAGCAGCTTGTAGACGTCCTCGTTTCCCCTCTCATCTGTTGCAAATGGAGCTCCTGCAGCTTTGATTTGACGTTGAGGTCTGGTTGACGTGCCGCCCGCGCGGCCAACGGCGGACTCTGATCTGCTCGAAGACTCGCTACCTGCATCTCTGATGGCATATCGTCTCTGTGAAGGGAGAAGTGAGGCATCAGGAATCTTTCGCGTCCGTTGGGCAGGCGGCCTGGGCGTTCCCTTGGAGCACAACACGCAATCGCACTGGCCTTGCATCTCTGACATGAGCCATAAGAAATGAGGCTCAAATCTCGGTATTGAGTCATAATATCGACCTGAAGGATGTCCGAATAATCTCTTGTACACGTTGCCACTTCCTCCAGGCTGATCCATTTCGAACAAGGCATAGCCATTGGGTAGTTGATCAATATAGAATTGGACTCCTACAGAGAGGTTAGCCGAGGATGAGAATAGTTGCACGCCTCATGGAAAGAAGCAGGTGTTGGGTAGAGGGGATGATCCCAAAGTCTATCCATCCAGGATTTTGACCCTTTCCATGTTGATCCTAGATCTATCATCAACTACTATTAGACTTACCAGGCTGCGCCTTATCGATTCCATCCTTCTTCGCCCAGGAATTCCCCAGTATTATCAAATAGCGCTCTTCTCCACTTGGTCGGTAGGTAGGCTTGCCCGGCCAATGCCGTTTGTCCCCATCACTGACGGAATTGATCGCTCGGACCTGCCATGTGCCTGTCCGACCAATAGTGTGGAAACGTCCTCCTAGATTCGCCATCTCAGGGAATGGTGCTGCCTATGGCTCACATGGAGAATTTGTGAGATGTTACTGGCTTTGGCTGGAATGGTTGACGCGAAAGACAGAGGGAAAAAGTGGGCGAGTGAAGTGATGGTGAGATTCCTCAGACAACGCGCTCACTTAATCATTGTGCGAATTTAATAGCTTGGAATTCTTTGGGATGTGCTTGACCGCGCTGCACTTACTGGCTGGTTTCTGAGTACAAACCATATACCACCTAGCAAATAAAGACAAGCACCCAGACAAGTAGGATATAGTGAATACATACTCTGCCTTAGTTACTAGGGGAGATGGATTGGCGCCAAGCCTTGATTAGCGCGTACTAATACTGCAAAAACGTGACACGCTAGCACACTTTGTTACTAATACTCCGCGCGCTGGCCAGAATGCCTCCTTTGGCGGTCGATGAAAGTGCCGCTGCTTCAGGACTTGGAATGGTTGGAAATCATGGGAAGGGGCTCCTGGAGATCCACTGCCTAGTAAATTTCTACATAAACTAGAACAGAGACTAAGTGGCAAAGTCAGACATCTTAATCGTCATCCATATTGACTCGCTTAAGTTGCCAAATTTAGATCTAGCAAGGTGTAATGACTATTTGAGTCACGGACAGCGGCCGCTATTAGTAATAATTCTGCGCTAAGCTAAATAAGCTAGTGTACCTAGAAATTGGCTGTAAACCGCCGCCAAGATCCCACGCCTCCTTGAAAAGTATCCCTGTTCCGCTCCAGAAGATGCAAACCCTAGGCCTAAGGCAAATAAGAGAGACACATTTGGGGGATTTTCCTTCTACCCTCCGTTCTGGCTTTCAGCTTCGTCTAGGCGTCCAACTGTTCATAGATCTGTGGAACCAACTCAGAAAGCTCGGGCTTATGATCGTGTTTATGCAATCAGGCCAATTCTAATGCAGCTTCCGTACACCGTACATTTCTGCGATGAGCGCGCTGTAACACGGGTGAGGAGACATTGGGCAGGTGCGCATTTCTCACATGGACAGTAGAAGGGCCTTGAAAATCCTCCCAATCTTCAGCCTTGCTCGCTGTAGTCAATGAGCGTATGACTTTGCATGAGAGAGAGTAAAGAACAGCCCTCCGAGAAGACGAAGGCAGACGAGACCCCGTCCCCAGATGAGTCCGACCTTGTGATGCCGCTTCAACTTCTTGGTCCTCTAGCCTCCATTGCATTGGCGTGGCGATACCGCCAAATTTGTCATGCTCAAGGCGCTTGGTGCTCCCGACCCGAACTGACTACTCATGTTTATGGTGACAGGCAGAGGTACTACCAAAGCACAGATCAGAGATCGGCGTTAGGCTTCGGCGACAATAGTATCCACGAGGCCGTACCCCATGGCTAGTACTCACTCCAGAGTTGACACTTGGACACGATTATGTCCTTCCGCGCAGCTAATGGTCAAGAATTCGATCAATACCCAGTCGGCCAGGTCAGATCAGCGCATAGGTTGCTAAAGTCAAAATAAGCCTGGAAGCCTTCTATCGAAGAAGACCAGCCACAAGTACTCGAGACTCCCGAGCCCAAGGCTGACAAGCTGCTGTCGCTATTCGACGCCATTTCGACCGTTCGCACACGATTTTGTTGCGAAGGTTTTCGACCCAATACTTCCCGTGCAATGGTTTGAATTTCCTGGAGGCTTCTCTCCGCCTGTGGCCATACATTTGCAAATGATTTCAGATGGCCGATGCTCATTCTTATTTGATGTCTCGTGAGGGCCAATTTATGCCCAACGAGATGGAATTTGCACGCCGCTAGAAGCGAGATCGTGCCAGTGGCAATCATACATACAGTAAAGGGTGTGTGAGTGACTTGCCGCATCGGTAGGGCTAAAAGTCGAACCTGTGCCTCAATAGCTTTGAGACAACGCGCAGTATGAATGTTCTCACATTCGACGGGCCGCCGACTGCATGGCTGTGGAGCTGTTGGCGCACAACTCGAGATTATCTCCAGAGGATCAAATGACAGCTCGGAGAACTGTCTATGGATCCCCACTGTGGCTCTATAGCAGGTCAGTTCTCAGGCTTGCATACCGACGAAAATCAAGTCCTCGAATGATTCTGCTGTGGACGACAGAGGGAACCCGGGACCCAATGACGACGGTCCCAGTCAACAATTCGGCTGGGACAAAAACTTACGCATGAATTGCCATATTTGCTTGAAACATAATTTCATCGAACTCGCCATTTTTGGAGAGGATTTGGCGTTTCGACTTCGGTAGAAGGAGCATCCAGCCATCGATGACGGCGTCGACCGTTTCAAGGACCGGTGGCGAAAAACCGTTCAGCATGTCTAAGTGGCAGGTAGATATGGCTGAAGATACGCCACGGACGGCTCCAATGAGGTAGGAGAATGACGAGTAGACATGACTTTCTGCTGAAAACTCGCGAGAGTCGAAGTCATCAAGCGTCTTTGGTTCAGGTATTGCCTGGGAGTTCAAATTGTCGTTGTGAGCTGAGTGTAATATTAAACATGTAAATGGAAAGGCAAGGTTAGGGAAATACGTACTCCAGACTCATATTCATATTCCTCGCAAGGGAGCTCGGTGGTAACATCAACATCATAAGTTGGAAAGGTCGTGGCATTCTTCATCGCCGCATAATAGGCATCCACGACGTATATCTGCCACCACGTTCTTCTCCAGCTTTCCTGTAATACTGAGTCTCCCTGTCCATATGTGACTGCGAACTCCTGACGATGCATCTTAAGGTCCATAGCTAGGGATATCGCACGATCCATCTCCTCCCGAGACTGAGCAGCTTCGCCGCACCAGTACTGGGCCACAGAGTTGATAAGGTGATATTGCACCATGAAAGGATCCTGCAGGTCCCGCCCTGTCTTCACGCCAATACTATTTGCGTTCCCCCTCAGTCGATCAGCCTGGTCTGACTGACAATATAGCGACCCGACATATCGCATGACCGCAATCAGGGGCCGTAAACTCGCTTGGTTGGTCGTATCCTGAAGCTTCTTCTCTAGACAACGTCTTGGCAGCACGCATGGGTGAAATCGATGAAAGTGCTTGTAATATAGATCAATGCATGGGTCTCTGCTAATGTCGAGAAGCTCTGCCAGCCCGAGGTTTTCAAGGCCTCCAGATTCAACAACACTCACGCCGTCAAGGAACGGCGTGGCGCTACTCATTTGAGACATATCGCTAGCGTCCATTGTGTAAGAAGAATGGCTCCTATCCCCCTCAAACTCCTTCACTCCAGCATACGAGAACGTCGAATGAGAGGCTCGGTCTAGGCTGGCTATGGCTGCAACATTCCGGCGGGCGGCCAAGGCAGAGCGGGTAAGACCACCTCTCCGAGATTCTGCATAGCGGCACTGTTTGCTATTTGCAAGGCAACGGCGGCAAGCAGGTCTGCTGGCATCACATCGAACGTGTCGAGTGCGACATGGTACACATGCAAGGGAAACTCGGTTGGCTCCACCTTGGGACGATGGATGGTCCCGTTCGTGATCCATTCTTAAACGAACTTCAATTCCACAGCCTAGATGAATTATGTTGGGCTTTCTGCAAGAGGATCAAACGCAAGGGTGACAGAAGACGAACAGGACGGCTTCCCGGGGAACCAATATCCTAAAAGATACGGGTACTCGGGGACTCGGGGACTCGGGTATCCCTCGTAAATGGAGAAAGGCCGGAACCAATTCCTCTGACTTGGCACGACCTGACTCACCGTTGTAATTGTTGTGTCAGTCTCGGTGTGCACGAGGCTGACGTCCTAGATGCACTGTCTGGAAAGGTTTGCCCCGTCTTGCACTAACTGTAGGCACACTCTGTATCAGATACCCATCACCAACTAGGGACACTTGGGGGGGGGCGCAAAAGTTACTCGTCACGTCTATCTGGAACGGGTTGCAAAATGGCTACCCGTCAACCGAGCAGGGATACAAGCCGCAAGAAATTGGCTCAACAACTCACACCGGAGAGGAAATGCCAGCGAGAATTTGCAAGAGCAGCTCTCATCCACTCTGTCATTCGCTATCGACGAGCATGGGTTCGTACCATGGAACATAATACTGAATTGTCGAGGCGCGTAGGTCACTTTTGCTGTGAGTGCCGTACAAAGCAATCCTTCCATGCGTAGATCCCTATAAAAGACTACGCTCTCCAGCAGACACGACCAAGAACCAACATCTTCGACAACCAAGTATCATATTCAACATCAGCAAATATCAGCAAATATCAGAAAATGCAACAAAGAATATTGGTCGTTGGCGCCGGCTTCGGGGGACTCTGGAGTGCGCTTGCAGCAAAGCGGCTCATCGACCTTCATGATGCTGGGATTGAAGTAACAGTCGTTGCACCTGAGCCTAGGCTGGTCATACGACCAAGGCTATACGAAACAGATCCGGCAAATATGACCGCCTCTCTGACCGAGGTTTTCAATGTGACTGGTGTGCAATTTATCAAAGGAACCGTCAATAATATCGACACCACAAAACAGGAGGTGGAGGTTTTGGATGCAGCTGGCACATCATCCAAGCTTTCCTACAGCAGACTGATTCTAGCTGCCGGCAGCCGGTTGGTACGTCCAAACATTCCTGGACTCCTCGAGCATTCATTCAATATCGACCAACTCGAGGGAGCGGCAGCGTTCGAGAAGCATTTACAGGGCCTAACTTCCCTCTCTCCTACTACAGCACGCGATACAGCTGTTGTTGTGGGAGGTGGCTTCACAGGGATCGAGATTGCTGCTGAATTGCCTTCGCGATTACGTTCAATTCTGGGTCAGGATGTTAATGTCCGCGTTGTCATTGTCGAGCGGGCAGATAATATTGGGCCAGAGTTGGGAGCAGGCCCACGCCCAGCTATTACACAAGCATTCAACGACCTAGGAGTCGAGATGAAACTTGGAGCGGCAATCGTGTCGATTGACTCGACTGGTGTTCTTACAGCTAGTGGAGAGCGTATCGAAGCTCGCACCGTCGTTTGGACCGGTGGAATGCATGCTACGGAACTTACTGAACAGATCGCCGGCGATAAGGACAAACTTGGGCGCCTACATGTTGACCGCGATCTGCGGGTGCCTTCCAACAAGGCGATATTTGCAACGGGTGACACAGCCTTCGCGAAGACCGATGAGGATGGCCACTACGCTTTAATGTCGTGCCAGCACGCACAGCGTCTAGGTCGCTCAGCTGGACATAATGCGGCAGCCGATCTGCTAAAAGTTGAGACTCTGCCTTACACCCAGCCTGACTATGGAACCTGTCTTGATCTGGGACCGTGGGGAGCCGTTGTCTGTGACGGATGGGATCGTAAAGTTCTCATCTCTGGTCCACAGGCCAAGCCAATCAAGCAGTGGGTCAACACGAGTCTGATCTACCCTCCGAAGGCCGAGAAGGCTTCAGCCTTCGCGGCTGCTGATCCTGCCATTCCATATCACACATTGGATGAAATGGCTGCAGCCTTCGCAGCTAGCAACCCTTCCGTTCCACTTCCAACCTTGGAAGAGGTTAAAATGCCAGCTTAGTCTCAAACAACTGGACCTATGTCCACGATAGGCTTTAAAGATTTTTAGATATGCTAGTGGAGCACAATAAGCGCTCCATTGACACAATGCATTCCTGATTCACAACTATAAAAGTAAACCACGCACTTCCTGAATAGTGTTCTGTTGAATCCAATATCTACTCGAAAGCATCTGCCAACACAATGACCTGCTTCATGACTCGGGTTTAACAACCAGGACGCTGATGAAGGGGCCACACAAAATGTTGGGATCGGATGCTTCGTGCATGTTGTTCGTAACTATACTTCTTCACAAGTAAAATTCAAATGGACTTCTCTTGAATGCGATCCGTGGTTTCTTCTACTCAAGAATATTCGCCTGCGTTCAGATCGCCTGTTTAGCAACGACCTGCCTCGGGAGTGTTTTCTTGCATCTGTGATATATTGCAATAGGATAGACCAGGAAATGTGTTCATGTGGGAAGACAAATCCCATCCCCATTTGCAAGAGCAGAGATATTGCTTTTTAAAGCCACAATCTCAAGCATAGGAGCCTATCTTCTATTTAGCCTGTTTTGCTTCTTCCACGTCAGCATCGATCACAACCAGGCTGGAAAGGCCGTCTTTGTCGACCTTTTCTTTCTCCACGATAAATAATGCATGGAACAGCGCCTCCTCGTCTCCAACAGTCTCTGAGCGCACATGATGACAACCTGGTGGCTCGTACCAGCTGTCGCCAGGGCCGTAGATCTTCGCACCCGAGCCCTGTGAGTCCGGGTCATGATTAGGGCAGACCATTTGATTCAACATCTGCCCTTTGACCATAGTTGCCATCACCGTTGCTCCACCGTGGGTATGAGGCGGCGTTGCAGAATTGGGCGGTGCCGTCACCATGAGACCCAGACAATAGTGATTTGGGATATTGGAAGGCGACTCTTGAAAAGTCGGCGCCAGACTGGGAACTGGCCTCCTGGTGCAAAATGAGTTTAAAGTACTTCAGCGTTGATGCTATCTATGGAATCATACCCGTCGACTGACCAGCGACCATCCTTTTTCACGATATTCTGGTCCTGCCAGCGAGCATTCAGATCGGGCGCCATGGCGTGTGTCAAGTGATCTTGCAGTGCTTTCCCTCAAAGCTTTATCGTGACACTCACCCTCTGGTTAAGATGGGGATGGCTAAAGGGTTGAGATTGTCGGGCGCTTGAAAAATGCAAATGTCCTCTTTGTTCTTTAGTGGCAGACATCTCTCCCGCGGATCATGTCCTGTTTATATCGTTCGATCTTTTGACGTTGCGCTCAGACTCTATTTCACCTGGCCCATCAGAAAACCACGATCGCTGGTCGCCACAATATGCCGTGCTTAGAAGTGTGGAGATCTTTTGACTACAAACAAATAGGCCTCCCTGGATGAGTGGAACTCTGGCTTTTAGTGAGTTACCTAACACCCTCTTTCAAACTTACGAGTACGTGCAGAAGCGGGTCGCCGGTGTGCCTAACTACCAACCGTAGTAAGGGGTTCGGGTATCGGGTCCGCTGGCGCTCAGTCGAATAGCCTATCTAGGTGATCGGTCTCTGGACACGGACTAGAGGTATCCCTCGGACTGTAGGCCACTCATTCGCATTCATTTCGACATCGTAAATACGTCAAGACCATATTCTGAATTTAAACATAAACTTTTGTCAGCCCGCTATACCTTGGTGGACGTGGCCGGGGACATGCTTAGCAGTGCGCCAATAGGGACTGGAGATAATTTTCGATCCAGCGGACGAGATCTCCCAGCAACCACTCAATCTCAGGTGAGGAATATCTAATTACCACAGTAGGAACATGCTTCTCCGCGGTGACATGTTCTTCGAGGTGCCTATTGGCTTACTTGATTCCTCCGCTCGAATCTATTAGGTCGCCGCCTCTGGCATCAATGTCCTCAATAAATTGACCTGAACCTTACGCCGGTTCTTTGGTACGTATCCTTCTAGACCGTCATCATTCAAGTCATGATACAGCTGCCAGCGCCGTGTCCTTAGGTCCTCAACGACAGTGAACTGCGCGGCTTCATCAAATGTTATCACCCGTTCATCCTCTGTCCAATCCCACGGGCCGATGTGGTGGGCGATGCTGGCTGTCTTATTTCCATATTTCACTTCCATAGTATCCTTGTCAACATACAGCCAGTTAAGCAGTGGTGGATCTGCCCTTGTCTGACTGACAAGGCCGAGGGGAGCTGGAACTCTCTACCCATTCATAACGTATTAGTATACATTGGCCTCCGGTTTGAATAGATGTACACCCTACAACTTCGGATCGCTTACTTCGTTATCCGGGTATTCAATATAGAATGCCTCTGCAATATAGCCTTGCGGACATGGGTTCACTGCTTCACGCGGTCCAATCCACACCCGGTCGTCCTTTAAGACAATCCTCTTCTCGTGAATGTCGGAAGCTCGCGGGCTAGTGGGGTCGCAGAAGACGTCGATATAAAACTTCTTCATTCGCACTGCATCTTTCTTGCGCTCTTCTTGAGTCTTTTGTGCGGAATACGCCTGCCCAACTCCAGTGATTGTAGGAATCGAGGTCAGGATCATAAGACCAATGACCATCCTGACGGTAGTCAGAACATTCAGGGGTTCGACGAGCTTGGTGCAGTCAGTAGACGTCGGGACACAACACTACGAGTAGGTACTTGGTAGTGCCGGCTCATGTTGATCGTGTCTGCGTGCATGGCTTCAAGGACGGATGGCAACCGCATCGGGACCTTAGAATCAACGTCACAAGCATTCAAGTCAGTCAGAACAAACATGCCAAGTATTTGATATGTGCCAAACATGCCAAGATATCGCCACAGCCAATCTGGGCTAGACCGGCAGAACTGTGTATCACGTGTCTTGACCATGGATGAACTTGGTTAGACAGATTTATATGCGAGTAATACTGCTATGTTCTCTTCTCCAACTGGAACCTTGCTTATCTTGACGGCACGAATATTCCAGTCTACTCCTTGGATCGTCTCGTGCCTAGCCGTGATCGACAGGCTGGACTGATCACGGAGCTTATGCATGATGGCTGGTGGGGTCAACACAAAACGATGTCTGTTCATATGGTCAACCCCAACATCCGCATACACTTGGGCTGAATCTGGTGAGTCTTGATCGCTTCCACGTGGATAGACATGGACATATCGGAACGAGCACCACCGGATCTCAGGCCAATGTGCTTCTATCAAGGTGAATTTTGGTGCTGTTTTGCGTGGAGGTCATCACGTATTATTGCTCGTCAACCCAACGGCAGTTCGACATCACCGTCGATCGCGCCTTATATCCGCTAACATCCCTGTGGGGTCCCCCGCCTCCTCCACATTGTTGGAGTTGTGCCAAGATGATTGATATGAGGATATCCCATCGACTTATGCCGCTCTATTCCCAGAATGGGCATTCGATTTGCACACGCCGCTCCGCTCGTGGCCAAGCGATTTGCTTGGCACCATTGATGAGCCATCGGCCGTGGTCTGGCTCTTCGGCATTTCAAATATGGGCACAAAAAAACGGCCGCCTTGGAGGCATGGTCGTGTTGATGCAGGCAAAGAATAGGCTACTACGCAGGTGTCCTGGATATAAGATGCCCGGCCTATCTTTGAAACATGAGCGACGAACAACCCATCTTTGCCCCCTCCGACAATGTCTTCCAACAGGCAGGATACTATTGCGGCCAATTGGCGTGTGTTTGTCGCCTGTGGCCTTGTCTCACTTTCCCCATTTCAGTATGGGGTGGATTTTGGATTGATTGGAGGCCTGCAGGCAATGCCAGGTTTCCTTCAGGTCTGGAGATCTGACAGCATTGTAGCTTCACCCTGACTAACCGTTATGTGCAGATCTATGGCTACAGGTCCCCAACGAGTGTGATCGGATGGAACATAACCCCATTAAGACAACAATTGATTTCGTCCCTCATGACCCTCGGTGCATTCATCTCCTCCGGCGCCGCTGGCTTTGCTGCTGTCAAGTTGGGAAGAAGACACTGTCTATGGCTGGCGTGCATCTTGTGTTGTGCTTCGAATATCATCATGATGGCCACTACATCTATTGGCGCTCTATATGTCGGCCGCCTTCTGATTGGGCTTGCGAACGGTTATTTCATGACATTCTCCCAGCTTTATATCCAGGAGAGTAGCCCAGCAAAATATCGCGGCCTATTCCTGTCGACTTTCCAATTTTGCACTTCATTTGTATGGTCAATACCGCAGCTCAGCTAACAATATACTGACCGATTCGTTCAGGGAACGCTGATTGGCACAATCATCGACTGGTCGACTGCAAAACGGCCCGACAAATCTTCCTACCTGATTCCACTTGGTATCATCTATGTGATACCAGTGGTTTTATCGATCGCCATGTGGTTCATTCCCGAGTCACCTAGATGGCTAATTCTCCAAGGCAGATATGAGGACGGAATCAAGTCTCTCCGGTGGCTAAGGCCCGAGGGTGCCGACGTTGAATCAGAGGCCAATGTCATCCGTGATGCCATCGAGAGAGAACGTGAGATGAAGACCAGTGTGGGAGTATTGGATATGTTCAGAGATCCCGTGAACCGGCGCCGAACCTTCCTCTCGGTCTGTGCCGTGACTCTCCAGGCTGCTTCCGGATCGATGTTCATCATTGCCTACAAGGCGTACTTCTTTACCATGGCTCACGTCGACAATCCTTTCGGAATGAGCTGTGTTCTGAGCACGTTGGGCTTGGTAGCGATTCTGGCAAACTCGGCGATAGTCGTGCGCTATGGTCGCCGTAGAGTGCTTCTTATGAGTGGTCTGTTAGTATGCGGAATCTTTCAACTTATTACGGCTGTTGTTTATGACAAGCACCCTGGTACCAAAACTACGGGAAAGGTACTCGTGGGCCTTGCATGTCTATACATGATGAGCTACAATGTGAGTACCTGCCTGATAGTCTATCTGTCGCCGAAGCAGGCCATACTAATGTATTTGATCCATAGGGAATGATTTCGACATATGCGTGGCTTTCAGGTGGAGAGCTTCCAACTCAACGCCTTCGAAGCTACACGTTCGGCCTGGCCGCAGCAGTCGGCTTCCTTGGAGCTTGGCTTACTACCTTCACGGCACCGTACTTTATCAACCCAGCATCCTTGGACTGGGGTCCAAGATATGGTTACATTTGGTTCCCATCATGTATCGTTTCTGCCGCTTGGGTGTATTTCTTCCTTCCGGAGGTCAAGGGACGAACATTGGAGGAGATTGACGAAATGGTTCGTGATCCTTACACTATCACTGAGCCAAACAACACTAACTGGAGTTCTAGTTCGGGGCTAAGTTGCCTGCCAGGAAATTCCGAAAATACCAATGCGTGGGAACTAATGCAGTCCTGGAGCACAAACTTGCAAGGCGTAGCACTGAAGAACAAGTATGGGGAGATGAAAAGGTAGGCGCCTTAACAATCAGTCCGTTGAGCTCAACCCTCAGAGAAGCAATTCGCTAACATGATTGATCCGTGTATAGGCTACTGCAGAGGCGACTATCAGCACGGCATAGCCTTAACTACGGACTATGATACGGAGGGGTGCCTCCAGGATGGAAATCGCGTTTAGGGGCTTGTCGCCACATCACGCCTCTGCACACACAGGTAGTGGACACTTGAGGATCTACTTCGTAGCTCCTCGGGACCAGTGTAACTACGTTGTGCCATATAAATTGCATCAATACTATTATAACTGAGGAAAATTGTGCAGCACTCTCAAGCTATGTGTAGCCGTAAGCTGTAGATGTACCAGTCCCCTACACCACAAGCGTGACAAGTCTAGGGGAAGAAATCCGCAATCTGACCCAATTCTCTAGCCAAGTTGATCCAATCGACAGATGATGTAGCATTGTATACCAGTAAGTTCTTCAAGTCAACCGATATCATATCGGTTCCTTTAAATTTCAAACGCTTCCCAGCAGGAACGGTTCTACTGCCCTCAAGTTAGATATCCAGTTTGACGGAAGACGCACTTTGAAATTGGACTCACGCATAATACCCAGTCGAAGTTGCCTCAAACTGCCATCTATATGAGATGGTATTGCAATCATGCAGCACAAATAGCAGGTACTGAACCGCATTCGTGAAGGGCGATAGGCCGCTTGCCGTCAACGATGCAAAAAACTCATCAATCCCTGTCGTTGCCGGCTGATTGCTGTAGCCTCCAGTGGCGGTCTCGTCGTAGCTGGTGAAATCTGTCGTAACAATACCGGTCAAGTCGGCGAGTGAGGTGACCGCGCCAGCATTGTAGTGGGAAACAAAATGGCTGGCGATATCTGCTGCTTGCGCATCAGTCAAGCATTTCACTCCGACGCGTTCGCCATTCGGATTCCACGGATACCAGGCTCTCGCATGCACTATGATCCCACAGAGGACGAATATCGATCGAACAGGAGTTCTAAACATTTATTGGGCCTATCTGGTTGTTGAGAGTCTGCTAAATTTCGTGCTGTCGATACGGGGGTATCAGAACATTGATTCGGTCTCACCGTGGACGAACATCGCTACAATGTCAGTGACCTCATTATGGAATATCCTGATGGCTGGGAACAAGAGTCCTTGTGATAGTTGTCTGTGTGTTAAGGTTTGCCACAGTCGATCATTGTTCCTCGCATCGCTCCGGCACTTTGCCTTTGGCAATAGTGTTTCAGCCGCACGGATCCCAGTGTCCCAGTAATAGAAACACATGTGTACGAATTCAATTTGGGGGAGAAAAGACCGCCATCTTGATGTCGCTGCTCAGTAGAAATGCAGCTTGACAAGGCAGAGAGACGGTGGATGAAAAGCAGTGTGCTGGTGTAATCGACAACAAACTTGTGCAATGCCAATGTTCAAAAATAGCCTTTCTCGATTACCTGATATTAACGCGGCTAATTGGTGGCTTGCTCACAGGTGTTTTCTAGGAAGTCTTCGTGAGCGACCTACTTTTCACTATGGTGCTGTTAATCCACCACGCAAAAACCGTAGCATGCGGTGAACATTGAAGCGTTCATGGGTAAGAACAGTCATGGTGGTCAACGCGGATGCGTGCATTGTCGGTAACGGAAAAACTATATTCCCATTCTCTTGGCATCAAACTTTAAACCTTTGAAGATTCTTTTATCCAGAGCAATCTCCTTTACAATTCAAAGAGTCAAGCCGAGCCTGTGGGAACGATGTGCTATTCAATGTGTAATCTGCTGTGAACGTTTTGTCTTTGCAATGGATGCACTGAAACTTCTCTCCCGATCAACCGGGCTGAAAGCAACAGCATCAAAATCCGTGTCCAGCCAAAATCCGTCAGCCGAGTCCAAGCCCCAGGACAACGGCATAAACGGCAACACCAGAAAACGAAAACGAGAGTCAGATGCCGTAGCTGACGTCGACCAAGCTCATGCGAAGCGACTACTCTCCGAGCAGGAAATTCGACAGATACAGAAAAAGCAAAGTATCAAGATTGTCGACTTGGGTGTCTTCCGGGCCGCCGCTGACCCGTTAGCGTCCAAAAAGTCACTGAAGGAGAGCTCGAGAATTTTTCCACAACCACTTACCAACTTTTCGCAACTACGTCGCCACCATAACATCAATGCTTCACTGGCTCGCAATGTGTCTGACCAAGGATATCATGAACCGAGTGAGGTTCAGGTCGCGACACTGCCCCTCCTCCTTGAGGGAACACGAGGCCCGGGGGAAACTGAACCAAACCTCTTGACCGTAGCCCCGACGGGCAGTGGAAAGACATTGGCGTTCTTGATACCACTGATTGAAAAGATTGCCAAATATCACCAGACCAAAGACGATAGCCTCGGGAAGCATGTCAGCGCCCTGATTCTGGTGCCCACCAAAGAGCTAGTGTCACAAATTGTAAACGAGGGTCGGAAACTCACAGTCAGCACCGGTGTCACAATTACGGCGATGAAAAAAGGAATGAGGCTATATGACGGACACAACGGGGCAAGCGATACTTCATCCGACTCGGACAACAACAGTGAAGACGAGCGTGGAAGCACAACCCCAGGAAAACGAGTGCCTATAGTCAAGTCTGATGTCCTGGTCACTACACCTTTAAGCCTTGTTCATGTACTTTGCCCATCCTGGGGAGAAGACGAATCGATACCTCCTCATCCGCTCCCCCAGCTCGAGACACTCATCTTTGACGAGGCAGATGTTCTTCTCGATCCGCTCTTCCGTGCTCAGACTCTTGCAATTTGGTCGGCATGCACATCATCTACACTTCGAATTAGTATGTGGTCTGCCACAATTGGCTCGAATATTGAGGAGCTTGCCGTGCAGACAATTCTGTCGCGCCAAAAGAAGCTTAAGATTAAGAAAAGCGAGCAACCCCCTCTGATAAGAACAATTATAGGTCTTAAGGATATCAGCCTGCCAACGATCTCTCACAAACTTACCTACACCGCAACAGAATCGGGGAAACTCTTAGGAATGCGACAGCTACTCCATCCATCACGCTCAACCCCCTCCTCGAAGTCCGACAAAAATAAAGGTGAACCACTGCGGCCGCCTTTTCTGGTCTTTACCCAAACAATCGCCCGGGCACAGTCCTTGTATACAGAACTACAATACGATATTCCTTCAGAAGCTGGTGGCTCCGCACGTATCGCCGTTCTCCATTCCTCGCTTCCGGCGCACACCCGTTCGTCAATCATGCAAATGTTTCGACTTGGGAAGATATGGATACTGATCACGACAGATCTCATTTCGCGAGGTATTGATTTCCGAGGAGTCAACGCGGTGATAAACTACGACATACCGACGACTGTAGCAGGATACGTGCATCGTGCCGGAAGAACTGGAAGAGCAGGAAGAGAGGGAGGCGTGTGTGTGAGTTTTTACACAAAGGAGGACATTCAATATGTCAAGGGCATCGCAAATGTTATTGCCGCAAGTCAGAAGACACAGTCAAAACTTAAAGATGTGGCGGCAGAGACCGACTTGGATAATTCATCGTCAGGACGACCTGTGGTGGAGAATGGCATCCAACCTTGGTTGTTGCATGCTCTTCCAGATGTGTCCAAGTCCGCACGGAAAGATCTCAAATTCCACGGAGTAGAGTCACGTCGAGCGATACATGCAGACGATGACGAGAAGACCAAGAGGATGAAACGCAAGGCAAGGATTGGAACGCAAAGTGGGTTTGAGAGACGAGAGGTCAATCGAAAGCGTGGTGCTATCGAGCAAAACCTGCGAACGCAACGGGAGGAGCAACCGACAGAAAATGATGAGCACTGGGAGGGATTCGGCTGAGTGGAACTTTCATCGTCAGAAGGACTCATCTCGCCATGGTAAATCTACATGCGTGTCATGCATAGTCCAGTCATCTGGACTAATATCAAGCGGACCGCCTCGGACCGATGTCCTGTCGGTAATTTCAGAGTTCCACAGCCAGTCGCCGTGAAGCTCAGATGTGGTACCAAGATAGTGTTACAGGCACGAGGTAAGGGACTCAAGTTCAGGACTCACATGCCAATTCCTGGCTCCTGACTCGCTGAGTTTGGGTCTAGAAACCCTTTGTCCGTTGAGTCAAGGGACATCATGAGATATGTGGGACAGAGATGCAGCACCAACACCCACCGTACAATGTTTTCAATAAGGCGAAATGGGGCCTTTTGAGCATGCTTAAGTGGGTGCACTTAGTATCTCATATTGATGAGATTTGAGGCCTGAAAGGGAGTCGCCCATCAGATGCTGCATGTGCCGGAAATTTTGGACCACCCTTCAATGGTTTGAGGCACCACCACCAATCATTTCGGGGTCAAGCCACAAAAGGGCCAGATTGATCGAAAAGCGACCCACCACTACCGATGCTTTGTGGCTTGACAACCTCGGAGTTTCACTCGGAGTAACAAAAAGTTCGCGCATGGATCCCCTGATCCCTGGAAGCAACTTACCATCCTCACCATCCCACCTCGGCTTTTGACCTTCGGGTCGGAAAATGCGATGGAGATGTCAGAAGGGGTCCTCAGGAAGCTTCTATTTCCGGCGTTCCGCTGAGCTTCCCCTTTCCCACCGTCCGGGGTTCACCCATCTCCACGCAAAAGAAGATGCCGTAGAAACCTCGAAACATCATCTTTACCCGCGTGCTGGTTCGATTATGCCTCACACTCTGCCACAGACGCGTTCCACGTGCGGTCTATTGTCTTCAGAGCACTACTGATAGCGGTCTACGGGGTAATTTGGGTCTGAGAACCCGTGAATTTGCATCGTATTGCAAGGTTATGGAGTTTCCTTCTCGTTACCATGATCTATGTGGGACAGCTGTGCATGATGGAATTGATCTGGAATCTGAATTCCGGTGCCAATGGCGCAAGACTCATGCCACCCCAGGAGGCTCCCACCATAACTCCCAAAAAAAAATAGAAACTTGCTCTTATTTTTGCACCAGATCCAGATCCGACACCAACCACCGGAGCGGGCATTAGTCAGGGTTTGTGGGAATATCTCCGCTTCTTCGGTAATATATTCCACCAAGAGGCACACAACATTGACGGCGACGACTCGGTACTCATTCACGGAGGATCAATCTCGGCAGTGGTAATAATAGATCGGAAACCGTGCCATAGAAAGTTCGGGATTTCGCAATATCCAAACAATAATACACCTTATCTCCTGATTTCAAGCGTCCTGTACATGTCGAAATCCAATGAATCATGCGTTGAGACCTGAGCTCTATGGAGACGATCCTGAAATTGCGACAAACATACCGAGTACCTCTCCTGGTGTTGATGTGGCGAACGTTGGGTGATCGTCGGGTCAGCAACGGTGCCGGTTATCGGTAAGGATTGAGGCTGTGGATGTGGGACGAACCGTGCGGCACTCGCCATGTTCCTTGACAATTCAGAAGTAAAAAACCCTCCCAAACAATAATTCTCCGAGACGACTTTCCATTCCATTCCTTTCCGCCTGGCGCAATAGCTGGTCATGCCACTTTCGGTATCCCGACAAGCGAGATTATGTAGAACCTCGTGGTGGCGCAACCACATCTCCAACATGTGATTTCCGCTACAAGACCTCTGCCCACCACTCGGTGTCCCACAAACCACCCACTTACCTGTGCCCAAGCCTTGCGGGCCCAACGGTATTGGAACCCTAGATGTGAAAAGTCCTGCCGCTCAGGAATCCGCCGTGTGCCCGGCATGTTTACACGGTCAGTTCCTGCTGAATTATTTGGCGTGAAGAGTGAAAGCCGGTGGCCAAATTTAGTTTGCCGGTGTCCAGAACCGCAATGATTGACGTTTCGGTAGTCGATCTCCGGCAGAGTTTGCCTGCTTGATCATACCACTTCTCTCCCCATTTGTGGGATTGTCCATATGCTCTGCACGGGGCAGCGTCGGTCCAAATGTCATGTTATTGAAATGTGGTTCTCTCAGCTGACAGACCCTGTTCAGCGAGGTGGACGCGCGAGTCGAGCAGTGCGATCACCACACTACTCTTGCTAAAGGTTGGTCCCTACTCAGGTGGGTGGTTCGAGCATTTAGAAATGTGTTTCTGACTTCGGAAGTGTTCCAGTACGGTCGACAGCGGTTGCGCAATCCCGTTAGCTGCCCGCCGAGAATCGCAGCGCGAGTTTGCATTGCCGGCCAACAGTTCCGGGATTCAGTGCACTTTCTCTGAACATCTTGCTATCGTGATGCCGCCGCGACATCATCGCGGAGGTGGTATTGATAGATTGCCCGGCTGAAGGCTCATCATTCCTCGGTGGGAGCCGAATACTTCAGGCGGAACCATCCCGACTACCGGGCCCTTCAGGCACAATGCCGGCTTCATTTTACTGGATCATGCCACCTATGACAGTCCCCTGACTGCCAAGCGGCATCTTGTCCCACCTCATCGGGGAGTTGCCCTGCGGATTATTCGTTTTCTTGGGAACAATGTTGGGTAGGGTGATAGCGCGCGCACATCACCCACGTCCTCGGAATGCCATCATGTCTTCGAGGTGGTCTCGGAAAGAGCTTTCGGTGAGGTGATGCCAGCCAAATCGCCCACACCGCCCACATCGGAAAGAGGGGCCTGTCGCTCCCCAAATCAAGAACTTGTAAGCCAAATGAAGACGAGGTTAGGAAATTTGTACCGACCATTTACGTGGGGCGATGTTTTAACGACGGACATGTACGAGTGCAGAGTACAACATGGCTCTTACTTTGCCCCTGATTCAGTGTGAATCAAGCAGGGCTCACAAGGGGTTCTGGACCTTCCTGGGAAGAGTCCCTGGAGTCTGGCCCAAAAATATGACAGGGAATCCAAGACGAACACATACTGCAAGCATGAGAAGGCGATGAACCATGATGCCTGATAGGAGCTTTACGCAAGAACAAGTGAGGTATCCGTGCCGACGACGCCTAAATCGGCGAATTGATTGAGTATGAGGCTTGCCATTCTCCCCCACGCAGTCAGGGTCGACGTGCCCCGAAATTGTAGCATCCTGCTACTGAGGGACTACTCGCAGGTTCGAGTTCGAGTTCGAGTTCCAGAATCTCTGGACGAGGTAAGATGTACAGGCAGCTACTTGCACAAACGCCATGCATGAGATAGAGGAGCATTGCGTCAATTATTACATGGCCTGCCCCAGAAGAGGGCTGAGCTGTGAGAGCTTCCTTCAACTAAGGTCTAGCTCATTCGGCAGCTCGGGAGCTTGGGAATATCCCACCTTCGCCTCGTATTGCGCGCCACTAATCCTGGACTGAGTCCGGAGATAATCTGGGGAGTAAGAATATTTTCGAAACGAGGACGGTTCCGACAACACGAAGGCACGGCGTGCGCTCTCGTTCACCGTGCCTAGCCGCAGACCGGCAATAGAAATCCGCGTTCGACGTCGTGTCGCCCTGTGCTGCTACGGCAATTCAAAGTTCACAGGGGCGCAAGGTTCATGGAAAAGATTTTTCTTTTCGCCCAGCGCGGAGCATCCCGAGACACGAAGAAGCTCGTATTTTACGAGTCAGGAGACCCCAGAGCTGAAGTTATGCGCTGAGTCGTGCTTGGGAGACTATTGATTTTCCCACCATTTTGACTTTTGAGCGGACAGTTGGACTCCTTCGTACAGAATACATCCGGGTCGTTTTTTCATAGGAGGATACTTTCCCATTGATGCCTCCCAGCCTCTCCACCTGGACGGACAGCTGTAAGATGTGGTTCCAAATGATACTTATTTGGCGCACGAGACAAGTCAATTCACAGACAGGATCGTTCGACTGGCGGTCCATGCGCGGCGGCGAGATATTGAATCCTCAAACCGCAAGAAAGATTAGCCGGGAGATATCAACAGCTCACTTCCCATGTACCGCCTTTTGGATATGTTCGAGCACGTAATTACATGCCTCCTAGGGAACAAATATGGAGTTCGGATAGCAACCCGCAAGAGCACTGACGCTGCCAAAGCTTCGCTGCCACCAATGTATTCTGCATTTCCATTATTATCCACTCAACACGTGTCAGGCTGCACCCCGTGCGCAACGCGACATCATACAACATGGGGGGCACGGCTGTAGAATTGGTCGCGTCTGGGTCTTTGGCATTATCGGATAATGTGGACGTATTGAAGGTGGGGGATGGATGTTGTTCATCCCACGGCCACAACCCACCTGGGTTGGGTGCCACGACGGACCAGGGCTGAGCTGCACCCAGGACTCCGCACTCCGCGGAACTACTGTCAACACGTGCTCCACAACGCATCAAGCCGGCCTTGAAGCCATTGCGCTCTTAGGCACGGCTGAATCTGGAGGCTTTGGTATCAGGCTAAAGACCAGGGAGCCTAATCAGCTATGTACCAGGGGCAGCATGTCGCTGTTGCAAGAATTCCGTATCAGATCGGTGCTCCTGTGAGGGGTGACCATTGTATGCGCAAGAGAGTTTACTCGGTTCAGAAGCGATTGCGAGTACAATAACCAAGCCCACCTGTACTCTGTCGAGAACCAGTGTGAAACCATTGATACGGTGAGGCCTTAACCCATCGGCACCTCGTATATACGTACAGCCTCCCCTTCAAACTTGCCTGGGAAGGCCCGGCGGATTTTTCGTCATGATGCACGAAGCCTTTCTACCGGTCTCGGGCTCGACACAGCTCTCCCCGATCCATGTTTTTGGTAACTTGGGATCTTGATTCCAATATTTCGGTTGCTACTCCGGCAGAAGACAACGACAGACGACTGTGCACTGTGATGTTCCGACACTAGATGCCTAGCATTCCCGCTCCACCAGGGCATGGATTGGCGGGAAAAGTCAAGTATCTTTACATGTTTCAGCTCTGGGAGGGTTCCATAGCTCTACCAATGAGCCCTCGAGGATGGAGTTCCAACGACGAATAATAATAGCACCTCCACGCGCGATCGGGAGGCGATACTTCTGCAATCCTTGGTCTAAGTGCGCAAGAACAACAATGCAGCGCGGTCGCGAGGCGACCCTCGCTCACTTACCGCTCACTTACCATTCGGATGCGCACGTGTGCAGCCATAAAGTTTATTGTCTGGAATTGGACCGAATGGAGGGACTGCTGTTCCAGGCAAGAACGCTCGGGCGGCGATTTTGTGGAAGGATGTAGTTCAAAGTTTGCATCTCATCATTACATTCCATCTGTAGCTACTCGTCTCCTCCCTCACTAGTCGTATATACATCCGTCTCGTTACTTTGTATTCCCTGTTAATCGAACCCGTGGGTTATTTTGGCTGTTTGCAGATATCCCTTGGTATTTTTGAGTTCCCATTTTCTGTCGACCTTGTGGCCGGTCCATTTCGCAAAAAGCAACTTCTAGTACAGTTCCAGACCCACTTACCATCTCCGGGCTATTCTTTCTTGACCCTTTAGATCGTTTGTACACCAAGAATTCCATAAACATCCTAGACTCTGAACACGAGGATGGGTCATATCGGATACCGTGAGCCAAGGCGGATGAGACCGGTGCAGGTGGAAGAAGAGCCAGATAGGCAAAGGCATAGGGGGTAAGCCACCTTAGCCATTGCACGATCCAGACTGTCCCAATTGGTTGAATGTATCTCGAACTTCGTACACGGCGCTCGGTACGCCGTACCCAGCTTGCAATTTCATGGGGTTGTGAGTGAGAACGCCTCGCCTAGGGCAAGACCCTGTGGCTGTCAAGAACATGATCATCGTCAAGAATCCCCAACAAGACTGGACGGCAATATCCGAGAATATATCTTGTGGCTTGGGAGGTGGCTGTTGATCTCTTCCATTGTCAGGTGATCTGCCTGGCAAACTCGGCGGGGGAATCCGTTCATCCGTGCGTAGCGTTGAATGTCATGCGTCGGACTTGGACGCTCGGACGCAACAAAGCTCGTGTCTTGGGCAATGAACTAGCAGATCGATGGCATCGAATAGTACATGGAGCAGACGCCTCGGAGACCCCGAATTAGAACATTGGAATGCTTTGCAAAATAGTGGGTATTGTGTTTGCAGATTGTGCATCGAGTGTGGTACGTGTGGTTTGCATGGAACATCACCGTGTAGACACCCTCTTCCTCATACGCGGGGTCTTTCTCACGGCGGCGGTCGATCCATGGCGTTCCTTCTCAATCCTGCCATTCGTAGATCCAAGTAGAGCAGAGTAACTGCACACACTTTCACTGCGTTCCTTAGGGCTGTATGCTCTTACGCTATTGGTCTCAAGTGGTAGAGAACTTGGGTGACATTCCTCAATCAGCATTGCCAGATCAGGTGCTCGAGTAGCGATGCACTGCAGTCGAATTAAAGCTTGCCGTTGCCGCCGGCGCATGGTGTATGAAGACAGAGCTTGTGCTTCCAAAGATAGTGAGGGCCGAGGAGAAGATGTCGCAACCATACTATCTGACATGCTCAGATCCCACAGAGTGGGGTCGACATCATTCGACTCGTAGGGGAAGTCGGAGATGTTGGTGTCGGGTGTTTCTGGACCGTCGTAAAATCCCTCGTCACCATCAGTATCTGAGGAGGATGAGGATGAAACGATATCACTTGGTGGTGGTGATGGGGAACCTATGTCCATGTCGTTTAGCGCTTGAGATTGTAGTTGAGCAGTAAGAGCTGTGATGGAAGGATGCCGCGGAGCTCCAACGTATCTGTAGGAGTCGAATCGAGAATCGCGACGTGGTGCTACTGTGCGTGGTGAGGAGCAGCGTGATGCGAATGGAGAGATTTCCGCAGATGTACAGTCGTCCACGCCGTATGCCATAGCAGGTGAATGCGAGGATGACCCAAAGGAGAAGTTCTGATTAAACATGCTGATGGTGGGTTCGGCGCGGGCGATCCAAGAAGACAAGTATGAATGCTCAGTCTATACCCTGGAGACAGGAACTGTAGAGGGATGAGAGCTGAGACAATGTGTCGTGAGGAGTCGCCGGCGGTCGTAAGGGTTGAAATGGTGTCAGTGACGGTAGATGAGATGATAACAAATTTGGCCGTTCGGAGTAATTAATATCTCACCCGTGTGCACCGAGTACTAATCCTCAGTACAACAAGGGCAGAATCGGCGAAGAAAAAGGAAGTGTGGGGAAAGCGCTGGAGGTTAAATGAAGACTGCATGTGCATCGCAAGGAATGGCCTGCTAGTACACCAGCTCGCCATAAATGTCTTCTAGAACCACCTTGATAAGCGTGGAGTAGCATCTCGAGTAGCCGCCGAAAAAGCAGTTCTGGCCAAAAGGCAAAATTCCTTCTACCAAATCGGATACTGTCTGGGATGAATGTGGAGAGACTCAGCCAAGGAAGGGAGTGGATCGATGTCGCCAAAGGGACAAAAGGGAACGAAAAGGAATCCATGGATGGCTTGGGGCACCATGAGCGCCATGGATGCCAGGGCCTGGCACCCCTCCTCGTTTCTCATGGTGCCATCGTGGTGGCATCGGGTGGGCCTCGAGGCAAGCTAGACAAGCGGCGAGCGAGAGAACGACCGAAGCTTCGATGCATACGAGAACAGTAGATAGCGGATAATCGAGGCAATCGAGGCATGGCCCAGGGCACGATCGGGTGAGCCATCGCCTACAGAGGGGGATAGACTAGGACAGTTTCAGGCTTTGCTAGGCGTTCGGGCGATGGATGTCCAGGCCTGGAAGGGCCATCCATCCCGGCCAAGCGGTGTCATCCCCGGTGGGACTCTTCGGGCCCAGGAGACTAAAACGTGCCTCATAGTCGCTTTCAGACAGGGCGAATTCCGCCAGGAGGCGCCGGGATGCCCCAATACGGTTCGGATAGGCGCCCCCATTTTGCTGCCACTCGTCGGATCGTGGCGACCACCACGTCTCACTAGTCGAGCGGTTTCTCCAGTGTGACGTTGCAGCTTTGCTGGGAGTTCTCGGCCCTTCACTGATCGGCACAACAATCCCATCTTTGATTGCTTCTTTGCGTCACATTCACCAACACCTTTGCACGAGTAGATCAACTGGCTGATTTCAGCAGCTAAGCTGTCGATCAGGATGTCTCGAAGAATGTTCCATTGCAGAAACCAACAAGAGCGATTGGTGTCAATGACATAGGTCAAAGCCATGATGCTACCAGGGATGTCATTCATGATTTGCCACACGACTCTGATGGCGCACTGGGCGATAGAACTCGCCGGGAAATGATGCAGCAATATAGTATTTTGTGAAAGCAGCCGTTATTTCTCATGTTCTGTATTGTCTTGACCTAGCTACCATAACGCAGGAATGTGATGGTCCACCAGGAAGCATATCCATGTGGTGGAGTTTTGGCCGTACAGTGGGCTACAATACAATCGCTTGGGTTGACCACGATCCCCCCATTTGACGTCAAGATCGAAAGGCGATGCCTGGGCCAATCGAGCGCTGAGTTCGGCAATTCCCTCTGGTCCAGTGTGGGAGAGATGTCCATGAATGTAGTCCTTGGTCGCGAATAACATGGGTGATACGTTACAAATCTCATAATACGTATCGTCGAGCGGAGACTTGCCTAAAAGGAAGAAGTCCGAGTACAACTCTTGCAAGCCACTCATAAACTCGTCCAATACATCGTCCACATTACTGCTAGCGGCCGAGGCATGCGAAGCATTTGAAGATCCGGGGTTCTTGGATGCGTTCAAGCGTGGATGCGGAGGGCTACTTGAATTGGGAGTCCTGCTGCTTCTTTCTTCATTGGCTAGGTTTAACCAGATGTCGTCTTGGTGGTGCGAATTGGGGTTCACGTTATGTCGATCCTGAGGCAGGACGCAGCCACCCAGAAGGTCTTCTGATGATAGTTTATAGGCTGTTTCACTCCATTCAGCTCGTATTGGATCCTGGACTGGAGAGCGCAGATCGCTTTCGATGGTTGATGTATTCGAGGCCTTTTCCAGCTCTGGTAATGAAGCGGCATCGTTTATGAAGCGCGTCACATCAATCAAACTGGCGAGCATGAATCGGCTCCTACCGCTGCTTGGGATGATCAACGGGGTGAAAAGCACGAGGTGAGTGATAGGATCGCCTGCTGCATCTTTTCCGGTAACGATGTCCATGGACGCGCCCTCACATTCGAGGCTGTTCAAGAAGAATTGCTCTCCAATACTAAATATGTACCTCAATTCTTGGGAGGTTGCAATCACAGGATATCCTGGAGCATTGGTATCGAGAATGCAGAAAGACTTGAAATGCTCCACGAGGGGGTCATCTCCGTCCGGGTCAGCTGGGTCTTTCTCATGGCTTTCGGCCGAGGCTATTTCGCTGTGATTCACGGTAGAGTTGGATGGCGATTGCAACCATGAAACATGTTTCTGTTCAGTCCGAAGTGGGCGAGCACGACTCTCCCAGAAATGATCTGCTGTTGAGGATCTCCCGTGAAGATGAGAATCGAATGTGATAGAGGAGTTTCTGCGTAAGAGATCTCGCCGTGAGTCTTGTACTCGCAGGGTCGAGACGCTTGAGTATGTGGTGAGGCTGGCGAAGCTGGAGACACTGGCTTCGTGACTAACGACAGAGGTGAGCGTCGGTGACATGACCTGAGTGACTTGGCGATGAGGTACAGTCGAATGTTGAAAGTACTGATGGTTGAGATTAAATTGGCTGAGGCTCCTCGCGGGAAGCAGAGACTGGCGGCCTGAAGGAGTAGTGGTTGATTGTCGAGGTGGTGTCTGAAATCTGTTGGGAATTGAGGCCGATACCGTGTACTCGGCAAGGCTTGACTGGCTGGTACTGAAGTCCGAGAAGAGTGAATATGAGGACGGTTGATGGCTGATGGCAGTGGTGGTGTTGATGGCGGATGGTTCAGCCCGGCGCAAGATTCCCGATCCCACGGTTTGCGGCGATTGATGTTCGGATTTCTTCGATTTGCCAAAGGAGAAGACATCCTTAAGACTCTGTTTGAGCGACTTGCGCTGATATGAGATTGGATGAGGTTGAAGGGGTTTCTTGGCAGTCATTTTCGCACAAGTTGGAGGTGGTGGTAAGGCGGTGAGGACGATGGCGGTGATGAGTAGTATGAACAGAGGATAAACCCTCAAGTCACCCTGTCCATGGGATAAGATGCCAATTGACGGTATGCGGCAAGGCTTCGCTCCGTTTCAACTGAATAACAAGACTCAAATGCAAGCATCCGCCCGGCGCAACGCGACAAGAGCAAAACAGGTTTCACAAGAACGCCGCCTACCAAACACCTTGACCAACCTTTACGATATCCCTTTGACGTCCTCAGGCTTGAGGAGTGACTACATTGTGATCAAGTGTAAGTGAGGCATGCGCACATGCAAGATAGATGCAAGATTTGAGTGATGATCGTGCAGTTTTCTGTACAGGCGTTGATCGACATAAGTGAGAAAAGTCTGAAGGGCCGCCGATGCAGGGGCTCGGGGCGAAGGACAAAGCCGACCGGGGAAGCACGGCTCCTACGCCAGTTTGGGATGTCTTGGGGCGACTGGACTGTTTCATATCGCTCATAGATCCAGAATATCGGGTCTGAGCATGGGCTGATGGGGATGGGGTGAATAGGGATTGGTACCATTGTTCCAATATAGAGATCTATGGTTCTTGTTTGGGAGGTCAAGCCCGTCGTTGGGTAGGACGACGGCTCTTGTGCACGCACTAGTCACTTCGCCAGGAGATCAACGTCTTATTCTATCGACTCAGAGAGAGGGACATTATTAACGCTGCGTTCATACTCGGTATAGGGGACTACTAGTCATATGCGCCGTACTCTGCAGTATGAGAGTTCTAAGGGATATCATATAGTCTATATAGCTGCGGCACGTGCCGTTGCGTTGTTGGAAGGTGCATCCAATATAGGATTTCTGGGTGGAAGGCGCGAAACAGAACGGAACAGGCCTTCAGGGAGGCAGACAGTAAGGGAGTCCCTGCACCAAGCAGCACCTAGCAGCGCCTAGCAGCACCTAGCAGGCACCCAAGGGCACCCAAGGGCACCTAAATGTTGAAATGGCAGAGATCCCAAGTCACGCGCAGTCGATGGCCGAGAAACGTTATCACGTGGCATCATATCACGTGGATCTGGCTTCCTGATCACGTGCCGCTTATCACGTGCCAACTGCGTCCCTTTCAGCCGCCGGAAACACGCTCTCCTAAGCAGCGCCAATCAGAAGCTCCATGGCCTGGGCGAAACTCACCCCCAATTCATTCCGAGATTTCATCTCAGAGCTTCATCAACATTTGTGATTGTGAACCGGTCTCGGTCCAGATTTCTCCCTCATTTGGCCACCACAATCTCTCACCACCTTTTGCCGTCGACCTCAATTCTTCCTTCGTCTCACCACCCTTCCATTTCGCCTTCTGCGCTCCTCGAGGAGCCCACCGCAGCCATGTCTGCAGCTCCCACTACTCGCGCCCTGGTCCGTCAATCAAAACTTCTCCTGCGCCGAAACAATTTTAGACAAGCTTCCACCGCTTCTGAAGCCGCCGGCAAGGCCCAACAAACCGGTCAAGAAGCTATCTCCAAAGCTTCCGAAGGCCTGAGTCGTGTCCAGAGCTCCGCATCCTCCGCCATCACCAAAGTCGGCTCAGCAACAGCAGGTGCCCTGGGAAAAATTGGCGGAAGAACGGGTAGATTGATTTCGGCAGTTCAATGTACGGTTCCTGAGGAGCCACGTCTTTACCTCACACTGACAAAACTCTTCCTCCAGCATTAATACCACCAACCATTTATTACACTCGTGTTGGTGTTGAGCTTTCCAAGATTCTCTATCGAGGTCAACAATGGGCTCCTCCGTAGGCCGCTCCAGATTCCACATTGTCCGTATCATTCTCTGTTTCGGCTAACGACTATGCAGGTCCCTGGCTCAGTTTCAATCATATTTCCAACCAGTCACTAATGCGTTCCGCAATCCTCGATCTCTCGGCTCGAGCGCCGCCTCCGTCTCTAACGCGATAAACCTGGAAACAATTCTCCGCAGTGTCAGAAATGTCAACCGTCAACAATTAACCACTGTAGGACTTGTTTCGGCCGAAGTGCTAGGTTTCTTTACTGTGGGCGAGATCATCGGTCGGTTTAAGGTTGTTGGCTATCACGGTGCGCCTTCCCACGAGCATTAAAGGAAAAGAGGAGGCATTCTGGACGTCTATGGTTGCAACATATGCTTTGTGGAGGAATCCGGAGGGTCGCCTTGTAATCTTAGGAGTTCATTGCACGAAAAGAAATGGTCAATACATATCCTCAGGTTTGCCATGCTTATGGATTTTGTCTCTGATCTGGATTTGGTGTCTACTAACCATGTTTCTCATCGTCACGGCCGGTCTCAGCGCGGATTCCTCGGTTTCCAGGGGTCTGTGGAATCAATCACGTGTATTAGCTCCGGCACTACGATCGTTGACATGAGCTGGCACAGAAACCTCCTTAGGTACAACAGTGGAGGCATTCTTTGTGGGCCGCCGTGGTAACCATTTTTTGCGTCGTTGACATCTCAGATCGAGACGTTGCGAAGGACGGGATAAGCGGCGTCCACCAACTAAGCAATCCCGGCCAATTCTTTGATTTCCAGGGGTGCGCAGATCTATCAGGGCATCCTACACAGCCGACTAAACCGACTGATGACTCAGGCCCCGAAGATACCCTGATTCATCCTGAGCCGCCTCTCGACCATCTTCGGGGAGGTGGAAGAACGTAAATCCTGTCGTATAATCTAGTGACACTGTGTCAGTGCGCTGTATTGCGTTGCTTTAGGCTTCATATCTCAGCGATAAAAGCCACTGCTGGCCTGACAGTGTCCAGGACAGGGCCAACCATTGAGGTCGCATGCCTGCACATTGACGCGAGACACATGTCGGCTCTCGCCCCAGGCGCAGTACTTCCCGCGTCCAAGACAGTATAGCCAAACGCTTCCTCGCCAGATCATGCATTCAATACGCATAATGCACGGACAATTCTGTCCCATTTGAACCACCCCCTTGTCTGTTCCCTTGAGCGATATGTCATGCAGCGTGCTTTGACGACCATGTATCACCAGCTTCTCTCAGCGTTGCTATCGGAGAAGGCGTGTCCGCAATATCAGACGCTCTGACACTATGTACGAGCGTGATCATTAGTTCGGCCCTCATCGTGATTCCCGCTTACGTGCTTAGTAGTAGTACGAGTAGTATTATTATTTAGGTAGGCTGTCGCGTACACTGTCCAATTCGGGCCATTGGGCCGTCCGAGGGTGTGTTTGTGGATGATGCCTTTTATCCTCCCTATCCTTTCTCCTAGAGCCACAACCCTGCAGCATAATGACAGAATACTGAATTAGTCACTCGCAGGTCTACGTAACTAGGCGAGTATGCCTTGCATTTCGTCTAATTGGGGGCTTGAAGGAAGTATTATACGCCGTGACATTGACGAGGCCACTATCTCCGCCAATGGCGACCGTCGCAAGGAAGTTTCGAGACTTCCACTTATGTATGACATGGATAGCCTTCTCTTCGGTTGCATACTTGGTAAGTAGACGAAACCCCCATACCTACTCGTAATTCATTGGTCCTCGCGCCTCGTCGATACTTGGCCCACAGCATGTCAGAGGACTTGCTACCTAACACCTTGCTCAACAACCGGTGGATCCTGATGACCTTTTCCCTTCTGCTTTCCCCCAGTCGTCGACCCTGCAAACACTCTCTTCTCGAATCCGGCTTCTACATTGTGCTCCCCGACACGCTTCTTCCCCATGTAGGAGGCCTTCTGTTCGATAATGACCGTCTTTTTCTTGGCCCCGGCCTCCACTTCGGCAGTCGACTCACTCATGCTGGGATTGGCCGGCGAAGCATCCAGCGGATTACTCCAGTGGTCCCGACGGCCAGCATTGGAGAGGAGTTCCGAAGGATCGTTCCCGTGCTCGTTTTTGCCGAAGGAGATGTTGGACTGCGCAGCCACCACATCGTCGGTGCCGGATTTAGATGTTTCGTCTGACTGACGGTCAATGCTGTGGCGGTTTTCCATGGCTTGCCGCTTCTGTTGAGATGATGCATCCTGGCCGCTTGATGGAGGGATCTTGGAACCATCTAGGTCTATTCTAGTGTTGCTGATTGCTCTGGCTTGTGATTGCGGTATATTGCTATACTTGGTAGGCAGACGTATCGAGCGAACCACGCTCTGAATCCGCACGGGAGTGCTTCTTAACGACATTGTTTCGATTGAGGTGATGGTACTCAACCTTAGGCCAATGGATTGAGATCAGATAGTTTGCAATCCTTGGACTAACCTGGACATTACAGCAAATGGGGGGCGCTTAGGGTAGGATTCCGTATGATCATATCAGTTATCGTTTGTTCACGAATCGACTGCCAGATGTATTTGTATCTTGACGAAACAGATTACATGCAAGAATCACACCCCTCCCAGAAGTTTCAGGATTCTCAAATACCTGGAGAACTCGTATGATGCGGTGACATTACGACAGTTAGACGTCATAGCTCCTGGAGAGCTTCCTGGGCTTTGCAAGCAGGATGTCCGTTCCGCGAACCGTGTTGTGTGGAGTTGCAGGCGGGGGAGAAGCGGCCATGTAAAGGGAATATGATCCTTTGATTGGGTACATAAGTAGCGTCGGTGTATCGACGTATCTTGGAATTATTCGACACTTCTAGATACAGTACTGCCCTTTGGGCGTTGTCTAGAACCTCAACTTAGGTGACGTCATGCTTCTCTTGTTTAGAGATCCAAGAATGCATGATATTTTACTGCACGTAATATCACAGAGAGTAAAGGGGGGGGGGGGGGCAACTTTGCTGATTCCCAAATCATGCATGGCCTCTCGCCAGTATGGCATCATGTGAAGAATTCTAAATGTGCGAACTCCACCAGCTGATGGCCCATCAATCATGAAGGCCAAGCGGCTGACCGGTGCTCCCAAGCTTCTGGACGATGTTGCTCAACGGGTTACCATCCAATACAGGCCTTTATGATGCGAAAGGACATTCAAGGTCTTGTTCCTATATACCTCGGTGACTAAAGAGTCGGGACACTGATCTATTTTTTGCAAGGTGCTATGCTTGGTAATGACTACGAGTACATGACACCCACAGGCGACCCCTGGTGCATGATATCGAGCTCACCCGGTACCCCGTATAGGGCTTCCTACCCACCTAACTAGGTAGCTAAGCTCTCCATAATTACGAGTACGCAAGCATAATCTCCATCTGGCTCGCTTGACTGCTGAGACGACTTCTTCGGCCTCCTAAACCCTCAAGTAACAGTGAGATCTGCCAAGGCGGCCATCGATGGCCCGTCCATTTTTGAATCTCCATCCAAGCAAGTCATCCTGCCTTTAGGAATCAGGAATCTGGCATCGCCAGAACAATGACTAGATTGCACAGTTGGATTGTCTAATCTACTCTACATGATTCCATGTGGGCAAGCTTGTGGTCTATTGCCTATGACTTTTAGGCTCGAGCATCTGCTGTATCGGAGCACTCACTTCCTCCTATATTTTCAGATTTTGAAGTTCTATATACCCATTCAACCTTGGAAGGAATACGGACTGGCCGTGGTGAGCGACATATACTTGCATGCAGGTGCGAGTTGCACTCAGACACAGGGAAAAGCTGCCATGCGGCTCATATCTTGCCTCGGAACTTTTCCCATTCAGCCGTGATGGACATGGTTGAAAGTTACGACATGCTAGCATTCATCCCATATACTGGCGAAGGTAAAGAGCTCCAAAGGCGACGGGAACTACAACTGTCCAAGGCTAGAAGCCATGCTGCCCAGCGTTCATATGCCTGGAGAAAACCAAGACAAACTCAAAGGCAAGTGCCACATGCAGATAATGGGTCTTCATTTGTGCGAAGTGACTCAGACAACAAGCCACACCAGCACAGACTCACCGCTGGAAGACGAACCCTCAATCGAAGAGTCGACTGGCATTTTGGATCTCTGGGAGGCACCTGCAGGTCCGTTGGCGACCTTGATGTGACAGCTCTTCAATTCTACCTTCGGCAGCCTCTTTCGCAAACATTGAGCGCAGAAGTCGTCGACAGGTTCCACCGGCCATCTGCAAAGCTCGGTCAGTGGTCATCCTTCCTCCAGGAAACCGTTCAACGTGTCACCAAAAACTCCGCTGCCCTAGACAGCCTTGTCGCCTCAACTGTCATCCTGATGGCAGATAACTACATGGGCAACGCCTCATTGATCTCAGCTGGACGGGAGATTACACGACATGCTGTGAGTGAGTTACGAATTTCAATCCAAGCGAATGCTTCTGTGGACCCCTTCAGTGTTCAGCTCAGCTCCCTGCATCTATGCCTGGGAGCACTTCGAGCTGGCGACATCAATGCAACTCGTACGCACCTCACGTTCCTCGAAGCAACTGTCACCGAGCTTGATATTCATGATCCTTACCATGTCGATTACCTCAGCATTGTCCGATTCTGTGACGTGTGGCTCGCTCTCGAAAGCGGACAGGCCCCATCCATCTTTTTGCACCCACATTTCCGGCCGGAGTATGAAGCACGACTCAGGCGATCTGAACAACCCAGCTCATACGCCCCCACCAGGTCGACGAGTGCACCAAATTCGAGGGACTCAGAACACATGAGCGTTCCCCCACATCAGATACCCAACTCTGATGCCGTCAACACTACCAAGTCAAACTCTCCAACCCCTGTCCGAAGGTCACATTCTGGTCTCTTCCGTGCTGCCGAGTCAGGGCTTTTGAGCATCGTCACGCCTGGCATAATCACGAACTACGCATACGCCCTAGACTACATCTCCGAGTCTGCACAAAAGGAAACGACTACCCTTGACGACTTCCAACCTATGGTAGCCAACTGTATTGAGAGCCTATGCCAACTGGGTTTTGCGCTCCAACAAATCGAGCACGATTTGCATACACCTACGAACCAATTAGACAGCAACCAGGGATCGCCTTTGCAGGTCAGCGCTGTACGCAGCACCGATTTTGACGAGCCTGTCGCCCTGGCACTCCAGATCCAGATCGTGATCCGCATGGGGAGATTTGTCCAGAGGAACCGAGAGAAGCTTTCGCGTCGCCTTACCAAGGCTTTGTGGCTGAAGCCGCGTCTGATGGAATGGACACGGGCAGAAAAGCGGGGAAATGGGGCCACGGACGTCCTCTCAAACCAGCTATATCTGTGGGTACTTCTGACTGGCATGCTATGTGCCAAGAATGATTCGAAGGAGCTCGAATGGTACAGAAGCAGAGCTTTGCGAGCACTGGCAGCGATGGATATCACGACTGAAGCACAATTGGATAGCACGTTAGAGCCGTTCCTTGCAGTGCCCGCCCCCTTTGATTACGGGTTCCGCAAGCTTGCGCAGGATCTCGTTGGAGCTTCAGCAATGCTGGGAAGCTAATCGGATCATCTGAGTAAAGAGGAACGAAACCAGCATTGGGAAAGAAGGAGAAGCATAGAGAATGGGGTCATTCGTCAGGACGTGGCTTTGGTGAAGACCTTCGGCGGTTGGACTCTTAAGATATGGCTTTAAAGCTGGTGTGGGTAGATAGAAATAAGACAGGAGAAGGAGGGTGTTGGTCAAAACGGGAGAGAAGCCAGCAATAGCAAGAGGAAGGCGATTCTCCGTACTACTTGCTCTTCACTACATATTGACATCGCCTATACGATGATATACGGTCAGGATAAGGGATAGGTCAATAGTATTGACCTGTGGACAATCGACAAACCCGAGCCTTGACCCCATTTCTTCGCTCTATCAGCAAGCTTAAAACGAACGGCTGGGCCACAATAGCTCACACAGGTGATGTCGTGGTGGCATCGACTAGGACTTCAGTGTCACTTTCTCCTCAGGAGTCTGTTGGCCGCTTTCTTCCTCAACCTCAGCAACACGACCATGTAGAGCGGGCTTCTTCTTGCCAGAAATGTCCAAAATGATTGACTTGACAGTATGAACCATGGTCTTGCGGCCTTGCCAGAGCGGGAATAAACCGACACAGAATGTACTGAAGAATAGCCACAAGATTCCCACAACGACCCAGCCTGTTTGAGGATTCGAGGTTAGCTCGTGTCAAAGAGTGCAAGGGGAAATGGCTCGGCTCAACTCACCTGTAAAGAATTTCTTACTGAAGATATATCCAGTCCCATACAATGGCATTGGCCACAGCACCAGAAGAGCCAAGGTCATAATGACTGTCATGCTTCTCGCAATCACTGCAGCCTTAGTCAACTTCTTCTGTTCGGCGGCTTCCTCCTCTGGCGACTGTGTGACTTGGGTTTGCACGATCTCAGCATCCACGCTAGATCTGCGGATGATCTCTGAGTCGTCAACCTTGCGGATGGTTTTCATGGACTGCCAGTCGTAGTTTTGCTTGCCAAACGCAAAGGTCAGAATTGGAATGAAGACGATAGGGCTGAGCAAGGCTGTCACATTGCCGGCTAGCATGGGGTTGTTGGAGCCGGTGCAGTCAACATTGAGCACACCGCACTCCTTCTTCGCGGTCACGAGCCAGGCAATAATGGCGCAGATAAAGCCTAGCACTGGTGCTCCTGCTGCTGCTTGCCAGTTCTGGTCTTTCCACATTAGGGCTAATGTTGCTGGAAGCACGGCACTTGAAATGATGCATCCCATCAACAAGTATAGGTACCCCTTGAAACCAATCAGCATACCATTATCCCATTAGTCTGTCAAAAAGGGGGTTCAACGTACCATGCCGACTCCAGCGTAGAACAAACCAGTTGAGAAAGATGCAAGTATAATGGCGTAGACGACGCAAGAGACATGCGACATTCGGATCAAGAATTTCCCAGAAGCCTTAGGATTGATGTAGGTTTGGTAAATATCGTACGTCCAGATTGATGAGACAGCGATCAGCTCAGCAGACGAAGCAGAAGTCACTGCCATGAAGATGAGAAGCAGTGTGGCTGCAGCGCCTCCTTTTCCAAGGAGGGCGACCGCAGCATATGGCAAGACTAACCCAGCACTGACATCGGCGTGAGGAATCCGATTGGGATACGTAGGGAAGACAGGGTTGTTTTCCAAGGCCAGTGCTGAAAGTCCCATCGTCGTTGCGCAAAGCCATGGAATGGCAAACCAAGACAAGCCTCCTAGCACGTATCCTGGCAGCGCATCGACCGGCGAGGCAGCGATTGCCTTATTGTAATATCCGTTGTCCTTGAACCTGATTAGCGGAATTTTCAATGAGATGAGATGAGATGCGAGACCGACCAAAAATACTGTCCCAAAGTTGCCAACGATATTGATAACAAAGAAGATTGCTCCTTCTTTGCTCTGCATCGTGAGATAGCTCCCCTCAGCATTGCCATCCACGGGGTGTCGTGCGGCAGCTTCCACAAGCAAATCCCAAACCTTACCTGGCGATCCTACCACCTCGTTTGTGGCATAGGCACTAAAGGCAAAGACGAAGATAATCACCAAAATGATAACTGTGTGAACATAATCGGTTAAGAAAGTCGCCTTGATGCCGCCGAACATGGTGTAGAGAACGACACCGACAGGTAGCAAGAAACAAGCAGCAGCAGTTGGAACGCCGCAAAGAGAGCTTGCAACAGCACTTCCGCCAGTCAAAAGCATGGCGGTGACTAGGATGTTGGTCATTAGGCCAAAGACCAAGAATACAATATGCGTCACGACGCCATACCTCGCCTTGATTACTTCAAGGAAAGTATGTGCATTTGGTGCTCTTCTCTTGAGTCTGATACCATCGTCAGATAGCTGTCAAATATACTTGGATCGCTGTGGAAGATGGGGAAGGCTCACTCAATGGCCAGGGTTGCGAAAAGCAGGATCTGGACGGTGGCACCCGAAGCGTACCAAAAGGGTCCGCTGACGCCATAAGAGTAAGCAACACCAGACGACTGAAGAAGAGTTGCCGCCCAAGTCCAACTACTGACGACCGCGGCGGCGACAAGCCCTGACTTCACAGTTCTGCCAGCGGTTGAGAATGCTTCAGATGTTTGCACCTAGCCAGAAAATTAGTAAAATTGTTTCGTTTCGTTGGAGAGAGTCCACACAAACCTCTCCATGATAGCGCTTCAAGGCCCACGTGGTGAAGATCATGCCGAGGGCAAATGCAAACCCCAGACCGAGGATGATTCCATATCCAAATCCCTGAGTTAGGGGTACATAAGCTGCCCCAGCTTTGTCCGACATGATGTGCGGCGGAAATGTCTTGGACTGGCAGGATTTTCAGTTGACACTGTCACAATTAGCAAGGCATGCTCCAAGAGGCTTCGCCGGCCTTTGCGGGGGCATTTGACCTGATATAAGCTGCTGCCTCAATCGTTGGGAACTTGAGAAGCACAATCCCATGACAAAAGGAAAAGGCTAAGCGGCATGGGAATGTGGAGAGACCACGATGGGCTCCGATGATCAGCACGCCATACTGTGGGATATCTCAGTTCTTCCACTTGACAACTCAGTTGTATGAGTGTGGAGCTTGAAGCTTCCCATGCAAGATCTCCGTTTCAGCATGTTGACATTGATCGTAATTGGATCGTCGCACTGTCCGGTCCGCAACTTTGAGCCTGTGCTGGCGAAAGGCAGGGTCCTAGCGCGAACGAGCTAGTTGAAGATCACCAGATAAGCAAATCATATTTTAATGGCTTTACGGAATGTTGTGAGACCGTTGGCAGAGATAGAGCGAAGTTTGGCTGGATGATGTGTGTGAGGTATGGGCTGAGATTCTTCGCGCAAAGAGAAGGGGTGTAAAATGGAGAGGCGGGGACAGGGAAGGTTGTCCTTATCAGAGCAAGGCTGCGTTCTCATTCGACAAGCCGCAGTTGATATCGGCCATCTCCTACAAGGCAGTCTGTACCGCTGACCAATTTATTCCTCGAACTCTACTTTTCTTAAGCTGCGTCGTTCCGGGTTCTTATCAGAGCCAATTGCGCATCCCCGGGGGCTTATCACATTCCATAGCACATGCAAGCCTCTTATTGTTTGCTTTTTGAGTCTTGAGGCTCCGCAGTGGTGTCTTGTTATTTCCAAGGCTACACACCCACCCCACTACCTGATCCTGTGACAAGTACCTGCTACAACCGCGTAAACGCAGATCGACCCAAATGCTCGACAGGGCTTGAATGATTAAGGCTTCATTATCCTTAACACCCATGTAGACGGTATAGCCAGTTCTCTTACAAAACATTTGCCGTTATAAGTGCAAACGCATCAGATAAGGAAGATTACACAGACCCAGACTCTTCCTTTTCCATTGTCTGGACAGAGATAACTGTCGCAGCAGCTATCTCAGCCTCGAACCTAAGATCAACATGTTCGCTCTTCTGATAGGTGCATCTATCTGTATGCCTGCGGTGCAGTCGCCTAGCAGCAGCCTAAGGGTGAGATACGATCTTTGTGGCTGATTTTCAACGAACAAGCCTAGTACATGCTCGCTTCTAGGCTTGTTGAAATACTGTTGTCAGGGTCTGAACTCATGTGGTTCATGCTTGTCCTTTCGGTGTTCGCCAATTATTATGCACCCCGACCAAATTGGGCCAAGGCCAGCAAAAGAAAAGAAACACAAGTAAAATAGCAAGGGGCGTTGTCAACCTCGGACTGGGTCCTGGCTAACAGCCTGAGGTACGGAGTACTGATACTGAGTACTGAGCTTCGGCCAGAATGGTGGGTTGAGTTTTGAAAACCATGCCCTCAGACGGCACGCTCCTAAAAATCCCTTTCTCGTTCTCTTATCGCGGCATCAAGCCGCGACTTCAAGCAGGCTTCACCGTCCTTCAACCTCTCGCTGATATTGAAATAGCTGCATTGGTCACGCGGCAAATTGCATGAGATATACGATGACACTTCGAAGAAGCAATTGAATAAGAAGGGCACCTGAAGCACTGGCAATGAAAGCACGGTTAGGATTGGATAGTTCCCCTTTCTTCAAGTTCTGCATAATTGTAGCCTGTCAAAACTGATCAGATACCGTTCAGCCTTTTCCGAGGGGGGCAGAGGCTTCAGCAGCCTCCACTCGCAATCAGTCCCCTGAGCTAACAGCAGCGGTGAAGCAGTTTAGTGCGGAAGCCTTTGTTGACTTTGGTACCTGATGAGGCGTGGAAAGATCGGGAAAAGACGGGGACAGAGCGATGCCGGGATGTAAAGGTGTGGGGGCCAGAGGCTTAGATCATCCGAGGCTGAAGCGCACAGAATGGAATGTGTACCTCCTGTTAGAGAAATTGGTGCAGAGGGAACTGATGGAGTTGTCTTGCCAATATGTTGCTACCTTTAACTTACACTATGCCGTCGTGTCCACAATCGGAAGCATCGCCTGTACCTTGCAACTTTCTTCTATCTAAGCGAGTGGGCACGGGGTCTGTGAGTGCTGAGTATGTCCACGAGGCTCTGCCCCTCGTACAAGGAGAGACAAACCTACGGAACTCACTTTTGAAGTGGTGGATGACTGGCCTTTCTCAATAGAAAGCAGTCCCAGTTTGAGATTCAACAATAGATCAAGGCAATACATCGAGTAATCTTGCCCGAGCACTCTTTCCAGCGGTTCAGACACTGTTAATTATTCTCTGGTCGCTCCATCCTGGCTAGGGTCAGCAACAGAAACCTGTAGGCAGTTGCAACTAAATACTCCGCAAAACGCAGTGCACTTCGATCTCTTGAACTTATCAGGACCGTAATTGGAGATTCTTGTTTTGCTGCGAAGGTGAAGTTACTTTCAGTGTCGTTGGAGGCTGTTGGGCCACGTACCATGCCCCGACACACAGTCCGCATTTACAATTCGGACATCATGCTTGCGTCCAATTCACGCGTCACGCACCGAACTATATAGAAACCCGTGTACTATATCAAGTACTTGGAAACCTTGCCCTCCCTAAATTTCCAGCCTTTAGTTCGATGCTAGGCATCATGCTACAACTTTACTGTTATGCCATCAAGCTCATGGCAAGGGGAGTCAGATAGACGTGGTCCACTCTGCCATGGCTGGAGGAGCTTTGCTGCCCTGCCCCGTCTCGCCGGGTACTACGAGGTTCACAAACAGGCAATTACGAGTAGTGACCACCAGGATTCTATCTCGGAGAGCTCAGGAAGCCTGGCGGGGAGAAGCCAACTGTCCTCACTGCACAGCATCTAGGTGACAAGATACAACACCGAGTTATTTTCATGATACGCTAGATGATCTTTGATGACGACTGTCTGACCTGACTAGACAAACGGGAGACAAACCCTACCCGCTGGTCTTTGCCTTGGAAATGCTCAGATCCAATTCATCTGGCCTACTCATGTGACTACCTTCCCAGCAAATATTAGTGTCCTTTCACTTCCACGTTGTCTATTAATTGATGTTTCCAACGAATCTCACGTCCATCTGGTGTGATTACACCAGTTTTCACCATTGGTTCTCTTTTTCAGCTCCACCTGGGCATCCAAACCCAGTCTCCAGCTCACACCTAACAACCGATAGCCGATGAGCATTTCCCTTCCTCCACTGAATCCTTTGGTCGATGGCTTCGAGACCTGGTCTTCCGTGGGGCTGAGCCTGAGTATCTTCGTTGGTTTGGAGCAGCTTTGCTTGATATTGGCTCGAGGTTCATGTGTAGTGAGGTTAGTTGAGGTGTTGTATCTGGGTGAATGGAACGCGTTTCATTGAGTGTTAGGTCGACGTCCACGATGTTGTTGTGAATATCCGGGAATGTAGGTGATGAAGGGAGTTGTTTGGACAAGCTTCGTTCTACACGGCGTCAGTCTCCGGTATATATTGGCTTGATATCAAGGTTTGTGCGACTAACTATCAAGTTGTGCCCCCTCCGAGGCCCCCTGATGAGCAACTAGGTTACTTCCACATTGGGTCCTCTTCCATATATGTCGGCTTGATATTGAGGAATGGGTGGCCGAAAGTTGAATTGCCACTCTTCAATAGAGGGGTGACAACCTCCTTCTGAACGATCATTGGTGTTGGTCGGGTTGGTGACAGGGGTGGAGAGTTGTGTGGAGAAGAGGAGGAGGAAGAGCTGAAGGAGGAAGATCGAGAAAGGGGTTGAGAATGTTGAAAGATTGCCAGGACCTTCTCAAATGCAGCAAGGGCGAACATGTGCTGCTTGTCGCAGCTTCCTCGAACTTTGTGGACATTGTTGAGAAGTCTCCGGTTGTCGATAGCCGCGTTGAGGTCGTCCAAGATGTTGGCCGGCATCTGAACGCCCTGTGCAACGAGGTCTTTGGCTAGACCTTGGAGCTCTGAGACCTTTGATCTGGTCTCCCAGCCGGCTTGTCGTTCCAGCCATCTTTGGACATTGTTGCTCGTCCGCTTCGAAGTGCCGTAGCACTTGTTGTAATCCGGGTCTGAGTTGTTTCCAAGGCTATCATTTATTAGTCAACGAGCTTGATTGACGACGGGGACAGCGCTTACTATCCGGATCTTGCCCTTGGATGTTGATATAGGGCAGTACTTGGTACTGCCATCTTGACGGGGACCGCCTGCAACCTAAACAGAGTTAGTGCATGGTCACTGATATGTGGGATGGTCACAAGAGCCTACCGTCAGCATTGTATCCAATATCTGGGAGGACGTATCAATACTGTGGTCAGTGATATTGTTGTCCAATAATATGTGGTCGAGTATATTGTCGATATTGTCGTCAGATATGTTGTTGTCGGGAAGGAGGTCAAGTTCAAGCAAGCAAAGCGTACGCCTGGGATGCAAGAATATGATTCTGAGGAGTCAGAACAATAGATGTTGGGGGAAATCGCCCATATTTATGAGAAAAACCAGCCGGAAAACGGATGCCCCTTTCATGCCTTCTGCCAGGGCCGTCGACCACCAAAACTCTGACAAAAGTTGAAAATGGAGGAAAGGGGACAACAACAATCTACTCTGCTCGGAGCGCAAAGTGTCTACCAAACACTCTCTCGACAAGAACCAATGGAAGACGCTGCCACTTCCTCGATCTCAGCCAGTTCTAGCAGGCTGGACACCGATCATAGTGCCTCGATGAGGCCGCATTCAATCATCGGAAGACCCGCGTTTGACTATGGGAGAGTGGGCATTCGAAGTCAAATATCCGACCCGCCACGAGAAACATACCCTGCTATATTGGAGAAATCCCTAACCTCAATTTGTTGACTGTTGCCAAAGCTTCCAAATAACACGAAGGGCCTATGGATCTATCCAGAGAAAACTATCACCAGCTCCAGAACCTTATCAGCGAAGGCAAGTGCTCACACAGCAAGGACGACACCTGGGCGCAAGTGTGATGTTTGGGTCTGTTCAGGGATGCACTCAGGAGTCTCTTTTTGCATGGAGGCATCTCCGGCCAACTCTCGCCCACTGCTGCTCCTAGCCGTCCACACCGTCAAATTGATGAATCCCCAGACGATGAGTTATTGTGGCTTTTGCATGAAGCATGGCACATATACGTATGAGAGCAATGCTTTCGTGCAATCGCAAAACCATTGGACGAGTTTGGCGAGAACCGGATCCTGTTTTCAGCCCGCATGAGGATGATCGGACAAGCCTTGGGGACACTCACAGAAGGATTTCCTTGAGGCTTTGACAGAAGCAACCTTGTGAGGCAACCGAAGGAACTTTTCCACTGTGAGGACTCTTAGTTTCTATGCGTTTCCTTCTCAGTCGCGTTATTTGGTCGAGGAGCAAATGGGTGGGTTACAGACTTCAATGCTCAGATTGGGTTTGAGTCACAACGCATCGTCAAGGTCAACCTACCGCTTTACGTGATCCGACCTCACCGGCCCACTCATCCACCAGGAACTCGTGGTCGTGCCCTTGATGTTGTACCAGTCCAAGATCAAAGGAGGCAAGGCGCGAGCATCGTTCGAAGTATGAAAGAGAAGTTGCTGCCAATGAAAGTGACCCACTTTAAGCAGTGCAGAACTCAATCTCAGAATCGTTGAGATGCGTTGGATGTTTTGTCGATGCTGATCGATACCCTCCCCACTAGGAACCAAGGTACTGGGTATACAGCCCGATCTGGCCTAGACCGATCGCCAAGATCGCCCACTAACCACAAAGAGAAACACTCGTCTCATTGGGTATCCTGGTAGGTGCCATTGCCTACCGTTCGAGTTTTGGGTGGGGATCAAGTAGAGAGAGACGTTGAGTGGAAGCTACTATACATCAGCTGTTCTGTTCTTGACCCAGACAAGGATACCGCTGACAGCATAAGCACGACCGGCTCGCAGGAAAATATCGGCCTTTGGGGAACAAGGACATTGAGCGCCTCGGAGAGCACCAAGTTGCGGACTATAAGTAACCTGGTGGAAGCTTCCATACCCAAACAATACGCGGTGCCTCGCCAGATATCGCCTCCCCACTTATTATACAATTGTCTATCCTGGATGAATGCCCCATTGAGAACTCTGTCGTGGCGATGAGTCAACAACCTGGGCTGAACGCCTCTCAAGGAATCATGGTACAGTAGAAGCCGATCAATGCTGGCCGGAAGAAGTGATCGTCCAGACATCTTCTTCCCGTTGATGACCCGTTGCAATTCTCCATCTCTCCATCAGTACAGGTGATGCCCGCGCCGGATACCAATTCTTGCGTTGCGGAATTGTCGTAAGCACACGAGAGACGAGGAAACCATACATAGGCCTGACCTGCGCGTAAGTCATGTGACTTAGTTAACCCCCTATAGCCTAGAGAAATGCAGAAAGTGGACTCTAGTCACGGATTAAGTTAGTTCGATTTGGTCAGATTCTCGCTCGCTTGAACCCGCGAATTCCCTGCCAGGATGGGACCTCGGGGCCGCTACGCACTGCACCGCACTCCTTAGGGGGCGCGTGCGTTGCAGGGGTACTCAGGAAACTGTTTTTTCAAGTGACACTGCACTGCATTACGCTTCGAGCGGTGATGTGTGCTACCCCAAAACCAATATCTCGAGACTGTGTGACTGTGCCTTACCGGCCTGTCACATTTTCTCCAGGCAGCCCATAACAATGCAGCATCAGTTGAGGAACAGAAAGGATCAGGCTTTCATGGAGCGAACGGATCATTTGGGGCCAAAAATTGGGTGTCTTTTGAGACTTGAGCTCTATGTACTCTTCTGGTAGGTAGTTGGGTAGGATGAGGTGCTATTCTCTTATTCTCTTCCTGTTTCCCTGCTCCTCTCTCGGATGGCCCTGGCATCCCTTATATTTGATCGTAATAATAAAAAAAGAATGATAAAGTTCGAGGTGGGGGAAGAACGCCGCAACAAGGGCATGGCAGGAAGGCTATCCTTCTGTTGCCGAATAATAACAATAATGACCTTCGACCTGGGCTCGATGGTCTCTTTGGCCTATCCCAACGCCAGAAACCGCCGAACAAAAACAGTGACCCTCACCCCGTGAACTGAATTAGCCATGCAACTAGCATCTAAACATCGAGCATTTCTTCCTCATCCGTATCACATCCACAGCGCGTGGGCAGCGATTGATTTACTTGTAGAACCAGTAGACGGCAGCATAGTCGACGGTGAAGGAGGCTGGCTGGTCCTTGCAGGTAGCGGGAGGCGAACCACCGGCAGTGTTTACTCTGTAGACAGCCTTGATGTCGCCCTCCGTGCTTGAGCGGGAAGTCAGATATAGCCAAGGGACAACGCCATTTTCGTTCTTGATGGAGGTAGCGGGGGCAACGGACTCGTTGACCTTCTGTGTGAAGACCCGGCCCAGCGCTGGAGAGTTGGGAGCATCGAAGGCAAAGACAGGGGTGGTGCCGTTGGAGAAGAAGTGATGAGTTGATAGTTCCAGGTTGGTGGGCTCTAGAGGAGCCAGTGGATCCTCGGGGAGTGGGCGTTCATAGGCGATGTTAGTTGCCATTCCGACTAGGTCGGGGAAGTCTGCGGCGAGGCATGAGGCGTTGTAGAACCGTGCAACGGCACCGGCGGCGGCTGGTGTGGCGGTGGTGTTGGCACATGTATAGTTCTATGAGTGCCTTGTGAGTACGATGGCAAGTCAATGGGAGAAGAATTCAACTCACCTGGGTACCTCGGCCGATGGCAACGTGCTCGAGGACATAGCTGTCGAGGATGGGTAGAGGTGTGGGTGCCACTGGTAGTGCGGCTTTGGAGAGATCACAGGTGGGTGGTCGACCACCATTCCGCCTGGCTTCCTGGATATGCTTGTAGACAATGTCAAAGTAGCCGGCCATTGCTGGTGTCCATTCGGTGGTGCCGTGAGATGTTGGTGGTGCCGGTAGTGCCATTATTGTTGCTGCCAGAGCGGAAAATACAGTGAGGTACTTCATTCTGATGGTGATGGTGAAGTACGGCTCCGCGATAACGAAGATGCCAAATTATTTGTAGTAAAGAAGGAAAGGTCTGGCCGGCAGAGCAGATGCTTTTTCTTTTTTTTTTGAACTGTAAGAGAATGTACAGATATTATGCAAACTGTCAAGTGAAAGCCCAGCGAGAGGGGGCAGTGAGGGTATTATGAATATGAGCGGTAATGAATGACCTTGAGCGACCGTTTGGGAGACCAGCCGCCGACATATAAGTAAATTGTCGGGTTGACTGATATGGCGAGCGCGGATAGGATGATTTCCAACCTGCCAGGCATGTATTCCAGGATGGAGGTGTTTCTATCTTAGGCATCCCAGTGTGTGTCATTGGCCACCTTGATGGAGGGTGGAGGCTTGCAGGTGGCAGGGAGGGCGACACGAGGCGGCAAGGGAGATTCAACCAATGTTGGCCGTCTTCTACCAGGATTCAAGGTGAGAATAGAAGGACATTGGCGCGCACGGCACCAGCCCTAGGACAGCTCTTTGCCCAAATCCATCTAGGCTGACGCCTTCACCAGCGGGGCAATGTCAACGAGGACAGTCGTCAGCAGGGGTCATCCAGGTAGTCCAAGTCTACCATCCTGCATGTGCGGGTAGCTGCTTAGATGCTGACTGGTTTCCTATCGGCTTCCTTCAGACTGCTTCGGGTGCTGGGTGGCTGTTTCATAGCCGCCCAGTTGCCGCCCACTGTCCATCCACAGGCTGCGAAATATATCTGCTAATGCATGACGTGCAGATACAAGCCGATCCTGGAATGAATGATTTCTTGAAGGAGCAGAGATGGTCTCATTTGCTTGAATGGACTCTCGTATAGGGCACATCCTGGACCCTCTTTGACTCTGGGTGTTCGTTTCAGAAGTTGACCGGAGAACCAAGTGACCCACATGAATGGAAGTCCTCGTCTTCAGTGGCCGTCTGTATAATTTGCGGAGAGGAAGAGGTCCCCATCGCAGCGCTTATTAAAGATCTTTATACGGAAACATTACCGTCAATGTCCAGTGCTTGGATAGCATGTGCTGGGCTTCCAAAAAGTAATCAATAATAGTAGGCGTGGCGAAATTGATAATTGACAAATTCCCATCGAAAAAGTCAGCTTCGGCTTTCCAGTAATTAATATGACTTTCGTTCTCGTGTCTGAATGTGGTAAAGGCCGGTCCCAATTCCCCTTTGTAGGATCGTGCGTATGGGATGCCTGATCATCTCGTCTCTCTGGCTCCTGAGTCTTGGTTCTTGACTATACGGAGCAGAAAAGGGAACTCCCTCGCGTGTGTCCCAGACTGTTTAGGCGATCCACCACCAACCCTTCTCCGAGTCTGTGGTCGGCAGTGAGCGAGGCGCTGTTTTCTGACTGTGCTCAGTCTCGAGTAATCCCTCCCCGGTCATCGTATGGGCATTATTCCAGACGATGACGAAGCCGGGTCCAGGGTCGATGAGAGTCAGAATAACAGGGCTGAAGTGGTCGGACTTCCGTACTCCGTAATCATGCGAGATACCTATTTGTGCTGGCTGTGGTACGGAGGTACGGAGTACGGAGTATTGCAGCCCAACCAGGGATGAGGCACTTCGGCGAAGGGGTGGACGCCAGCCCAGGCTACGGGTACCGCCTGCAGAACATCCCGGGTGCCCCTCCAGGCGTGTCCTCCTCCCCAGGCGCTCCGGTGGCGGCGTCACCCGGTAACAGCCACGCCTATAACCCCAAACAAGCGCCCCAAACACATCACCGCCCTGCCGCATAATAGGCACCACCTTTAACAGCCACGCCCACCCGAATATCAACTGCAACTATCATTGCCATCAACACCCCACCTTGCCTGTATCTTGTGCTTGGAGGTGATGGACCATATGCGCCTCCTTGGGAAGCGACCCATCCTCGCTTGCGAACGTGTTCTCGTCGTCCAGGATTGACATCCGGAGTACATGCGTGTCGAAAAAGTGTGCAATGCTTGCCCAGGAATACGGGACACCTGATCCAGGACGTCGCTAGGTAACCCAAGCGATCTTGATACCCCGGCCCAAGCCAAAAGACTGCGGTGTCTCGGTTCAACTCTGAAACAAGCCGCGATATGCGCGCTGAACAACGCGTTCGTCTTCAGAGACACTAATCCAACATTCGTAAGCACATGACCTGGTACATACGGAGTACTCTGAACCAAGTGTCCCGGGGGGATCTTTGATCCAGCGATTCTCCTGTCGCCCCCCTCGCTTGTTGAATGCAGGGAATCTATCCCATTGACTGAAGGGCTGCTCGGCTGCTAGCTATCTCGCCAAACCCTATCAAGCGGGGAGGAATTGCTATTCTCCTGACTCAAATTACTATCATGGTGCGACAAGGCTTGCATATCGCATATGATGTTCTGTGGGGTTTGTGACGCCGACGGGTGCGAAGGAGTTAGCTCAAGGCCTGACTCTCGTCTTTGTATACCGACGAAAGCGGAGGCCCGGGGCAAACGTTAACACTACTCGTCTACACGGATTTGTCCCCAGAGAAACGAAAGGAGCGCGGCTTGCGTTCCCATACTATATGGCATGAGAGACACCGGCTCAACGTGAAACAAACGAGGTATAGTAGGAGGTTGTTATACAGCTATACTTACTAGTCTTGCGGATCTAAGATCATGTTGACATGCAAGCCCTATCCAAAATCTTCTTGGTGCCAGTCAGGACCATGCAGGTCAGGAGACTGAAGGCCTGAAACCCCTCCTCCAGCCACCATGGCAGCGGCCTCTCCCAGGTGAGTCACGTTGCGCTCAACATCCGATGTTCCCATCCAGTAGAGCATGAGGAATACCAAAAAATGAAGCATGAGACAGTAGCCCGCGAAAAGATTCCTAGAGGTTCGTGTTGCAAGGACGATTCTGGTCAATGAGAAGATGATACGCTCAGGTAGACTCATGCGCTTGTATGCCCGTGCTGATTCCCGACCCCGGAAAGCGGCAAAGGGCGAAATGTTGGCCTCGTATTGTGACTTCCATCTATTGGACGTGGAATCTTCGGAACTGGGGAGGACCGAGGTGTGCCCAGTACCGCCCGAGTAGGACGACGAGGACGTCGTGGTAGGCCCTCGACTGTATGCGGAAACATATCTCGTCTTCTCGTACAGGCTGAGGTTATCCTTCTGTAAGGAAGCAACCTCTTGTCGCAGAGATGTCACGCTTGCATATGTCTTGGAAAGCTCCTCTTCTAGCTGCTGATTTTTCTGCTTGAAACGATCTCGTTGGGCCTGGATCATGGGTAGTATACCTGAACCGCCTCCAACAGGCTCTCCCGCTCGTAACGACTCCAATGTCGTGGTTCGAGGCAGTGTTTCGTAACCTGAAATAATCGATGATGTAGGTGAGCCTCGACCGCGTCGCAGCGACCCTGTCGGATATCTCGAGGTATGGGTCCCGGCAACTGACATTCCCGACGAGGGCAGTGCATTGGCGGCTTCTTCCTGCACGTGCAACAAATCGTTCTCCAACGTTGATGCCAGTTTCTGAGACTTCTCCAGCTCGGCGTTGGTTCGAGACAGCTCTTCCTGGAGATCTGCTAGCTGTTGCTGAAGATCCTGATGCGAAACACGAAGCAGCGTGAGCTCGTTGCTTAGTTTCTTGTTGCGAGCGAGCAGGAGCTGTTCCAGAGACTGTTTAGCACCGCTAATCGCTGCGCCGTTGAGCGTTGCTTCGTCGCCGTCGTCGTCGTCGCCGATGGACAATTCGATGGATCGAAGGGTATCAAGTTCTCGCTTCACATCCTCGTAATCCGACCATTTCTGGATTTTGGCACGCAGCCCCTCATTCTCGCTCGAAAGCTGTGTCCGCTGTCTCTCCGCCTGTCGGAGTTTGTTGTCCTGCTCCCTCTTCTCAGATTCCCTCTCAAAACGGGCAGATTCAATTTTGCGCAGTAGTGAAGAGTTCTCCGACTGAAGCCTCAAGAAAGATGGTTCTTCTTCAATATCATGATGTGCGGAGCTCTGTGATGTGGCCCGGGCGAGTTCGACACTCAGTTGTTCATTTCGAGCCTCCATCTCGGCCAACCGCGCACTGGTTCTGTCCAGTTCGGAGCTCATCATCTCAAGTTCTGCAGCTGCGGCCTTGGAGGAAGCCAGCTCAGTGGAACCATCTTGCATCCGTTGTGACACATCATAATTCGCCTTCAACTCTTTGAGAAGTCGGTCCTGGTTTTCAACCTTCTCTTCGAAAGCCTTCTCCTTCGCAGACCAATTGTTTTGTTTCTCCTCCAAAACCTTCTCCCATTTGGCTTCAATTTCTCGCACACGGGAGCCAGTGCCAGCCTCCGCCTCTCGTCGTGATTTGCTCTCGTCTTGCAGTCGTTTCTCGGTCTCCTCTAATTGTGCCGTCAAGTTGCTGACTCTAGACAATAATTGCTCGTTTTCGGCCGTGAGTTTTGGAACGGTGTCTTCGGACGCAACTAGCGAATCGATCGAGGCTTCAAGAAGGGGGAAAGGGTCGGGTGCCTCAGACAGTGATTGATATAGTTGGAGGAAGGCTGAAGACGAGGACTTGCCGTGCCCTGTGATTAAATCGATATACGTCTGATATGCTGCCATTGATCAGTCTTTGCTGGAACGAAGAAAGTGTAGAGCCATAGACCGACATTTCAATAACGACTTGTATTCCGAGAGCTTTGCCGCATCTTCCAATTTCCTGAAATCCTTCGTCTTCTGGGCCACTTCCTTACGCTCTACGAGGGCGTCTCTCTGGTGAGCAACTAATTCTGAAGCGGTTGAGTCTAGCTGAGGCATCAATGAGGAGAGATCGATGTCTGAGAGTGTCAGCGTAGCACGTTATAGAGGATCAAACCGAGAACACGCACTTCGCCATGCTGATATTGCCTTCTGGAACTTGTTCCCGCTATGGTCTAGCGAAGTGGCCTCAGGAGGCTTGTTGACTTGGTTGTCTTGCTCTCCAACCGCTTGCGCGTTGGCCTCTGACAAAGCCAATGCGTCCATCAGATTGAATCACTCTACAAGCCTGCTTGAGGCAGTTTCCAGTAATGTTGAGCGTACATTGAGATGTTGAGACTGGAGGCAGTCCCAGCGACGAAGATGGGCCTGGTCAAAAGAACCGACCAAAGAATCCACCGTAGCGATGCAGGCGGAAAAATGATGTTCCATGTACAGCGCACGGGCGTCTGTGCTCCTCAGTACAAATCCAGGCTTCTAGCCATCAACAGCAATCCCACCGCTGGGTACTAAAGCATTCGGGGACTGGTCCACAGGCAGGAGATGGGACGCAATACAATGACCATGTTATGCAATGATATCTTTGGTATTTGACCAACATGACATTCTCCAAAGCCTCTAATTTTGGATCGAAGGATTCCCAAGTCCAGCAGTGACTGGCTCGCATCCAGTTGGAGGAGCATCAAGTGATTGAGCTTGATTATCATTCCTTGCTATGTGGATGGAAAACACTGTTCCCTAGCGATCCACCTCACCGTAGCAAGCCTTTCTTGGCTTAGTATACATACTTTCGTCGCGATGTGAACGAGGCTGCCAACATTATTGACCCAGGAAACCCTCAATGCACTCTCTGCTATCTAGTAGTAATCCATGAAATCAACAGATCAAAGCTACCAAAGAACATTCTGTGACAGCCAGCAAATTATTGATTACTACGCTGCGGAGTTGGTAAACATGAAACACACCTTTCAACTGGTAACTGCAGTCTGCCGCTCAGGGACTTTCAATTTAGAAAACCAAGATTGTCCTTTCTGCTGTACGGCTGGCAGATTGGATGACGGCTTCGAACATGCCGGGCTTCTGCCAGACCCTGCAGACCCACCGTGCTAGCATCGAAGGGGAGGTACCGTGTGTCGCAGCTCTGGCACCCCGTGTTGGAATGTGTTTTGCCTCTCTGATAGCTCGCGCTGAAATGCTTGCTGCATCTTCCAAACACCGAGCGTCCGCGACATATGCACGCGTTCGTCATGACCAAGGATATAGGTGCGGAAAGCACTTGCTGGGGAGGGAGTTAATCGGTGAGCTCTAAGAAAGTATCAAGATCATGGAAAGACATACCATCAAAACCACTGGCACCACCCCATATGTCCGCCTCACTGAGACCTCGAACGAATTGCTGCACTGCTGCGGAGTGTGAACTTCGTGTACCGGAATAAAGCTTGAAGCGGTCTTCAATTTCGGCAGGGAGCACATTCCTTTCTAGCAGTACTCCAAGGGCCACGGCATCCTCTAGAGCCATCGCTACCCGCTGACCACAGTAAGGTGGCATGGGATGTGCGGCGTCACCCACCAACACGAGTCGTTGGAAGTGGTAGTTGTTCAACGGGTCCATGTCCCAGATAGGTAGATCCTGCAATACACCGCTTTCGATGCTGTCCAACAAGGCGATGCATTCTTCCGGGAACCCATGTGCAAGCCGAAGCAATTTCATTTTGCTGGATGGCTCTCTCCAGTCCTTGCAAAGGCTCATGAACCCCTTGAGATCCTCGTAGAGAAAGTTTATGCAGATGCTCTCATGCTCGGATGCAGGCCAGATTAGAAGGGTCCTGTCGCCAAGGTTGTAACAGAATGCTTGTCCCAAGTTTTGCACGAATCTGGATAATGCAGGCTCGCTGAGGAGCTTTTCGCGCGGTATGACTGCTCTGAAAACCCCTCGCTCGATTCGGAACCGCTGTGCGTTGCCATGAAGGACGAAAGATCTGCATATTGAATGCACCCCGTCTGCGCCAATGACAACGTGGCCTCGGGCTTGCGAACCATCCGTGAAGAACAGTACGCCGTTTGCAGGATCGATTCGAATTACAGTCTTGGAAGTATAGAACTCTGCCTTTGGCCCCGGTGCATTGGGATCCTGCAATCTCTCTCGGAGTGCTTTCAGGAGATCTTGATAGGTCGTGTTATGCCAAACCTACTAGTAGTAGGGTTTGAGGTTCTGGATGTAAGAGGAAGAAATCATGTGCTTACCCAGCTGTCTTGATCGAGCTTGACGTCGAGATCGATGGTATGGTGACCCGTGGAGTCAACTTGAAACCTTGTAATCTCCAGCGTAATCAGTGGATAGGCTCTGAGACCACCAATGCAGTACAAACCTTTTTAACTTTGGTGGCACGTATATTGCTTAGATCAACACCGAGATTTCGCACCGCGCCAAGAGCGTTTGGAAATATTGTGATGCCTGCACCTTGCGTATCATCCAAAGCAGCTTGTTCGTAGATCTTTATCGCAAAGGGTCAGAGAATGTACGCCATCCAGCAAGCAAGCGATGAGCTAACCTTGACAAAATGGCCTTGAGCCTTCAGTGTGATGGCCGTCGAAATTCCACCGATGCTCCCACCTACCACTAACACCTGCAACCCAGTCTTTCGATCATTCGAATTCACTTTGATTGTCCGTGGCGTGCGCCTTTATCACACCTTGTCAAGCAGAAGCTGAACACAAGTCCGGGTTGGAGAGAAGGAAGGGGGAGTTAATATGGTGCGTGGAACGTGCATCCACCATGTTCGCAGCACCCAAGTCCCGGGGTCCAAGCACGGGCGAGGTTTGTAGATCCGAGGCACGTGTATTGTTTGATGCCATTACTTTGGAAACAGGCTAGGAGCATGTCACTGCCGTCCCAATGAGATCGTCAGCTCGGACGCTGCACAGACCTACGATCGGACTTGGTCAATCGCAGGGAACTTAGATCTCAGACTTATTGCTGCACGTGCTCAATGCTTGTATTGTGTTGTAAATCAACTTTGTCCTCAGCCCAAATGCATGGTGCTGAGTGTGAAATTCGAGAACTTGGGGGCGGCTAGTCTCGTGCTTTCTCTTGTTCGCGCCAAATCCCACACGCGAATGTCGGGTCTTGAAGACCAGTAAGGAGAAGCAGAAGATCAATCTAGTCTTGCAGGGAATCGTAGGAGCCTCGCGGAGGTGGTCTGTGATTGAATTAATGACGCTTTGATCCTTGTTATTTCCCAGTGCGGATGGTTGCCTGTGAAGGCTGATATACAATGTAGGCTCGGCATAACCCCGTCTCAACATGACCATTTTCCCGGGCTCGGGTCAGACCGCCTAGCTGGAGACAACACCATTCAGCTTTCGCAGCATTGTATCATATAAAGTTGGAGGATGCAAGAAACTTCGTTAGAGAACCATAGCGTGCAATAGTGGGAAATATGCAAGGGTAAAAATTACGTCAACGTTGAGATTCCTAGGTTGTAGTGGACGTAGTGGACGTATGATAAGTTCTCGCGGGCGGCTCCATCATACAGCAGCGCTGCGTCATGGCATCCTAGATTGTCATGGCAAAGTGGTTGTAACAGTCCGCTTATAGCATGGATCCGGGGTTGGACCTTTTAGGCCGAAACCTCGAGATCAAAGGTAGTGCTGTTAGGTAAGGAGATTGTAAACCCGTAGGCACCCAGGGTAAATGCCACAAGGAGAGGCCAGGACCGTGAGGGCCGAAGCCACAAGGAACACAGATGTTCCCCGCAAACCGATCTCAGTCCCTAGAAGCTTGAAGCGACGCTACACGCAAGCTGCAGTGGGAGCGGAGCAGGGACACGAGGGTCCTTGGACCAATGTTGATCTCCCGTATGTGGCGCTCTCTGTTGATGCAATGCAGCCTGTAATCGTTGAGTGGCCTTTGAGAGCACAACTTGAAAAGTTCACATGAGGATACATGATAATCCTTGGCAGATGTGAAGCTGATGAGGCCGAATCTGTTGCAGTACCGTAAGTTCTTGGGCCTGGTGTTGGTGCTGACGAAAATCACCAGCGCGACTTACACCTAGCCTTGCAACCAGGACCGATCACGCATACCATAAGTGTGCCTGAGCGCCTAGCTACCAGTAATTGGAGGAGCGCAGTGGTTCGTACCGAGCATGTCCATCTGAGCACGAAGCCATCAGTCTTATCATAGTCTCCACTAGATTGTAACACCCAGAGCCCACGAGAGATTTATCTCCCTGCCATGTGACAAGCACGAGATATGTGCGACGAAGCGAGCCAGGGTCCATCGAGCAAACCGATGGCAACCGCTGCATGTTTTGAACAAGACAGCATCCTCGTGGTACCACCGACGGACGCCCCTGGTCAAATATTGGTGACATCGTCTTATCTTTCACCAATCCTTCAGTGGGGAATCTGATGCATTTGGTGGTGGAAAGCACTGTAGCTCAGTCTTGTTGAGGGGTTCCAAGACCAGGAAACGACGTTAAAGCATCCATTGGCAAGCCTGCCATCGACGTTGTTGTAACGTTGGACCTCTAGGCGTCGTCACTCGCCAGCCTTGGCTTGAGGGCGGCTCGGCCTTGGGAGGTTTGGCGAAATCTTGGACAAAGTCATTTGTTTGTGCCGATGGTTGCGGATCTACAAAATGCATGCTTGGCGAATATTTGTATGCAGATTCCAGCGCTGGGCGTCACTCCACGATGGCGCCTCTCTTCAAGCTGTTATCTAGGGGGTCGATGAGAGCAGCCGAGTGGTGGTCTACAAATATCAGTCGCCCAAAACCCAGTCTTGGGAAATGTGTTCCCTTCCACCGCTTTGCCTCTGCTTCATCTCTCACACCCCCCCCCCATCATACTCTTTACCAAAGCCTGAGCACCAGTCATAATGGAAAAAGACCGATCGGAGGCACTTGAGGCGCAGCCCACAAATGCATCTTCGGAGCTTTCTGAGAGGGAGTCGAGCGAGAAAATCAAGCGACCATGGCACAAATCGCTCCAAGCAGAGGTGATGACGCCTGGGTCGGCATTGCAAATCGTGATCGCTGCCGCTATTGCTATCGGAATAGGGATGGCGGTTACGGCCACTGTCGACGAAGTGCCTGAAGCTGTCCCTGAAATCCTCGAGATTCCCGGTATGTTGTGGTTGAGAGCTTTGAGAGCGACTGGTAGGTTCAACTGTATCTCAAGCGAACCCCTCTAACTTTGGCAGTTCTACCGCTCATTGTCACTGCAATCATTCTCGCAGTCCAGACATTGAAGGACATGGCCAAAGATGGAGCGAAACTCGCTAAGTGGACTGTCGGCTACTATGTCTTGACCACCATGCTCGCCGTCGTCCATAGCATGATCCTAGTGGATCTTGTTTGGCGACGACTGATGGTTGAGGTCGGAAGTGACAGCCTTGCCGTAGAAGATGACGACCAGGACCTGATTGAAGAGAGAGCGGCAGTTGAACCTCATGATATTGTGGTGCAAGTCTTCCAGTCTTTCATCCCTTCCAATATCTTCGCGGCACTCGCAGAGGACCAGCTCCTGGGAGTGTTGATCACTGCTGTCGTTGCGGGCTGCTTGATTAAAGGCCCTGATTCTTCGCTTTTGCGGGCTGTGAGAGAGGTTGAGAGGATTATCACCATTGTCATCACGTTCCTCATCAAGTTGGCGCCAATTGGTGTATTTTTCCTCATCCTGTCGAACCTCATGACCCTAGAGATCTCGGACATCGGAAGAAACCTCGGCGTTCTGATTGGTGGGTCTATTGCAGGAATGGCCATTCATCTCTTCATCATGCTCCCTATCCTCTTCTTCGCCTTCACTAGATTGAATCCATATAAATACTGGATGAAAGGTTCGCCTGCCTGGATTACTGCTTGGGGAACTGCATCTTCCGCAGCGACACTGCCAGTCACGATCCGAATGGTGCGAGCTCGTGGCGTCCCTGAGACCATTGCCAAGTTCACTGTTCCGCTTGGGTGTTTGATTAATATGGACGGGTGAGTCTTGGTTCTCCGGCACGACAGCTTCACTTCTGACCTTGAACAGAACGGCCATATATTTCCCCATGGTGGTTGTCTTCCTTGCTACCACACAAGGAATTGCGCTGAACGCAGGAGAATATGTTATCATTGTCCTCCTGTCGACACTTTCATCCATTGCTACAACACCGATCCCTAGCTCGTCGCTCGTCTTAACTGTCATGATCGCAGGCGCAATCAATGTGCCCATTACCGGAATGTACGCCGTGGTAGTAGCCATTGACTGGTTCATCGATCGTTTCCGAACTCTCACAAATGTCAGCGGTGATCTTTTCGCCGCCCGCATCATGCAATCTATGACTGGAATCAAAGACAAAGACGCTTCAGACCTTGAGCCCCATGTTGTTTTAGATGAAGGTGTTGAAGAGCGCCGACTAAGTCGCCCCTGATTGCCGGCCAGAAACCAAGAGATTTTAATGATCCCCCGCTAATTTCCCGAATAACCCTTACATGTTTTGATTAAATGTCATATTCTGTTGTTAGCTAGTCAACACGACGAAAGAATACTCTAGCTATGAATATTAGCAATGAAGAGAATTGCAAACCTTCAAAGTGATATTGTTGATCATTAATTTATTTTCATCTGTAGGATTTGAATCCTGATTCGTACGTACTCGACACCCCATTTCCATTGTGTAGCTTCCTATCAGCGTGCCGCTGGTTTAGTTTCATAATTGGAGCCCGGGGCTAAGGAACCTGAAGAAACAGCCAAGCCGATCGGCTCCTTTGAGACAGCAGAAGCGATGAGAGGGCGTCATATTCTGGAGTAGCCGCTCGAAAGGTCGTTTCTATGGTCGAAATTTGCTGAGTGCATTGATACGAAACCATCTCAGTTGATGGTGTCGGAGCCCCAGATTGATCTCATCGTCACAAGCTGTGGCTTGATACTAGGCTTCAAGATTGATGCCTTTTCCGAATCTTGCGTACAAATGCGCTTTGAGACCATCTAGCTCCTCCTTCAGTCCACTCAATTCTTCTTCCAAAGTGGACACTTCGGTTTCGAGTTCAGTTGTCGCCGTCGACAGCAGGTCCTGCGCCTCAGGGAGAGGGAGATTCATGAACGAATCACCAATCTTGTATCTAAATGGGATATACTATTAGTGGCTACGGCGACATAAATACAACCTGATCTTGGCGAAAACTTACGGGACGAGCTCATCTTCATCGGCAAGTTCGAGTTCTGTGGAGAGCTCTTCCAGGTCTTCTTTATCTTTCTGCAAGAGGGTGTTAGTCGGCTCATCCACGACACCGGGTGGCGATTGCAAGTAGTCTTACTTGTTTTTGGGTGAGTTCCTCTTGTAGAATCTTACTTCGGTTGTGCAGCTTCGAGAAGGTGTTGATCTTGTCTTGGTCTTCTCGAGTGACTTCTGCGTCCCTCGATTCAGACTCCTCTTCTTTCGAAAGCTACAAGGCAATCATGTTAGCACCTTGTCGTGCATCTGATCATGAGACGGGGCCAAAATGAACTCAGAGACAGGCATTGAATGATTGAATTTCTCTGATTGAGCACATTTTACCCATTGTGAATGCGTATACTGGCCATAGGATGCATTTCCCAGTAGAGTGCACTTACAACTCTCCGTGACAGCATATTATCCGTTGAAACTAAAAGCAATTATAACACAGAGACAATAGCCTCGGCGGACGGTAGAGAGAGGGCCGGATGTCCTGATAATCTTGGCTGTGGTGGGTGAAGCTGTAGAGTTGCGTGACGAGGAGTAGATGGAATCGAGATAGACGCAATGAAGGTCAACTGCCTACGTGCTTTAGTTAGTACAGAAGACTCAGTGTGGCGATCTCGACGTTGGAGGAGAATTATATATTAGGGAAGTCGAGTTCCTTCTTTCCTGAGCCTCTGAAACTTGATGAGGATCCCGCCAGAATATCTCTTGGCAAGGCTGGCTGTCACATGCCAGCGCCGCTTTAAGATTAGAGACCATCACTATGCTATACCAAGTCCCTTCACGCGTTTGTCACGGCTGTAGCGTTTGAGAAACAAGGTAAGCTATCTACCTTGGTATTCAGTTGTGCACATAGTACAGTCCATCTCATGCTGGGTGTGAAGGAAAGCCCCAAACCGATCGCCGGCACGATTATGATTGTTATAAAACAATATGAGCCCGAGAAGCGCCCAGGTATAGCCTTGTACGACTGACCCTCGACATCCTGGGTGCCATGCTATGCCTCAATCCCTAGCTATTCTACAAGAAACCCATCAGATTAAAACGATCCGTCTCTGATCATACAGCGCTATAACCACCTCTCGAACCACCTCCGGATACAGTATCAACCACTTTCCTGGAGAGATCCTTGAAGAGATAAGGGAGGTCGCGAATGGTATCTCCGTGGGGCAATAGGTCCCAACCACGAGCGCCATATCGATTGTAGTTGAGCCATGACCCAAAGATGAGGTAGGCTGCGATGCCGAGGAATGCACTATCAATCAGTTAGTCTCCGGGCTGTGTCAAAGGGGATTTAGAACTCCCATACATCAGAATAAACCAGGTGAAGAAGCCCCAGCCGCCTTTCTTTTCCCCGTCGTCTTCAGTGAAGTCTTCGCATGCATACTTGGTCTTCCAGTTCAGGCGCAGCACCTGCAGGCGCTCTTTACCCTCCACATCACCATAGCTGACGTAGGTCAGGCTGGCGGTCGGAGGCTCCTCACCATCGTCTCCATCATCCCGCTTCTTCATCCGTTCATTGCCTGTTCTGTCTCGGTCGCACTCGAGTTGGACCACAGCCTGCTGTCTCTTTTTGCCATAGTTCCCTCCATGAAGTTCAATTTGAACACCCTCGCTATTAGAGTCCTGGGACTTTAGTCGAGTGTACTTGGGGTTGAGATTCTGGCCAGTGCTTGCGTCAAAGTTGCCAGCTATGGGCATGACATTTTCAACCTGCACGTGTTTCTTGTCTGGATCGTCTGCCGGGTTCCAGGATTCGATTATTCCGCATACTACTCATGATTAGCTGTCAACCGCGCTGTCTCTGTGAAGTGGAGCAATACCTCTTGTGCCACTAGGGCACTGATCAACATCTCGCACTCCCTCAATCTTCTTCAGCGGCTGACATAGATCGATCGTCCACGTCGTATTATATTCAGCAGGCGGTCTCGAGGAATCGAGGACAGACACTGAATGCCGACCCCCAAGCTTGGAGAAGTCAAACTTCTTGCCGTCTACTCGTACGTTGTCGCAGGATAAAGAGACGGCGCCGGAAAGCTGCGGTAGAAGAAGAGGAATTGATAGAAGAGGGATGATCGTAGACCTCATGATTTCAATGCTCAAAGCAGGTCGGGTTCCGAGTATCGCGTGCCAGTCTACGGAGTACCGGAATAGCAATGACTCGGTGATGGTATGGAGGTAGCCTCTGGGCTTTATTGAAGAATGGGACGATAAATGGGTAGAGGCGAGGGTGGAAATACTGTAACTTGGACTTTATGATGGAGAACAACAGAGGATGCTCTATGCCATGTGCCTGCGGGTGACGGCCATGGGTTTCCAGTTCCATCATCTCAGTTCCACCCTGACTTCATGCCAAGGCTACGGCCAAACAAATACTCAAACGACGCCACCGGATAATCGTTATTCCTTGCCATTCTTTCCCTCGTGAGGCCGCTTGACATTCTGCCCAACGTGTGCACTTTCGATTGACTTCATTTCTACATGTGCCGAACGATATAGTTCCATCCTGATATAAGTAGCTATGTGAGAATATTAAGACACAGAGAGCGGATTCAACGTGGAATACAGCGTTTTGCACGTTGACTCGGTGCTGTCCACTCGACGTGGGCATTGAGCCTTTGCCGTGAGATCACTACATAAACCCATCGATGTTGAATCGTGATGTGCCTACGGGCTGCAAAAGCAATGCGATATCGACCGAGAAGGTTCCGGAGCAGAAAGATACAACTTCCATACAGAGTGGCTGTTTGCTGACAGTGTCCTGCTTTGGACAATCCTGTCCAGCTTTAACATTGAGCATCTTATTTACCTGATGGCCCGAGGCTGTCTCACGAACGTTTCAATCATTTCTACTGCTTATAGATAAGTACCTTTGTTTGCGGCGCTCCAGGCCCAGAAGTCATCCTATGCATTGCTGCTAGGCCTAAAATGGTTGCTTTTCCTCTCACTCTCCGGACAAGATCGTCTGATCGGGTTCTACGATGGCTCCTCGATATTGACGGGTTGCTGTGATGGGAACTGGCCGTTCAGGTTTAGCTGCTATGTATGCTCTATCAGAAGAGAACAGTTTCGATAAGACACGAGTGTTTGCAAGACAAGATCAAGTGGAAGGCCTTTGGTAGGTTCCTCAGCTTTCCAATTCGAGGATCAAAAATTGCTTAACCTAAAGAAACCAAAATACAAGTATACCTATGCTCAGTATCATGGCGAGGGATTACGATCCCGAGCCCGACTTGTTCCCAGCATCCTGGCGCCCACCACGCAAGGTTACTAGTCAGGCTTCGTTCCCAAGCTTGGCAGCCCAGGTAGAGGGGCCCTAACAGAAAGAACAGCCATATACGCTGGCTTAGATAGTAACGTTGGAGTGCTTACCGTGGCCTCCACTCACAGCGTTTCCAGAGAACAGAGGCAAGGCGATGAGTGGGTGGTGACGTTGTAGCAGTCTGAACCGTTATTATGAGGGAAACTGAGTGATTATTGGTGGCAGGAGAAGTTCGCCGCGCTGATTGTTGGCAGTGGTCACTATAATGTCGCCGACATGCCAAAGATCAATGGGATTGATGAGGCTGGCAAAGCATTTCCGGACGCATTCGAGCATTCCAAAGCGTATCGTTCGCCGAATATGTCTGCTGGTAAGGTGAGCAAGGACGGTCGTCTCAATGAGCTGTGGAAAACTGCTAATCCTGTGAGGTGCAAAATTTCGAGGTGGTGTTAGGGAATATTTCTGCATCAGATCTGATCTCAGATCTCTTCATGAAGTCGTCGTGGACTACTGTATCTCTCAACGCGCCGACGGAACGGAATGAACAGCTCGAGTCGGTGTATAACTTGCCGGATGTGCAAATCCAAGCACCGGTCACGTCTACACGACCCACTAATAGCATCACTGTCACATTTGAATACGGCACGGCACATTGAATATTGACCGTGTTTTGTTTGCGACCGTGTTCCGCCTCAGCTTTCCCTTTCTAACGGACCAATCCAGTCCCAGCGTCAAATGGACTATCCTGAATATTGACAACCCATCATTAACTGTGAGAGGTCAGTATCAGGCTGCTCTCTCCTTCCGCGTTTATGGATGCTAAGCAGTGTCTGTTGCCTGTTACTTTGCAAACCATGAGAACAAGGCACTTCCCTCTGTTGCTGAGCAGAAGGAATGGGGAAGTCAAACACCTTGATTACAAAAGGGACAGTGACTGATTTCATGAAATCGCGCCAGACTTCCTTGAGTATTTCAATTGGTTGCAGGAATTCGCCGGTAAGCTTGCAGTCGGTACTGCTGCTTATGAGCTACCACGATATGATTCAAACGGGGAGGCCCGTGGCCTGGCCATTCTAGGATTGAAAGACCAGTACTTCCGTGAGGAAGGTCCGGTGAAGTTCAGCGCAGAAGTTATGGAACTGGGTTAACGCTATTTTGTTGAGCGTCGCGCTACGTAATGCCTCGTATAGTTTCGATAGACTGTCTTGATGTAATTAAAACCTGCGGCTAGTGTTTGCGCCCAGACATGGCTAGCGCGTACTAATTCTAAACAAACATAGCGCGCTACTAGCTAGACTACCTCCTTTATTGATCGATATTATCGCTACTATATTAGTATTTAGAATCCTTTGAAACTACAGAAAAGATGCTCCTAGAAATCAAGTATCTAGTGTAAGTTACTAGCATAGAGACTATGAGTATAAACTTCAGTCTAGAAGATGTCAAAATGCTAAATTTTCGAGTCCAGAGAAGCCGACCAGAAATATACCAACGATCGATCTCCTAAACTGAAATCATTCTCGGACTCGATATCGAATGGGATTATAGAAGCTCTTGCTAGATCACAGGGTATATGTAACGGTATGTCCCGTACCTGCCAAATTTGTTTGTTCTAAAGAAGGATACTATGTATTCGGACCTCTCAGAGGCACATAGATCCTCTAGGGTTGGTGATATACGTAACCTTCCACTGACCTGCATTGGCGTGGACCCGTATATATACTCCCACCAATCTGAACCAATATAACTCCAGGTCTCGACGCAGCCCTCGACATCTTTGCCCACTTCAATGTTCCTGGTATACCATCCGCGGAACTCAACAGACAGCACTCAACTCCTTATCACTTAAATTCGACGAGACAATTCAAATATTGACACGACAAGTTCAAGCCGTTGAGCTATTGGACAATGGCGGCCGCACGATGAGAGCAATGCCGACATCACTTACAACTTCCGATGACCGTGCTCAAGGCCACCAATGTGTACTCCGCTTCTTTCTCTCACGGCGCTCACATTACATAGATCTAAAATATCTTTGAACTTTTATACGAGATTCTACTAGTCTTTTTAAGGATTTCTTGACTTCTTAAGGACTCCAAATAGATTATCCAGTATAGTACTCAGGTTAGGGCCGTTTTAGTATTAAATTAAGGTAGTATTTAAGCTAAGTCTAGTTAAATATAGGTAAGTAGCTATCTAGGTTATATTTATAGTTAACAACTGAGTTATATATGAGTTGCGGACTCTACTTCCTAATAAGTAATCCTCGAGTCAAATGTACTAATCTAAATAAAAGTTCTAGCTTAGATAGCTCGAAAATAACTAACTAGATATCGGTAGATATATATGACATTAACCTGAAAGAAAAATATTACTATCTGTATCATATTTAGCGCCAATAGAACGTATTAATCTTACGTAAATTTTAGATGGTGAAGGAATAGAGCCTCGTCGTTGCTACGGATCGTAGGTCCGGCTGCACTTTGCTTATGGTTACGCTGACGTCAGGCTGGACGAGTATCGGTATTTACCAAGAACTGTTCCCAGCGAGCAATTGCGAACACGAAGACATAATCAGGTGTTGCGAGTACGCCTGTCAATTCCTCTTTTTGCGAGACACATTCCCCAATAGAAGGGCTGAGATTCTGTTCACTCGGCCAAACCAACGAATCCTCAAGTGAAGTGGATTTCTACGATTTTTGGAGCAATGGATTCAGAGTGGCACCGTTGTCCGTGGGCGGCTCTGAACGGGCTATCATGCCAACGTCAAACATTTCGCCGTTGACGCCGGAAATCGCCTCCGCTTCTCTGGTTACGACGGGCATCGGATTAGCTATCCGGTTTCCTCAATGCGGCCTACGTGGGGCGAACCATTCAATATGAGAAACCTGTTCCGGGCCTAGTGGACCGGGGCAACTATGAACCAACACTCCTGTAAGGATCAGCTGCAGAGAAAATTATCATCCCCATGCCTTGTGCTATTATTGGCGGAATCAGTAGCCGGGTATTTAAACAACAGGGCTCCTGTTCGCAATCATGATCGTCCGTAGTATAAGGCTCTAGGAAACGAACTGAAACCATGACGCCGATCAATCTAAGCGCAACACTCTTCCAGCCAACCACCCTGAGGGCCCGCGTGGCAGGAATTGACTGCTGTGGCCCATGGAATACATGCCGTCTAGCTTGATTCACCACAAACTATGACGCAGAAGTTCTAGACTTATCAGTATAATAATATTCGACGTCTATCCTTTTTCATACTCAGACTATACCTACGCCTTCAACACAGTCTCTCACAATGGCTGAAAACAGGAAGATTTCGGATCTTTTGAAGAATACAAAAGATGCTCATAGTCAGCAGACAACAACTACCGATTACGGCATCAAGGTCCATGATGTGGACCATTGGGTGAAGACGGTCGATCAAGGAAAGGATAGGATTGGACCCAGCCTGCTTGAAGATCAAATTGCTAGAGAACGAGTACGCTGTCCAAGCCTTGGATGCGAGGAAATGTTGCTAAAAGTGAAAGATCCACCGATTTGACCATGAGCGCATTCCAGAGCGGGTGGTTCACGCCCGCGGAGCTGGCGCACACGGAACCTTCAAGCTTTACAAAAGTGCTGAGGATGTGACGTTTGCGCCGGTCCTCACCGACACCAGCCGAGAAACTCCAGTATTTCTTCGTTTCTCTACCGTTCAAGGTAGTCGTGGAAGTGCAGATACCGTACGCGATGTTCGAGGCTTTGCGGTCAAATTCTACACCGATGAGGGGAATTGGGATATCGTAGGCAATGATATTCCAGTCTTCTTCATCCAGGAATCAATCAAATTTCCCGATCTGGGTAGGTGATATTAATTGTGCTATTAATTTACGTCTAACAGGTGCCAGTTCATGCTGTGAAACCCGAACCGCATAACGAAGTTCCCCAGGGGCAAACCGCTCACAACAATTTCTGGGATTTCGTCTACTTGCACCCAGAGGCCACACACATGTTCTTCTGGGCGATGTCAGATCGCGGAACACCTCGCTCTTATCGTATGATGCAAGGCTTTGGCGTTAATACCTTTTCTTTGATCAACGCTAAGGGTGAACGTACATTCTGCAAATTTATCTGGACTCCCCAACTTGGTGTACATTCGCTTATGTGGGATGAGGCTCTGAAATTGGCCGGTCAAGATCCTGATTTTCATCGAAAAGATTTGTACGAAGCCATTAGCAACAAAGCTTTCCCAAAATGGAAGTTTGGTCTGCAGCTTATTCCAGAGAAGGATCAGCATAATTTTGACTTCGACATCCTCGATGCTACAAAGGTGTGGCCTGAAGATCTGGTACCCATTAGATATATCGGAGAGCTGGAACTTAATCGCAATGTCGATGAATACTTTCCTGAGACCGAACAGGTGGCTTTCTGTACTAGTCACATCGTACCAGGTATTGATTTCACCGACGATCCCTTACTACAAGGTCGAAACTTTTCATACTTCGACACTCAGCTCTCGCGATTGGGAATAAACTGGCAAGAGTTGCCAATCAACCGCCCAGTGTGCCCTGTGCTGAACTTCAATCGTGATGGTCAAGGTCGTCATACCATCACAAAAGGCACAGTCAACTACTGGCCTAATCGATTTGAATCTAACCCGCCTGCGTCTCACAATAAGGAAAGTGGCGGCTTCCGAAGTTATCCCGCCAAAACAGACGGTATCAAGGCCCGCATGCTTTCATCCAAGTGGACCGACTATATCTCTCAAGCACAACTATTTTATAACTCGTTGGCAACGATTGAAAAACAGCATATCACCAACGCCTTCTCGTTCGAGCTAGACCATTGTGACGATCCTATTGTCTACGAGCGTCTTGTCACACGCTTGGCCGAGGTCGACATATCTCTTGCTCAGGCTGTTGCAGAAAAATGTGGTGCACCTACACCGAACAAACAAACACGAACAAATGATGGTCATAAAAGCCAAGGTCTAAGCCAGCTAGACTTTCTCCCAGAGAAGCCAACTATCGAGTCACGAAGGATTGCAATCCTCATTGCTGATGGCTATGACTCAAATTCGTATGACGCAATAGTTGCTGCAATCAAAGCGCAAGGAGCTTTGCCATTCACCATTGCTCCTAAGCGTCAGGTCATCAAATCTGCTGGCGGTGGTGGAAGCAAACCAGATCACTTCCTCAATGGCATGCGCAGCACTATGTTCGACGCAGTATTTATACCAGACGGCGATCAAAGCGCCCAAGCGCTTATCGGCATTGGTCTCGCTCGGTTCTGGGTCCGTGAGGCTTTTGGCCACCTTAAAGCCATTGGTGCAGTGGGCGCCGGTGTCAAGTTGGTCGAGGAAGCCATCAAGGAAGTCCGGGAGCCACCTAAGCTTGCTAAGTCAAGCTCAGGTGGGCAGATTTTGGAATGGTATGGAGTGGTGACTGCTCATGCGCCGCCAAAGGTCGGCTCGTCTAGCACAGAGATTGCCAAAGATCCAAATGATTTTGCTGATGTTTTCTTCGCACAAGTGGCTCAGCATCGCAATTGGAAAAGAGAGCTTGATGGATTCGCTGATCAAGTCACCGTGTAAATGATTTTCCAGTCGTCAGCTGCATCGCATGTATGATGTACATTAAGCTGTCTACTTAGCAAGTAGAGCAGACCATTAGAGAAACCTACCTTTGCCCCGATCTTTACGACTGCCAAGAGCGGTTCGGCGTGGATTCTAGTATCCTGCCAATTCAGAAGCACAAGAAGTTGTGCACACGTGGACACTTCGCCATCCCAACCGAAGCTGCCACAGCAGTTGTGATAAATGAGACTCGCAGAAGGTTTGATACATAATTGATCAAATTAATGAAATCTCCTAGTGGAAGAAAAACTTCGCGGACTTTAGTACTCTAGCTATTAGGCACCACTGTCGGGCTAATTGGTAGGTATAGCTATATAGTAGATATGTCTATTAGTAGTGTCCATCTCTTGAATACAAATAGTACCTTAATGTCCGCGATCTATCCCTACCCTTATCATTCCTGACACTGGCACTGCTTATTCCTCCTCCCAATAGATCTTTTGATTTTTGCTTCTACTGTTCTATGAGTAAGCATTAGAGGTTAGAGTCTAGAGCTATCCCTATACTAAGACAGTAAGGCTTAAAAATTTCTTCCTATTAATTTCTTCTATATTAAGGCTGCGACGCTCCTGTCGTAATAATATAACAGCATAGTCCTTTTATCAGGCAATAGGTCCGTAGGTCCTTGAGTATCGCTCAATAGGACTCGAATCCCGCTCGAAAGTGCGAGGATATCTCGGGTTGTGGGACCAATTAGCTATATGCTTGCTACGAGGTCCCTGAGACATTCCCGGGATCTAAAGTTAGATAGTCAAGATCGAGGTACCTAAGGGACATAATACACTAAGGCTATAGAGATTTTGCAGAAGTATTTATATGGATATATTATTTCCGTACAGGGGCTACTAAACGATTAGAAGTGGACATAATACGAACTAAATTAGGAAGTTTTCCATTAATATATGTAAAATTCAGACAATGGCATGAGAACGAAAAACAGAGCTGTATTGAGGGATAGATGGTGCTTGAACTTAGCTTGAGGATTTGCCTATTAGCGGTTCTGAGCCATTGAAGGAAACGCCTGTTCAACCATCACCCATGTCACGATGGCGGCAGATAAAATACGCCCGCTTCATTCACGGTAACTTAGGTCTCTGAGAGCCTACACTAACACGGATATACATAGTACCTCCTCGATAACAACGTCCTCTACTGGCAGCTTTACAGCGAAAGACCCAGTGCGAAATGCTCCGTCTGCTTGGAACTATCAATGCTATATAGTCTGGGTAGGGAGTGGCTCAAACGTTCGATACCTTCAAGTTGTGCTGATCTGGGACTGAGACCGAGAGCAGGCTTAGCATCGAAACTCGAACTATTGAAATCGCTCAATCTGGCATTCCCAGCCTGGTTGACGAGCCACTGTTCTACCCAGAGGTCTCCATTTCTGACATTTGTGAATCTACGTAGATAAGAGACTATTTCAATAATTTGTTAGGGCCAATGTTTCCTCTCTACTTCTATTCCGCTTGAATCACTACTTTTGCCATGAACATTACACTAAAATGTGTGGAGATTTTCTTCTAAACCTTAGAGCAGTCAGTGACTAACCTGAGTACTGTATCCCCCTATTTATCTACGGTAAGTTTCAGGAAGCCAGTGGCACAGCATTTTCAACCACCTCAACATATGCTCACTCAACAGTCTTCCCTATGCCTAACTCACCCTTTTCAAGTCCGCTACCACTGTCATTTTCCCTCTTGCAGATATCTAGAGTCTCCATAATCTCTCTCTCTGCACTCGCCACATTTCCACCAGACCTCACCAAGATCTCATTATACGTCCTCTCATTCTCCTTCACGAACGGACTCTCACTACAAAACAATAAATTGATCTCCTCCAAACTTCTCCCCTTCGTCTCTGGGAAGAAGAACCACACCAGCGGCACACTCCCGAAGTTAAAAGCACCAAACACAATCAGAGTCTTCCATCCCAATGCAGCAAACATGGAAGGGATCACCAAAGTAGTAGTTCCACAGCCAACAGCCCATCCGAACACACCGAATGCATTACCGCGCGCACGCATCTCTTGCGGCCAAATCTCAGTGGGATAGATGAAAGCGATCATCAGCACTGTCTGAGCGAAGAAGAAAGTGTAGATGAAGACCATGGCGACGGACGCTGCTCCATAAGAGCCTGAATGAGCTGGGTGGAGTTCACCGAGACGTGACAGGCCACCTGAGAGGAGCAGTACAGCGCCCTGCACAATGAAGCCGAAGAGCAGTGATGGCCGACGACCAAAGCGGTCGATGGTGAAGACTGCACCAAGTGTGCCGATGATGCCGACAATCTGAATGATACCAGCAAGCAGGGACGACTTCTCGGTAGTGAAGCCAGCTTGTTCGAACATAATACTGGCATAGACAGTAATGGCAAGAATGCCAGTCCACTCCATCATCATCATGATACCCACGGCAAGACCAATACGGCGGCCAAGGTGGAGTTTGCCAGAGTGGCGACCCCAAAGGAAGAGGTTGTGTAGGGAGTAGCGGGAGCTGCGAGCCGAGGTAACGATGGCATCAAGCTGAGCGATCTCAGCTTGGAGGGTGGGATTGTTCAAGTCGGCGTCGCCTCGGACTTTTGCAAGGATCTCAAGAGCTTCGTCACGGCGGTCGACCGTCAATAGGTACCGAGGAGACTCTGGTAGGAAGGCCACTGTGCCTAGAACGATGGCAAGCGGGACAACTTGAAAGGCTAAGGGAAACCGCCAGCGGAAGTCTGTGGTATTGTTCCGTAAAGCGTAGCCGATCCAGTAGGCAATCACAATACCCACATAATTTGCAGCGAAGACAAGGGCAAATGCTGAACCCCGGTTGTGTGCTTGAGCGAGCTCGCTGATCCAAGCTGGGATAATCTGAGGTGCATCAGTGCTGTATCACGCTCAATGGGGAAGTCTCATACCGTGTTGATAAACCCAATACCCACGCCACAAATCGTCCTAGCCACAATAGTCATGTTGGCATTCTGCGACGCACCCTGTAAAGCTCCCCCAATAATGCCGAGCAAACTTCCCAGCGCAACAGCTTTCCTGCGACCGTAGAGATCTCCAATCTTCCCGCCAAAGAAGCATCCGAACATGGCGCCAAAGTAGTATACGGCTACGAGGCCGCCTTGCTTGGTGGCATCAGTGACTTTGCCATCAGCGCCAATGCCAACAGTGTCGATGTAGCCCGGTGTGCCGTTGACTGCACCCATAACACCTTGATTGTAACCTTCAAAGATGAGGGCGACGGCCGAGAAGAGGTTGAGAATCCAGAGCAGGGCAGACCCTGGAAGGACCCTCCAGGGTTTGAAAGCCATGACAATGAGTCAAGTCTTAGGTGTGTGCAAAGGCAAAATCTAGGTACAGGGAGCAGGTAGTGTGAAGTTTCCTGTTACAACAGTGGTGATACTGCAACGTGATGCTTCTGCGTAGCCTTGAGGGGGCCAATCGTCCGCGTTATATATTCGCAAGGCCTCGGGCCATGTTTTTGACGCCGTGACCACCAACGAGAGAAGAAAGCTTCCGAACAGCCGCTCCCCATTCGATCACGACGAGAATCTCCATGACCCCAAGTGTAAGGCATTAAGTCACCAAGCAATTGGCCCACCGAAGATATTCAACTGATTCAACTCTGGAGGTGGCATCTGGCGTCTAACCAGGTCCAGATGCGAAGAAATCCCATTGCACCGAGTCGAAGATTGCGTCTGGAGCCCTTTCACGGTGCACGCCTTGGGGCATTTGCAGTTTTCTGCCCGTTTAGCCGCACACCAAGTGGTCCAAAAAGCGGAGATGTAGACCTTTGACCTTTAGCCGTTTATACGGATCCCCTTTAAGCGTTTAGGCGAAGCCTGAACCTAAAACTCTGTGTGGAGAAATTTCCGGAGTGGCGGGGTTTGGGCAAGGTTAATACTTGGGGCCCTCTGGAAGACATTTCTTCACATATGACTTCGGTCATGGGGTCTGTATGTAGAACAAAAAGCGTTGAAAATACTGCTATCTGCCTTTGCAGCACTTCGTCATTCTCATTAACATGGCGGTAAAGATCCGAGACCACAATGGACGAGAGGTTGAACACGGGCGAAAGAGACTGTCCACTGGTGTACGCGTGCATTATTACACAGCAGGCTCTGGACCAGCGCTACTGTTGCAGCATGGCATACCCAAAACATCATACTATTGGCGAAAAGTCGTACCACGTTTGACCAAGAACTTCACGGTCGTTGTTCCAGACTTGAGAGGCATTGGAGACTCAACCCATCCAGATTCAGGGTATGATATGCCCACCGTGGCTGATGACATTGCCGAATTGATGGAACAACTGGGTCATGACAAGTTTCACATAGTTGGCGAAGACTGGGGGGCGGCAGCGGCGTATCAAGTTGCTGTTCGACACTCAGAGAGAGTGTTGAGCCTGGTATTCCAGGAAATGTTGCTCCCAGGCTTGGGTCTAGAGGAATGGGCAACCTTTGACTCTTCCAGGCCAGAAACACATCTGTGGCATGTTGCGTTCTATCATGTACGGGACGTTCCTGAATTGTTGATCACTGGAAGGGAGAAGGAATATTTTACCTGGTGAGTGTATGCTAGGAAAATGCCCTGGTATAAACTGCTAATCTCTGCCACAGGTTCATCAAAAATGAAGCCCATGATCCGACATCGATCGATGATGATGCTATTGAAGAATATGTCAGAAGTGCATCACAGCCTGGTGGATTGAGAAGCATCTTCAATATTTGTACGTTCAAAATTCGCCCATCTTGTCTATGCTGACGTCCCACAGACCGAGCTACAGAAGTCAATGTGAAGGCAAATAAGGACTCTGCCAGATCAAAACTTCAACTGCCTGTACTTGCCGTCGGTAGCAAGGATTTTATCGGCCAGGAGGTCGAGAAGCAGATGAAGAATGTTGCCAGTAATGTTCAGTACACGGAGCTCAAGTACGGGCACCAGCTCGCGGAAGAATGCCCGGACAGCCTATCCGACACCTACCTAAATTTCCTCAAGTCTCTGTGAGTTTTGTTTATCAACGTATGGAGCCAGAAGCTGAGAGCAATTCTGGTAGTGAAACTGATTTCGCTTCGGGATACTCGCCATCTACAGATCTATCGCCTTGACTGTCTTGAAGCCATCCCGCGTATCGTCTAGCGATATTGCTCTACCGGCCTGGAAATAAGCCTCGCTCTCGAGATGTGACGGTGATGCGGAATTCCTACTCTATTTAGTGATCAGTCCATCATCTCCCATAGTCGGCAAGCGCCTCACCGATGTACTGGGCTAGGTGACGTTTTACAATTCGTTCTACATAGTAGTGTCACGTGATGCCACGGGTTTCCTTCGGAGGAGGTATATATTATAGACGTCTTAGAGAGTAGTAATATCGAGCGTAACGAATGAGCTATAAACGAACTGTTTCTAGTCCTAAAATGTAGGAGTATATAGTAGGATAATAGAGTAAGTTGACTACGAATAGCCCTGTAGTAGGTACAATAACATGACGAAATAGTTCGCGTTATAACCGGATCTCTATTCCTCTATTCTCCTCTATGATGAAAGAAAATTTCTTTCTCTTAATTATAAATAAGCGATGTCGCTTACAAACGCTGCTGCGCTCTATCTTTATTCTGTCTTTCTCGATGTTCTAAACCCAATGAAGGGAATACCTGTCCTCATAACTAGACTCGAGGATATGACGCTCAGAGAACTCAACGCCATGGCCAAGCTCGCCCACACAGGGTTTAGCTTCGGGTGTCCTGGTGCCGGATAAATCACACCGGCTGCAATAGGTACCAAGGCCATGTTGTACACCAATGCCCACGCAAAGTTGAACTTGACTCTCCGGAAAACAGTACGGGAGAGCGTGATAAGGGTCAATAAGGAGTGTAAGTTTGAGGATACTAGCACAAATTTGGCACTTGATATAGCAACATCTGAGCCAGAGCCGATGGCAATTCCGGCGTCCGCGGCAGTGAGCGCGGGAGAATCATTGATGCCGTCCCCAACCATAGCTACCATCGCTCTTCCTGGTTTGCCGTTGCGTTTGGGGGCGGATTGTTGAAGCCAACGGATCCGCTCAGCCTTTTCCGAAGGGAGAACATCGGCAATGATATTGGTCGCCGGTATACCTAGCTGATGCCCAACTGCAATAGCAGTTATGGCATTGTCGCCTGAGATCATCCAGATGCTTAAGCCTTGCTCAGATAGAGCAGAGACGACGAAAGCAGCTTCAGAGCGGAGAGAATCTGTGGTTGCAAACTGTGCAACAAGTTTGAAAGTGGGCTCCTCCCCGTCCGACAAGGACAAGGGACGCAAAGCCAGCAGCGCGACGCTGTTCCCAGCGGATTTCCATGTCGACATAATGTTGGACTGGTCTGTGGTTATCGGAGTGCCAATGGAGGAGATAAAACTTTCACTGCCGATGGCAGCCTCGTACCGGGTGCCATTGGCGGATGTATGGATGGTAAATGTGCCTTTGAGACCACGACCAGGGAGTTCTTCAACTGCAGAGTCCGCAATGGCAGTGCGGTTCTGTCCTCTGCAGAGCGCAGCAATAGCTTTCGCTATGGGGTGACTTGAAGACTCTTCTAGTGCTTGAGCGATTGCCCAGATGGCCTTCTTCTCCTCCTCACTAGAAGCTATGATATCATAGTTTGCAACAGTGGGGCTTCCGCCCTCGGTAAGCGTGCCAGTTTTGTCAAAGACAACCACGTCCAGACCAGAAGCTTCTTGAAATGCTTCGCCGCCACCTTTGACCAATATTCCGTGGTGCGCCGCAAGTCCAGAGCCCACGAATAAAGCTGTTGGAGCCGCAAGGGCAATACCACAGGGGCACGCACCAACAAAGACTGCAATGGCAAATTGTAATGCCCAGAATGCCCAGCCACCGGTGTCGACATCAAGAAAACTCTCCGGCAGTGCCCCACCCTGCCCTAGTCCAAACCAGATCACAAATGTCGATACGGCAATGAGGGTAATAACTGGAACGAAGTATCCCGTCAAGGTATCAGCCGCTCTCTCCACAGGGGCTCTTTTGGCCTGTCCTTCACGTACAACTTTGACGATTTGGTCAAGCATGGATGCGCCTGAGACTTCAGTGACTCGGATATTGATAGGTTTCCCGGTGTTGATTGTTCCAGCAAAGACTTGATCGCCAGTATTCTTGGTAATAGGCTGAGACTCTCCGGTCAAAGAGCTCTCATCGAAGGTGGAATCGCCCAGGACGATTGTGCCGTCGGCTGGTGGAGATACACTATGAAGGACTCGGACAACATCTCCCACTTCGAGAACATCGACATTGATTCTCTCGCCATTTGCCATCTGACGAGACAACTCGCTATCTTCCAATTCCGGATTAGATCTCACAAGCAGAGCTTCGGTTGGCCGGAGCTTTCCGAGCATTGTGACAGCATCACCAGCCTTGGATTTACTGTACGCTTCTAAGTACCGTCCAGCGAGAATAAACATCGTCAAGAAAACAACAGTGTCGAAGTATGTCGATAGGCGCCTGTTGTGCTGCCCATCTTTTTGCGATTCTAGAGCAAGCACGGCGATTGAAGGGAAGTACGCCACCGACGTCCCAGCGGACATGAGCAGATTCATGCTTCCGAAACGGTAAAATCTTCGAAGAACTGGGACCTTGCTATTCCGGCTCCACAGTGCTCGGATCTCCTTGATTGCCCTGACGTGGAAGACATCGGCAGCAAGGAACATCACGGGCGTCGCAAGGAAGAAAAGCGCCCACTCGGCGCGAGTGTTAGCACCAGTCCACATATGTTGTTGGAAGAACATTCGTACGCGGTTGGTCGAAGGGACTAGGCTCTGCCAGACCACACTGATAAGGAAGGTTGGAATGGCGACGATGAAGCTGAGGAGAAGCCGAAGGAGAAGACGACGCCGTTCGTGGAGCTGCATAGCTCGAGAGCGCTCTTCGATCGTTGGCGGATGGTATATCGTGGCTCTGAGTTGGTCGCTGACACCATGTATAGTAGCTAGGATACTCCTAACCATAATAATGCTGGGTTGGGGACGATATGTAATCACGATGATAGGGTCATCGTACGACGGGGGCTTGTCGATAGCAAGTCGTCCCTGAAACGATGATGACAAAGCATCGATGACCCGACGTGGACATTGATCGCAGAACATTCCTGCGATTCTCACCATGACTGTCCTTTCCACCAGCTGTTTTGTTTGCTGTGGTTGTCCAACTTCGATGATGCTCTCGACGTGACAGTCGTATCCTCTGTCTTCGATTCTCTCCACAATCTGATCGAGGTTGTCTTTCGGGCCGGTAAAGGTGACAGCTGCGCTATTGGTAAGCAAACTGACGCTGGCATCTATCAAGAATTCGAGTCCCTGCACCCCTTCATTGATGGAGAGAATGCATGCCGCGCAAGTCATCCCAGTGATACTGAGAGTGGCTGTCAACAATTTCGCCTCAGGGATGGTCACGATAACGTCCTGCGATGTCTCGGCTTTTCCGTTCACCTTTCGGCAAAGAGCACAGTGGTCTAAATGCTTCTCATCACGTTGGTAGCCGGCATCGTCTCTGAATTCATAGTGTGCTGCCGTCAGGTCCCGCGACAGCGTTGATGTTTGTTCGTTTAGCATCTGAGCAGCTTGATCCAACCAATCTTGATGGATCTGGATTAAATCTTGCTCGTAAATAACATGGCCAAATTCATCTTCGGTCTGCACACTCTGAACTTCGAATGCTGCATCCGATAAAACTCGAGCTAGGTCACTCGCAGAGTGGTCCGGAAAGTGGACTATCGTCACCTCGTGTGATATGTAGTTCGCAGTAATCGTTAGCGGGGCTGGCTGTAATATACTGAGGACCTCCTGAATGTAGGAGAGGCAGGAGGCACAGTGGACATTGTTTATTAGAACAGTCGTCTTGACATGGCCCGCTGGCGGCGAGTGCAGTGGACTGAGCGCCATTCGTCTAGCACAATCATCGATGACTTAATCGATGTTCGAGATGTGTTGCTGGCGACAAGATGCTGGTTACGAGATGGACATTACACTGTGTTATCCATTTTATGACATTGAATCAATAATAACAGGTGCAGACACATATTCAAACAGACTGGCAGGATTTTTGGCCGGAGTTCGGCCGGATGTTCGCAGTGTAGAGGTGGCTCAAACTTGCTCAAACTCGCTCAATTTTTTTGTTTAACCCTAATTTCCAGTACTAAGTCCCACCACTAGGTTTTGCACCACCCCTGTTCTACACCACGCGTTCTACCATTCCACCACCTCTCTGCCATCTCAATCAAACAACTACCACTTAACTAATTGGCCGTTAATTACGCGTAAATGGCCTCGAATCAGGAGTCTACGATCTAGTCTACGATCGCCGACTATTAATTACATCGATATCCTAGTATTCGCGCTGCCGCGGCCGCGAACAACGTGCACTACTCTACGCTAGTCCGCCGACTTAAGGACACTTAATCGGCCACGTTATCCCACGAACTATAGTAGTTACTATTAAGACTGGGCGATGCTCTATAAACGCCTAGTCACGTGATTACGCTTATATAAGCTAGGATTATATGGCATCCCTTAGGTAAGGCTATACTTAAGCCTTATAAAAGATTCTATAAAACGCTATTCTATTCTATAGGATTAGAAGTTACTCAACTTAATTTCTAAGCATCCTAGGAGTTAACTCGTATTTACGAATACTCGGCTATTACTCTCGTACTTACGAGATATTACGACGGAGCCTACGCCTACATAAAATAGGCCTATACTCCTTTACTTAGATAAACCCTAAGTTATTTACTAAGATAGAAAACTACGATATATTTTACTCTTTTAACTTTAGCTACTTCTACTATAGATCTAAACCCTATCCCCCGGACATAATATATAGTAAACCGTATACTATTAGAAAGAAGGTTATCGTACTTAGGTATTAATTCTCCGACTCGAGATTTCTTAATATATAGGACCTATATACCGTAAGGGTTTTCTCGGGTTATTAACGCACTATTGTTAGCGCTAGGTTTACCTAGGCTATAGAAGTAAGTTTCCGCCGTTTCTTTTTTACTTTTATTAAAAGGACTCGTTTAAAGGCCGATATTATAAGTAAAGGACTTATATTTTTCGATATTTAGTAGTTTAGTAAGTTCGTTAGCTAGTTATCTATTAGTTAATATAAAGGTTATATAAGGGTTTCAATAGGAGCTTATTTAACTACTATAGGACCTATCTAATAAGGACGTTAAGCTAAAGGGAAGAGAGAAAGAAGTCCTACCGCTGTCTATAGGGAAATATAATCTCCTAGGGTAGGTCGCCCGGTATCCTAGGTAACTATTAGTATTACGTAATATTATCCGGCTATATAACTATACGGTCGAATCTAGGTATCGCTAGTTTAGTCTTAGCGTCGCTCGCTAAGATATCTATTAATATTATGTAATATCGTTCGACTATATAACTATACGGTCGAATCTAGATATCGCTAGTTCTTTATTAAGATATCCTACGAATTTAACCCGTAATAAAAGTATTTATCTAATACGGAATTTTAGCGCTATAAGAAAGAAGAGCGTATAAAAGCGAATAATAGAGATAAAGCTATATATAAGTAAATAGTAGAGATAGTAAGGTAACTATTCGCCTAGTAAAACGACCGAGAATAAGTCTAATAGTAAAAGTATAGTTACTATTATCTCGAAGCGCTATTATATTCGAAGCTCTCCTATTAGCGAAGATATAGCTAACGATAGATAGCCCTAATAGATAGATAATACTTATTAAGTATTTATAAAAGTTAATATGGGAAGTAAGACCCTTCCTTCCTTTAATTTCCTTCTTTACTATAATAGAAGCTAGTATTAAGTACTATATTAAGGTTAAATCGGTATATATTCTCGCCTATCCTATAGGTCGGATAAGGGGGTAGGGCTACGTTGCTAGGGGTTCTCTCTCTTCTAGGACCGTAGGATAAGAACTAATCGACACTAAAACGAACACTATAGTAGCCATAACTAAAACAATACTCTTTACTTACCTATATTAGCGAAGGAATAGTAACGCTATAGATCTCTATAGTCTTAAGCCCGCTAAAGGACTATACTTTTAAGACTTCTCGTAATAGACATATATAAAACTATAATAGCATTATTCGTAAAGGTTACAACTACTAAAACTTAAGCTATATAGTTATATAGCCGAACTCGTAGAAGGAAAAATACTCCTAATTCTATAAACTATACTCTTATAGCTACTATCTAATACTTAACGTACGCTCTCGTACGTTAGGTTTCCTCTTCGTCCTTGCTTACGCTTCGATTGTCTGCTTTTCTCCTCACTTACTTGTTCCTCCATGCTAAGGCCCCTTCTCTCTTCTTTCATAACTAAGCGCCTCGAGCCCCAATATAGTACGACTAGAGATAATAAAACCTAGAGAGAGTACGACGTATTTAGGTACGACTAGAAATAATAAAACTTAGAGAGATATAGTACGTATAGGTATACTAGCTATTAAACGAATTAGAAATTATATACTTAAAACGATAGAATAGAAGGGCGATAGAAGATTTACTATATAGACTATAGGAGTATAGGGAAAATATTAATTATATAAAGGAATGTAAGAAAAATATCGATTATAGTATACTTATAGGGTAGAAAATAGTTACTATAAGAGCTTAGTTATAATGTATAAGCGTAGGGAAAACTATCCTTACTGTACGATAGCCCTAGGCTCCCTAGGCTCCTATAGTAAATTAGGTTACGCTGGGCTACGGGCTAAAACACCGATATTTTTATAAGGACTACAAACCCTATAGGGCTTTTTACTCGGGTTATAAAAGGTCTACGAGTTGCCTAACCTAACCCGTTACGTAGCCTAGATATTAGAAGAAGGACTATCTTATTAGGATTAGGATCGGCCTTAAGGTATTATTATCCTTAAAGTAGGTAGATAATAATAGGCCCCGATTAATTCTAAAGTATACGGATAAGTAATCCTATAATGTAATTACCGGCCCCGGACAAAGTCCTATAGTAGACCACTATATGGACGAATAAATACCGCAGAGGTCGACACTAAACGTAACTTAGAGTGCAAGTAAGTAACAAGACAAAGGCGATCGCACTTAAGGTTCAAAGTCAGGTGTCACCTCAGCCGGCGGCGCACCGGGTGGTACCTTTATCATGACCCTCTGAACACAAGTCTCCTTCGCGAGCTTCCTGGCGCTTTCGTCTGCATTGGTCTTAAGACGAATACCTCTAACATCAGTGCCAGTGTCCACAGGGATCTGTGCCAGAAGCTCAAAACCCAATCTCCCATACGCATTCAATCCCTGCTTCGTTGTGGTATCGAGAATGACGGGCTTGTCAGGATATTGAGCAAAGTGCTTCTCCACCTGATGTTTCAAAAGCGCCGACGCATAGCCCTTACCAGCGTGAGCAGGATTAATAGCAATCATCTGCACAAAACCACACTCCTCTTCCTTATATCCGCCAGGATGGACACCCTTCAGTCTCTTCTCAAACATCGACTTCACGTTAGCCTCAAAGATGGCAGTGATTCGATAGAAGCCAGATAGCCCGTATCTCCACGGGGCAAGCAGCGACAAGAGCCCTGATCTCCATACCTGGAACATGCCGAATGTTCCTTCTCTCACATGGGGAGGGAGCCACATCATGATGGCGCCGATGTTGATCCCGTTGGCGGTGCCGGGGCCAGGGACCTCAGCGACGAGGACCAACCCGCCCCAGAGGCTTACGAGATTTATCAGGGATCGATAAAAGTAGACACGTGTTGCTTGATAACGACTCATTGGCGGTGTTTGAGCTCCAATACTCCCAATCGCGACAGGAGCGAGAGCTTCTGAAACTCCATGAAACCAGTTATGATTCCTTTTTAACTATTAGCCTACTTCTATCGCTGAACGAGCGGTCACCCGTCAGTGCAGGTCACTTACCATAATGGAAGAAAGGCATTGCACAGAATCCTTGAAAGGACGTCAAACTCTTCTGGCTTCGCGGCACGGAAGATAACCGCGACTTCTTTCAGCGGTTTTGCGCTATCTTGTTCTGACGTATTGGACATGACTGAGTATTCTGCGGCAGCGATTCTTGATATTTAAAAGCCCCCTAATCTTGAAATGTTGGTCGCGAATGGAGAACTGTGCGTCTGACTAAGCAGTAGACGGAGGATCGGATTGTTTATAGAAGTCTAAGTCTAGGCACCACGTAATGAAACACCCTGGTAATGAAACACGCATTTTTTTGCCACCAATAGTGCTACAATCATAATTTACTAATTATATAGACTCATTAGCACTAAATTAATATATAAATAGTACTAGGGTATTATTTAACTACCTATTCCGCGTAGTATTTCTAGTATTCGGTCGTATAGAAGACCTCGTCGTCGCCTCTAATGCCTCCATTCCCTACCTAGCCTACCTAATTATCTCGATATTCGTAAAGACCTTATTATAGTCGATTACGATACGCGGTTATCTCCTAGCGACTAGCTTATCTAGTTATATACGTTAAAGAGTAAGTTATTATAATTTTAGGGTAATATCCTACTATAGTCGATCTAATACCTTATCGGTTTTTTTAAAGTAGTAAACGGACTAATCGAGAAACGGTCTTACGCCGTGAAATTAAGTCCGTTTCCTATCGAATTTAGCGTTAATTAAGTAGCGTACTATATTAAGATTAAATCGGTATATATTCTCGCCTATCCTATAGGTCGGATAAGGGAGTAGGGCTACGTTACTAGGAGTTCTCTCTCTTCTAGGACTATAGGATAAGAACTAATCGACGCTAAAACGAATACTATAGTAGCTATAACTAAAACGATACTCTTTACTTA